TCAAAATCTCCCGACTCTCGACGAAACTTAGTAGCGCCTTAATAGGACCCTACTACGTATTGAAGGTCTACGAATCGAACCCATTGATTATCCGACTCGACCTACTAGACACCCTTAGGATTCACCTAGTATTTCACGTTAATTTACTTAAAAGAGCCGGCTCCGACCCTCTCCCTAGCTAAATAACTAACACTCTAGACCCTGAAGAAGACCTCGAGACTAGCGAAACGTTCTAGTCCTGGGAAGTAATCAAAGACTCGCGTATTGACAGTCGGCGTAAGTAGCTTAAATACCTCGTTGAATAGACTAGATACTAGGAAGATATCTAGGAACCGTAGTATCTTATTGAATAAGATATGCCTAACGTAATGACGGCGTTCTACCACGCCCATCCTAACCGCCCAGGGCCTCACGAAGCGCCCTGCCAGAACCGGAGATATTATGTGAACCCCTACTAGCCTCGGATCTATATAGCTAGAAGGCCTCGGAACTAACGCGTCGTAGGAGCTCTACCTTAGGCGGGGGGTACTATTACGGTACAACCTCGAAGCCCTCAAATTGCGCCGAATAGGAGAAACCTAGCCGGGTCGCAGCTAGGTTCCACGACCCCTAAGGAAGCACGTGCGAGGCTCTAGAGGAGCCTTACTAGGACGGTATAACCTCGAAGCCCTCGAATTACGCTGAATAGGAGAAACCTAACCGGGTCGCAGCTAGGTTCTACGACCCCTAAGGAAGTACGTACGAGGCTCTAGAGGAGCCTTACTAGGCCGCACTTACGTGACGATACTACGCTAAACCCCTTATAGTCCTTAAAGCCCTTATAGACTTCAAAACCCTTACATTTAACTATCGAAAACCCTTATATCCCATCCGAACATTCTAAGATAATCGGAGAGTCTAGAATAATAAAGTAAGGAGGAATGTTTCACCTAGAAAGGTATATAGATCTCGAAAAGAGCCTAAATTACCCTTCGAGCTCTTTATCTCTCGTCTTGTACTCTATAGTACATTAAGATAGCAATATCAGGACTCTTAAGCCTTCTCCATACGTACGAAGCCCTCTAAAGCCCCTTAGAGCCTTCTCTCGGTCTTCGTCCCTGACAGAAGTCCTAATATAATATCGTACGAGACTAAGCTCGGGACGATATATAGGAAGGTAGTTTCCTTATATCTATTAATATTAATCTCTAATTTAGTTACTTTCGAGATTAATAAGTTCGTTAATTCATTAAATCCCATAATAGGTTAAGGAGGAATCCATATACGCTAAAGATTCTATCGAGAAGTAAAACGAGCGTTAATAAGGTTATATAATGAATACCTAGAATCTATAAGTGTAGATATAGAATACTCTTTATTCACTATTAAAGGTACTAAGAAAGGTAACTTATCTATTAAGTCTCGAAATCCTCGCTAGGCTTCCTAAATCTTCATACGCTCCTAACGGCGACTTTTATTAGGAGCTACTCGTTTTTTAGATCCTCTTCACCCTCTTCTTCTATGGTTATAGTCGTAGCTATTATACGTCCTACTCGAGGACGTATTACTAGAAGTAGGGAGTATTAGCGTACGAAGTGTTCTCCTGATCCGCATTAAAGATAGCGTCCTACTTCCTTTCGCTTATCTAATATTTCCTTAGACACCTATTGAGTACGCTGCGTACGTACGACGGCTACGGTAGTAGCGTCCGACGGCTCCCACTCTATTATATCTTCCGCTAGGGTAACCTTAATTAGCGTTAACGAGCCCTTTATCGCACGGGGCTTATCCCGTCCCTTCTTTCGTTAGAGGTTCTCTAGGTTAGTACTGACGGTATAAAGTAACGTATAGTACTCCTTATAGGACCTAGGGATAGGGATTACTATAATCGCATTCTATAGCTCGTACGATAGATAGTTAGCTAGGAAGGTCTTCTTAACCTAGTTATCCTAGCTAAGACTATTAGCGTCTAGTATCGTATAGTTGAATTCGGCGAGGAACGTACTAAATGTCTTTATCCCTTACCGTATAAAGCTAAGTTTCCGAGATACTCGCTTAGCGGCTTCGTAGTCTTCGTACGCCGCCTATAGTTACGTAAAAAGACCTTAAACCGTTATCTAGTCTATTAAAGTGACTACGTCTACCTAGGCGCTAACTTACGTAAGGGCTTCTCCTCGTAGTCTACTATATATATACTAAAATCGTATAATCTTAATATCCTTATCCTTATCGATACTAAGCTTCGCCTTTACCTACGTAAGCTATAATCGAAATTCTATCCGCTTTCCGCTAAACTTAGGGAGTTTAGGGAGTTTCCGATGTTTCTAATCTAATGATTTACGTACGACTATTAGTTCCCGTACGTTACTATTCTCCTATAATATCGACTCGGGAGTAGAGGTACTCCCGCCATTCTACTAGTTCTAGAGTACCTACTCTAGACCTTCTATTCGCTAGTTCTATGTCTAAACTATCTAATATAACTACGCTACTCACTCCGGGGGTGGAGTTAGACCTAATATAGACGACGAATCCATTTCTATTGTCAATACGTACGGGGGAGGTACGAGAAATGGGAGATTTATCCTAATATGAGGGTTTAGAAAGAGTTCTATAACTAGCTAGCTAACCTAGTAATAAGGAGGATAAATCTAAGGAGAGAGAAGGAAGGAATAGCTATCCTTCCTTTCTCCTTATATCCTCTAACGCGCCGTAAGGAGGTAACTATTATCCTCACCTCCTTACTCCTTTCCTTACGTACTTATTCCAGCTCCTTACCTTCCCTTACGTACTTATTCTAACTCCTTACCTTCCCTTATGTACGGTGTCTTAGCTGTCAGGACTTAGTATCCCTTACACCGTATGCGTCTTGACTAATTAGGAGGCAGCATTTCGCCTGTACATTGTATAGGCAAATCTTGACTAATCAGGAGGCAGTATTTCCTGGCGTTGGTCTTGGCGCTGGTTCGCCAGAACCGAGCCTTCTCCTGGGTTCAACCCATCACAGGTATAGTTTCCTAGCGTTGGTCTTGGCGCTAGTTCGCCAGAACTGAGCCTTCTCCTAGGTTCAACCCATCACAGACCTAAGGTATAAGGTGGACGAATAAGGTGATTAGTCGACTTTTGGCTATATATTATATAGATAAACACTACTACTCTCTAATTAGTCAGTTTAAGAGTACTACTTTAGCTTAGTAGTCTTTCTTTTACTATTTTTTTCTTACCTAAGTAGATAGATAGATAGATAATAATATAATCAATCAACTACTTTATAAGATATAAATGCGCCTGTTACCTACCGCCGTACGAGTTGGCGCCTATGGCCAGAAGCCTCGTCCCAGTTCACTAGCTATAGACGGGGTATAGTGAAGAGGAAAGTGTTAAGAAAGACGTGAGGGGAGCCGAGCCCTTTTAGGCTCCTATACCTTAGGCCGTCTAAGCCTACTACCTAGGGTAGCGGTAAGAGAGGTAAGGATCCCTAAGTATCCCTACCGCCCTAGAATCAGCCGGAAATATAGTATATAGCGTAGAGCCGCGAATGTAAGGATAGCGTACGAGGTACTATTTATGAAAAGAAGTAGAGATAGTGGTGGGAGGGAAGTAGAGGCGTATTGGGAAGGTTAGGGAAGGGCGGTCCTGAGGCGCGAGAGTGGAGCTCGAATCGACTAAGGAAACCCTTAGGTTCCCAGTTTGGGCTCCTTTCATCTAAAATAGGACTAGCGGCCACAGGTAGGCTACGTGCCTGCCATCAGCGCGACCTGGTGACGGTGCTCCTGGTGCGATGGAGCGTGTATCAATTAGAACGATGTTGAGGAACGCAGTTATCAAGTCTCGATGATGGGAGACATCCACCGCTCGGCGCAGAAAGTACTGAATCTCGTCCTTTGGTGTCTGCTCAAACCCTCTCAAGCGCTTAGCGAGAAGGAAGGTCTTTGACCTTAGAAAGAGTGCCTAGAGGGCCACCACGAGACTTCCTCGTCACACCGGTGTCGATTCCCTTGCTCAGAAGCCATTACCAGCCAGGCTACGGCCTGGGTCAAGGCACAATTCATCCATCCAATCCATAGACAGTTAGGCGTAGATAACGCTGTCTGATCGCAGGCAGAGAGTGCGCAAAGGCCGTGTTACCCTGAGCGTTTACTGAGCCAATAGCCGAACGTCACTGAGCCCTCCCTAGGCACTCCCTAGGCACTCCCTAGGCACTCCCTGAGACCTAAACCAGGGGCCAAATTAGGCGCCCTAGCAATCGGCTACACCCGCCTCTCGACTGGCGTCAGAGCACCTGGCAGATTCCCTACCCTCCAGGACTCACCGAGAAGCGAGTGTGCCTCGCTGCAGGGGCTTTCATGAAGATTCAGCCCAATACCCACAGGTTCCTGCTATCGAACATTCTACCTCGTCCACAGTCCCCACAGCCACAAGGGCTGGGGAGTTAGCGCCGTGGTGCCTGGGCCCGTCATTTTCCGGGCGCTGCTCGCGCCGACGCGGCGACCGGCTTACGCGGCTCAAGTCAACGGAATGCCCATGCCGTTTACCCTGTTCTGACCACAAGACCCTGTTCTACATTTGCCTTTCGACATGGACTTCTATCCACCACTTTACCACTCGACGCATCTTTCATCCTTCAAGTCCATCTCTGGGATGCTTTCATGAGTAAATCTACAGTGCATACTCTGTCAACGATCCATCCGGCCGTGCATTCGGCCGTGAAATCCGCCTGCTTCCCCCCAGCCGTCACCTTAATCTGATACCCCTGTCGGCGCTCATAGTCGTCGTCTCAAGATATGCGGTCTCACCCTGTGGCTGCCTACTCCACATATTTAGGGGCTAGAAGGGCCATCACACGGCGAGGGCTGGCTAGCATGCTCACATGGACGAATCTCGAAGGCAGCACTCTTATCTTTTGTCCGTGACTCAAGCTCAACGAGCAAGGAGTCTGCCCAAAGATTTGGGTCTCTACCACACATATGCACTATCTGAAACCAGGAGCTTGTGCCTTACCAGCACCTCGCCTTACGGCTTGGTGGGAAGGGGACCGAGATGTACATAGTACCTCGCCAGACGATCTTTGCTTGGCAATTCTCTCTCCCATTCGCCTCGTCGCCTGAAGCGCAGGCTCTGGGCAACCACACATATAAGGTCGGCTGAATTTGGACATTTCAGTATCGCGTGGTGTGATAAGCCTACCTGTCATCCTTTCCTCGAGTATCCTCGTGCACTCACCGTGCAGTCATGCCCACCCGCGCAGAAGCAAAAGAACATATCAATTCATTCTGGACGAGACGTCACATCGCCAGAGATGCCATCGATATTGAGAATGACATCAATCTTCGCGACCTTTCCAATGGACTGAAAATGTACTTCCACGCATCAACATCCCAGAGACTCCTGCTAACCAAATTTGCAGCCTTTCTGATGGCCTCTACGGTGATCTCACTCACTTTTTCTGGGAATTGCTCCAGAACGCGGATGACAGTAAATATCTTACAGTACCCCGCGTCGACTTCGTCCTGACCAGCCATTCTCTGACTTACGAGACCAACGAAATCGGCTTCACCAGGGGTGATGTGGAGTCGCTGTGTGCAGTGGGCTACAGTTCAAAGGCAGGTCAGAATGACACGATTGGGGAAAAGGGCATTGGCTTCAAGTCAATTTTTAAAATTGCAGACGTCGTCACCATTCACTCAGGTGTATATTCTTTCAAATTGGATACTCGACCTCCTCTCGGCAATGTCGGCATGGTTCTGCCCATGTGGCTGGACAAAACACAAGACTTCCCTGGGACATCAATCACCCTGCAGTTCAAGGCCGACCTTGACGTGTCCAAGTTGCGCCAGCACCTAGCCTCATTTGATTTCACCTTCCTACTGTTTACCCGAAATATCAAAGTGATCAATTTGAAGGTCTTAGCTGGACAGCCGTTTGAGAAGCTTGGACGGCTCGAACACTTGGCGCCTAAGGGTGAAAGAATAGAGACAAGGATCGACGGCCGTCCCGATGCGACGATGGACTATGTCATATTTCGACGCAAGTATCAGGGCATGCCTCCACGTCAACCTGGCGCTCAGGTTCAACCCGACGGCGATAAAACGACAATTGTGCTCGCTTTTCCACACCTCAATCACAAACCGCTTGCCGAAGGCCAAAAAACTTATGCATACCTACCTGTCAATTCCTTTGGATTTCAGGTAGGACCATTACCGCTCTTACGAAACGATTCGATCCTAACAGTGGCGCAGTTTATTATTCATGCTGATTTTGTCTTGACTGCCAATCGAAAAGGTATTGATAGTGACCGAGGATGGAATACATCCCTCCAGAGGTGTTTGCCCGAAGCGCTCTGCTCTGCTTTTGAACAGTTGGCAACATCGGCGGAATCTCAAATGAGGTTTGGTTGGCCCGAATATTTGGGCTCTCTGGGGTTTATTCACGATTCGTTTATGAGAGAAGTTGCTGACTCCACTATCAAACAACTGCGATCGAAGCTACTGGTTCGAACAGAGTTGCAAGACGGTGTTTTCCTAGCGCCTCAGGATTCTCTGACTGCATCAGATGAGTTTCGTGACGCCACTGGCGGACTTCTTATCACCGAGGGCACATACGCACAGCGGGTGAGATCGAATGCCTACTCTTACAACTCGGCAACGATCCTCTCAAGACTGGGTGTCACTCCCTTCGAGATCTCGCACTTCGTGGAGTTGCTGGCCCAATATATTTCAGCGCATATGGCAAGATTCTCATCAGAGGCAACAGCATGGCACTCCCGCGTCGCGAGTCTTCTCTGCAATCATTTCTCGAACGGACAATATCAGCTCTATTCACCCGTATTCCAGGCCTTCAAAGCTCTGCGGATCATCCCGCTGGATGACGGCTCATGGGTATCTGGTGCTTCTTGCGCAACTAAAAAGGTCTTTATGGATCAGGGTCGCCGCATCGCCCTCCCCACTGGCCTCCACTTTTGCTTCGTTCAGGCGTCGGCTGCCGATGATCGTCACCGCAGACAACTCTACCGACTGCTAGGTGTCAAACCATGTGATGAAACAGAGATATGCAAGATGATACTCGACTCCCATGCAACAATGGTAGTTTGGCCACCTTTGGAAATCCTTATCTCGCATGCGATGTACATCTTCCGCGCTCGCTACCAACCTCAATATGGCCAATCACTCCGCCTACGCCTCCTTGACTCCAATCTTACTATTCGATACCGGGAGAGAGTCCATCTTCCTTTTGGGACACAAGGAAAGGCTCTTAGACGGCTTTTTGCAGACGACTTTTCTGGTATCATTTGGCTACATCCAGACTACGAAGATAGAGTAACGGAAGGCGAGAGACAATACTGGTTCCAATTCTTATGCTCCGTAGAAGGAGTGTATCGGTTGCCTCCTCTTCATTCAGGTGGACGACTCTCTGATGCAATGAGGCATATCCTGATGAGAAATGGATCAAAGGAATTTCTCTGGCTTCTGAAGACGCAATATCGTTCGGGCTATGGTAATATGTTTGGAGATTCGCACACCTGGGAAGCTCAAACACTCACAGCGGATATCAGCAACATTTGGGTAAGCACCGATCAAGGTGTGCAGAAACTGTGCGAGACGATATTGCCGTCTTTGTCGCCTATCAGCCTAGGTCTTCTCCCTGTTATACAGCTGGTTGATCCACAAAATACGGACTGGAGCTTCCTCCGCAAATTTGGAGTCCAGACTGAGCTCTCGCCGGACTTTTTTGTGAAACAGCTCCGGGCTTTGAAAGAAAACAATGACCAGGGACGAGTGATAGCAACGGCTACAACTGTTTATAAAGCCATTGCAGCATATCCGGCCTTGGACAGCTCAAAACTGTGAGTTCAACACTTTTGGGATGTGGTAGCTGCTCACAGCGATGAACCAGGGCGAGTTTCCATACCGAAAGTTTGATATACGTCGACCCCGGCGGGTGGGTTTTGCCACAGCAGTGTGTCTGGAAGGCCTCATTTCCCTGCACGAAGGTGCCTGTTCTCTCCAGACTCTATCGTGGGTGTGACAATCTTTTCCAGGCCCTTTTGAAAGTAAGGGATGCAGGACTTGACGATTTAATCTCGGAGCTTGAAGACATGGAGTCAACACGAGAGCTTGACCGAACCAGGCTTTTACGCCAGAATATGTTGCCTGCTCTGGACTCCTTCCTAGGCAAGGCTTCCCTATCAATGACACAAAGACGACGATTGCTTCCGCTTCACATTTTTCCAGTTACTCAAGTTGGATCTAATGATCCTACCCAAGCTGCACAGTTACTCCGAGCCGAAGATACGTTCTGGATTGCAGACTTGAACTTTCTAAAATCAAAGTTCGAGGGATTCTTACCATTGCTTGATATAACTGAAAAACTCTTCAAATCATCAATCCACAACGTTTTCAAGAATTTGTCGATGGACTCCAAGCGTTTGTCTCTGAGCGTCCGGAAAGAAGAGAACCAACCAAACCAAGGTGATATATCCGAAGTAGCGGATCCTGCGCTTAGCAATAGGCTCCGAAGGCAGAGTCGATACATCATTGGGTAAGTACTTTGTACTCTCCACGGCACAGATTCATATCTGACAGGAGCAAGCATTGTGTGTCATGAAAACAAACTTAATCAGCCAGCCGACCAGGTGACAGCAATGCTTAGCAACATAAGGGTTTTTCGGGTTCCAGACATAACTATCAGGCGATACGTTCTTGATGCCAGCACAAAGAGATACGGCCGCGACGAGAAGGGAGAGGTTCTCTTGCTGGACGCAGATGGAGAACTACATATTAAGATCCGGCGAGATTCAGAGACCATGGACATCATCATCCCATTATCAGATCGTTTCGCAGAACGCTTTCACTTGGGGAACGCCAATCGTGAACTTCTTGTGAAAGTCCTCACAACTGAGAAAGTCGAGCAATTCATTGAAGGACTCGAAAGAGCAGGTATCAAGACAGATCCAACAACCGTCGTTGAAATTGTGGCTGAAGACAGCTTGGACGAAGATTCCGATGACGGTACACTTGCTGAAGATCCTAGTGACAACCTCGGATTGGCTTTCCAAAAATTGCAGATCAGCAAAGGGAGGACTGGTAGTGGTTCAGACGAAGAATCTTCGGGATCACAGCAACGCAGGCCATCACAAACACCAAGCTCACAGGGACGACGAGTACGCAATGATGGAGAGGTCTCCTCGCCATTCTCATTGAGAAGACGGTCGGGCCAGGCTGCCTCCGGTGGGGCAAGATCAGATGCTATCGCTACAAACGGGGAGACTACTACAGACGAGAATATTGCGCGCTTGACTGCAAGCCTGATTGACGCAAAGCTGTCTGACACCACTCATGAGGTCTTCCGCAACTGGGTTACACCTCCTTCGGGAGAAGTGCCCAGCAAGTCTTCAGTGCCTGTCTTCGGCATGGCTACCGCCTTCGAATTCACTTTCAATTCACCTTCTCCCCAGCCTCTTGTGAACAACCCAGATGCCAGCGGGAGCAGTTCATCGGGGCCAAATACGTTAGCAACGTCGCGCCATATTGCCGACAACTCGTCAGAGGCCCAAGCGGGCTTGGATGCGCCACAATCTTCTCCGAACCATTTACACGGTGCATTTAAAACCCCAACAAAGGCGTTTCGACAGTCGAATCATCCCTGGTCGTCTGGACGACCTCCCAGGAGCAGCTATGGTGGAAACAGCTTTGTCGCTCAGGAGTCCTCTGAAGCCGTACCACATGAGATTGGATTTGCTGGAGAACACCTGGTGAGTATTTACGACCACCCATGGCACTAAACCAGCTTTCTAACAGACACAAACTTAGGTATACAAGTTTCTGGAAGACAAGCTGTCACCATTTTTCACGCCAGAGAACTGGACTAGTAGAGGTCGAGCGAAAGCCTTTCCAAATCCATTCAGCGATGACTTTCGCGAGAAGGACTTTGCCGATTTCACCTACGTCGACACCGACGGACGCTTGCGTATGTATTTGAGCGAGAACGTCCCGAACTTTGAGAACCCAACCGGTCAGCGGAACAACATCACCTATCATTTGGAGGTCAAATCTACCCTGGGCAGCCTACACAACCCGGCATTCCTGAGTAATAACCAGATCTCCATGGCGAAGAAGTACTCAGGGCGATTTTCGACACCGGCCACCCAGACCGATGTGTACATCCTGGTTAGAGTCTACGGGCTTGGTTCGGACCCTCCTCAACCGCAGTTGTGCCTGTTTCCTGATCCTTGGAATCTTATCTGCCAGGATTCTCTGCTTATCGAAGGCGAAGCTGGGATTTATGTGCGACCGAAAGTCGCCTGAGCGACTTTATTACGCGAATTAGATTGGGCAGATGTAGTGCGAGCAAAGGACGGCGCATTTATGTCTAAGAAAGCTAATATAAAGCCGACCTTCTACACTGTCTTCGAATGAAATAGGTAGAGATGCATCATTACCGGGCAAGAGAGCATCCTGCGTAGAAACCACCTAATTTAAGAGTTCAACCACATTAGATGAGGGAGTCGTGTCAGGATCTCCAGCATCTCAAAGGGTCCTATCGTCCGAAGGTTACGAAAGTTACTGTTGTGAACTGAAGAGGAAGAAGGGGATGAAGGGAGAGATAGGTTACGAATATAGTAAATCGATTCCGACACCTTAGAGGGGATTTTACGGTTGTTAGGGAGTCGCCGTTTCTAGCCGGCACCAAACTCTGTCCACCGCTGTTTCATATAGAATAGAGATAGATTATCACGGCGCACTTTACAGCCTTATATAACACCCTCCATAAAATATTCGCGGACCGTAAATGGTAGGGGCTAGTGCCAGGGTTTCGCTTCGTATACCTGTGCACCAGAACACCGCTTAGCAAAGACGGGTACGGCCTTTGAACGGGCGAAGAACTTACTCATCCCAGAGGTCGGCTATTAGGTCGTATTTTAACTCGGTTCCAGGTTTAATAGGTTTACTAATTCGATCGCCATTCACATCGGCGTTCACACTTAATTGCCACCCATTCTCTTCCGCTTAATCGAAGAATTCCTGTATAGTTCTCTTCCTGTTTGACATTGGGAACAGCAAACAGGACGGTGAACATCCAAAAAACAGTACGAAACCAATGAAACGCGAACGGCCAAGGGGAAAAGAAGGGGACGCCAGGGACAGAGGGTAAAATAAAACGAACACTGACAAGGTACGATCTGGGCCGTGAGAAGAGGGACTGAGTGAGAGAGTGAACGAGCGGGACAAAGTGAGAGGGACGTGTGAGAGACAGAGGGAGAGTGTCGGAACTGCGATGGTGGAAAAGAGAAAGGAAAAAGGAAGACAGAGAGAGCCGTTGTAGAACGGAGGCTTCTAGTTGAACTCTCAAAGCTACTGTACGTACCACTACGAATCCTCTTAAGGATCCCAACTCTAGTGAGGGCCCGAAACGGCCTATCTAGGATACCCTTGTGTAAAGTTACTCTGAAGTCGTCTTGATGAATATGGGGCTAGAACTAAAACAGGGAGTAAGAGGAAGCAGGGAGAGAGCTGAGGGTGTGCGGAGAGGGCGAGGGCGAGGGGAAGCAGAAGAGAGCGGAAGGGGAGCGAGAGAGAGGCGAAGGGAGTGGAAGGGAGCAGACGGGGGAGCGAGGAGATCAAATAGTTGCTAGCGCGGGAGTAATGCGGCGACGGATGAGTCAGTCAAAGGGCCGTGAAAAAGTGCTGTTCGGGGATTATATATATATATATATTGAAACTTCGAACAATCGTCCTTCGCGCCCATTCAGCTGACTAATAGCCCGCCGCTTTGCTCTCCCGCCAACGACTATTTAGTCGATTCGCTCCCTCGTCCGCTCCCTTCTCCTCCCTTCCTCGCTTTCTAGCTCCCCTTCACCTTCGGCCTGCTCCTGCCGCGCTCCCTCCCTCCCTACTCTTTCCTGCGCCAGCGAGGCTCTCGTTTAGCTTCAGTCTCATTGGCGCCCACGTCACACGCACCTGCCTTGTAACTCTACCCGATAGAATTGATGTAACAACGATACCACCCACGGGTAAGGCCTGTCTTGGTTGCATTAGAGAGGGATCACGTGTTATGCGAAGCACAAGGTAGGGTATCGAAGAATATTGTATTGAAACCTGTCTGCCTATCAGAGGCCCCTAGGCATCCCTTCATACCCTTCCTGCTCCTGACGCCCTCAGCTTCTAGGTCCTCCTCCTCTGAGTCCTCTGGGACGCCACTGAGACACTTGTGAGGCTGGTAGCCCGTCAGACTTCTCCCTGGGTCCCTTCTGACCGACTCCTACTAACCTGCCTATCCTAGCCCTGAGCTGGCTCGGTGCAATAGAATGTTAACACCCTCGGTCACGTGACTACTTCTGAACAGGGCTGGTACGCCTGGGTCTGCTGGGCGTTACACCTCCATAACAAACAATAATGAAAAAGGCGCTAAAGTTCAATGACTCTCGGGTTCGACGGTTTCCCTTTCAGCCGGTCAATCTCATCTGTACGGCCAAAAATCCTTGCAGTCGATTACAATGTTCATTCCTCATTCCACTAGCCAATCCATGTGTGAACTACTCATTGCAACTCAGATGAACGGTCCATAAAACCATAATTGGAACTACCGTCCAGGAAATCAAACATAAGCTAATACAGGCCCAGATATCTTTCATAGTTGCGATGCAAAGTAAGCTTGATGACACCCATCCCACGATAATGTACAATAGGATTCGATATGCCGAAACAGAATAGGTAGCAGAAAGCCCCCAAAACGTCTCTAGCTCATGAAAGTCTTCTCGTAAGGGGCGATTTCGCTGTGGGAGGCTTTCTATAGCATATTGACCTTGAGCATCAATAAGTCCACGTAAGAGGTGAGTTATCTCGTCCAGGCCGAGATACGGCCGACTCCTTTTTCTGTAACCAGAAATACCTGACGGGAGGATGGCTTTTCTTACACGACAGTACTCTGATCGACCGAGTTTCTGAAACTGGGTGTATGTTAACGGGAGTGACAAGCATCTAGGTTAGCGACTAACGACATACCAGATAAAAGTCGAAGTGAGTAAATATCCACACACTGAAACAAGAGAGCATAAAGCCTCGTATTCTGTTATGCTGTATTCTCAAAATCTTGAAGAATTCTCCATCCTCCAAATCATGAACCTCTATTTGCAGCATCTTTAGCTTGCCGCCACGTTGCACACCAGTAAAGACGAAGTAGTCGATGTCGGCCGTCGAGGTTGTAACAGAATTGGTATCATTCAAGCTGTTTACAGCTCCTTGGGTGATCCGAAATAATAGCTCTTCCGAAATTCTCTCCGACCTTCTCACGTGTTCAATAAGGTTGTATTGAAGTGTCCTGTCATCAGTTAGACTGAGATGTATGTCATGGATGTCACCATTACCTCGTGAAGGCATAATCAGCTAGTATAATGTCCTGCCTCGCGCTCTGGAGCGAAGTCTGCAATTTTAAGATCGTGTCCCTCGCAAGGTAGACTGCAAGAGATCCTCCAAACTTCTGTCGATTAATTTTACCCAGTAGTTCTGTCGCTGTTCTGTCGAGCTTTTGAGCCGCTCTCTCACAGCGATCTTCACACATCGACCATATTGTATCAGGTACAGAAATGCCAGCAAACTGATCTTGCTCTCTCTTTCGTACCGTTAAGATGCTCTGGAGATGTTCCGTTTCATCGATAAGTGCTAGCACATCAGTGTGGCATTTTTTGATAAAGGGCCGAAGCTGCACAAGCTTGAGCACAACCTTAGCGGTTTGTGCTCCAAATGTTCCAAGTGCAATGATGGTCGCAGCTTCTGCCATCACAGTATCCTCTTCTCGCGAAGAATGTGTCCTTGACGTATGGATAGAAGGGTTCCGGCGTTGAGATCTCAGTTGACGATGATATCGTGGAAGGAGAGGAACGAAGCGCGACGCAAAGTTGCTGCTTTCACAATCTTAGAATGTGGGAGGCTCGAACATTACAGTATGTTGTGCTTAGGGTCATCTATGTGAATTTGACTCGTCAGTATACATTCATGGCAGGCAGACGAACAAAGAGTTGAAAACAATGGCTTCTGAGGCTGTGGATGACATATTTTAGGCACACGAATCAGTATCCATAAGCCTACGCCCCCTTCTGCCGGTCCATGGCGGTTGATGCAACGTGCTCGCTGTGCAAGGCTAGTTGCATATCAAGGCTGAAATTTTAGGAATCCATCTTCATAGGAGAATGCGACCAGCGAGATGGCTCGACGTCAAAAACGCCAAACCGCCCAGCCTGCGACCATGCCCGCAACTGTATTGCGACCTAGTGTCATGAACGCTGAGCCCCGCCAGGCTAGCTTAGTCAGACAGACCGATAGATATCCGCACACTCCTCGCAAGCGGGAACCTAGCTTACTGTGTGAAAATTACTCCGTGGTTGCAATGTGTCCGTAGGTGTGAACCACTTTCGGGAACGACTATATACCTTACCAGAACACGTACGTAGACGAAAGGATCGAAAGTTGCCAGGCAGTAGTAGGCTTAGCTGAAACAAAATGAAGGGGTTACAGCTAGGCAACTATAGCCGAGGCTCAAATGGGACCCCTGAGCCCGAACTAGCTTCTGCGAATGGGCATCAGGCAGCACTCCCTGTGGCTCGCACAGTACTCGAGCGCGCTCCCCCGTCCTCTACCGTGGCTCCCTCGACGCTCTCCCGTGCTCGGCATGGCGCCCGCGATGCTTCGTCACGTGCCCGATTAAAAGCGGCCGCGCTCCCTTTCCCGAACGAAAATGGTAATGGATGAAGGACAGTTCGGGGTGTATATAATATATATATATATATATATCCATTCCATCTTGACAGATCCCTCTCCCTAGTTTTATGACCTCAAACGTAATGCCACCCTCCCTCTGTTTAGGTACTTCACTTTCATCATCAACTCTGGGGGGATCTGTTGGTGGGCAGACTGCACTGTTTTAGTGAGGTTGCCTGTATGGGGCGGAAAGGGCACACCCTGCATTGCTGCATAGCTATGACATGCACCAAATGCTTGTTCACTTAGTTAATGCCTCGGCTTGGGTGGATTCAAGCTAGAAAGACAGAAAAAAATATGACACCCGTTGTTTCCTGTGCCCTTTTTCCTGCATATACATTTGCAGAGTTTTCCTGATGTACTTCTTATCCGAAATGCACCGTTTCAAAAACCCAAAAGACGGGACAAAAATATGGGCAAAAATTTGAAGACCACTCCGCGTGGGACTCGAACCCACAACTATGGAATCCCGTTAGTTTTCTGACATGGAGCGCGGTGATGGAGAGAATGATGCATACCCTCCAGATTTCAATAATAGAAGTCTGGCGCGCTACCATTGCGCCAGCGGAGCAATGAAGACAGATAAATTTCACCCGCGCTTTCGACGGGCGAATTTTCCCCATTTTTGGGGACGGGGGAATATATCATGACTAAAGTCACGGTGGGCGGGTGTTGAGAGTGGGAAGAATTGGAGAATGGGGGTTTGGAGGTTGAAAAAGTGCCCACCTTATTAATAATAAGGAGGCACGACAAGTAAAAATAAGGCGCAAGGTCACGTGCGCGGCTATACCGTGGTGGGCCGGTGACGACCGGGTAACCTTCCATATTAGGCAATATGCTTTTAGCGCCGTAAATGTCGGTGCACATGCAGCCAGACCATTTCATCCATGGTCTAGGACATTGTCGTGAGCTCGCGGGGATGTCTGTTTATTTGCGACCGAGAAGATCGTCCACATAGAGGGAAAGAAAAGCGGATCCTAACTCGAATATACCTTGTGCAGTCCTTTGAAGATCTGTTGAGATCCCCGGGTTGTCCACATCGAGTCTGTCCACTTACACTCGTTGCTCAAGCTCAGAGCCCGTGAACTAAATCTTGTGTATGCGGTATGGTAGTGCCTTGCCGATGAACTGTATCTTGTGGGCGTGATACTGCAGGCCAGGGATGAGGACTTGCAAAGTGAGAAGATTCTTCGAAGAGGGAATCTTTTAAGGTCGATACGGAAACCATATACTTAGATGTCCTAGGCACTTCTTCGTTGCCGAAGCAGATACAACCAAAACGTTTAATCAATAGAAATCCTAACGTTGGGAAAGAGGCGTATGCTCAGCGGAGAGATAAAACACTATTCAAGAGCCCATCAGGTGAGCGCTATCCCGAACATCCATGATCATGGAGAGTCAAAGAGCCCCAAGCAAAGACAAGGCACCCTTGCTATACATGAAGACTGACCATATCTCAACAACTGATATCCCTTCATTTAACGCGAGGAAAGACGACTTTTTAGGTAGCATGCTGCTATGCAGTGCTGACGATTGTAATCCCACGACAAGCCTGTAGCGACGTCAAAAGCCTGTGACTTGTGCGTCTTTCATGGCAAAGTGACCACTGGGTCTCTGGTCGGTAGTCGAGGTTCACGGAAGAACTGCTTGAGCGTCGCAAATGGCGGGAACAAATCGCACTTGCGGTTGTGCCAACTCCGCTGGTCATTCACATTCTGGATCACTCCTTTCCACGCGGCCCTTTCGATGACATATTCCTTTGCATGGTCCTCCCACGACTTGAAAGGCCTGAGGAAGCCACGCTGATGCAGGTAGTCCATGTCCCAGAGGTCGAAGGCCAAGACAAAAGTGACCATTACGGCAAAGACGATGAGCGTGGTATAGCAGATCCATCTGGCAAAACTGCCGCCGTCCGCCGGTGGATCCACGCCTCTGGTTGTTTGGTAGACTGCAGGCACGGCGGTAAACGGAAGCAGACACAGGGTGAAGAGGAATGCAACCCTGTTGAGAGTCTGCGCGCGCCGGCTGCAGCTCTCAGAGTTCTCGAGGTTGACGACTTGAATCTCGCCCACCAGGCTGTCGTAGATCTTGGTCGCCCGTTTTTCAAGAGCGTCCATGGACTGCTTCAGTTCGTAGAAATCCCAATAGATGCTCCACCAAGAGTCCTGATCCTCGTTTTTGGCGACGAAACCATTTGGGCGGCCGAGATTGATGGACGGGAGCGTTTGGTGGGTTTCTTCGAGATTAGAATGTCTCTCTCCCCAGGCCAAGGAATGCAGAATGTCGATACTCGCGTCAATGTCTCTTTGGTGACGCGTGATTGCCACACGCCGTGATTTGATCTCCTCCACCGTCGTGCTTCTCAGACAGTTGGCGGATCGCCATTCCAACAAGTCGAGATCAAAGCTTCGCCGCACGACAAGCCGCGCCCAATTTGCAGAGACGAGGCGGAACACCGGGGAGGCGAAGATTCGAATGAATTTATCGACATCTGTGCGTTTCGGCTGCTCAGAAGTACTTATTCCGCCGACAATAGACCCAAACAGGTCCTTCGGCGCGCTCTTCTTGGGACTCTGCCTCTTTTCGTTATCTCGAAGCCAATCCTTGAGCTGCAATTTCAACACAGTGTCATATGCAGAGGCAAAAGCTTGTTTTTGTCGTTGCTCCTCCCACTTCGAGAGCTCTTTGTCTTCTAAGATCGCCTGAAGTTTCTTCGGCGTGGGTATCGCGTTGGGTATAGACCGAAAACGAATGGTTTTCTCGCCTGTGTGGAGGCTACATTTGCACGGTTGCTCATCGAGGGGCAGATCTTTCTCCGTTTCCTTTTTAGCAAGGCCTGGGGCATGAACTGGCAGAGTCGGATAAAATATGATAACCGCTAACAGCGTCAGCTGATTTTCAATTCTGCCGACGGGAGAGGGGGACGACCAACCTGTTCGTGGATGACCCACGGGTTCTGAATAGATTGAGATCCTATGTAAAAGATTGAATTGGAAGACATTCTTCATCTTGTCGTTGTGGTCCTTCAGTAGGACTTCGTAACCGGACTTGAGGCCAACATTAGTCGTGCTGGCGATGAAGTCTTGCCGCGATATGGGGAAATGATCCCATCCCACGGGGAATAAAAAGTGCTTTTCGATATTGTCTCTGATGCTATTATGCCCTTCGATAGCATAGTCATCCTGCGTGTCGAGTTTCGCCTCCGGCCACAGTTCACCCGCTCTAAGACTACTCTCGTAGATTTCGTCGAAATCGATCTGGACTGACGACGGGAGCCTAGAGACGAGTCTGCCGGATATGGCTTCTGTTCCAGGAAGGTGACGGTTGAAGAAGTCCGCCGAAATCTGGAATTTTGCTCCGAGGAGTTTTGTTACATTCGGACTGAGGTGGCTTACTGTGATGATTCGGCATTCGTCCTGTGGGAGAAGTCTTTCGTCATCCTAAGCAGTCGGCTCGTCCTCAGCCAAGACATGCTTCTGCTGTGTTGTCCCAGTCTGAAAATGAGGGTCTGTATACAATCGAGTCTGAAGCCTTTTGAAATCAGTCGGATCACTCGCCCGATACTCCACCACTTTCAGGAACTCGTCCCAGTTCTCCTGTTGCTTTGGATTGATGGAATATATTCGCACACATTCGTCGACCGATGGATTCTCCAGCTGATCAGGGGTTCTGTTGGCATGATAAGTCCTTCTGGGACAGGAGCAGCTTCCTATCACCCTGGGATAGTTTGTCTGCGGATCTTTTTCTTTGGGGTCTTCTGTCTCGGTGCAGTCACAATTACCTCCTGTGGCTATGCACGTGCAAGACCCGACATCCTCCTGAGGAGCTCTGAAAAAGCATTGGCAATTGTCGGTGCATCTACAATTACCTCTTTCCAAGAACTTCTTCAGACGTTCGAAGGATCGTGGGAGGCGGTTGCAGAGAGTATCCACATAGTCTTTGTAGTCTCTCATATCTTCCTCGGCAAGTCTGACTTGCTCGATGTCTATTTTCCGCCATTCCTCTTTGTGAGGAGGCACTTGCGGACTGAGGAATCGTACTTCGAATCTTTCCTCGACAATGCCGGCAGAGTCAGCGGCGGCGGTGGAGGAGTGAAATGACAGCCCATTGACTGGGTTGTTGAGCGGTTCCGGGTCCATGTCTGACAACGAGAACGGTAATAGAATCTGTAGTGTACTTGATGTAGTCAGGACTATTCTTCATCAGAGATGTTTTGTGCCTGAAGGTGTTGAGAACTGGAGGTCGTTCTTATAGATTTCCAGGCTCAAATCATAGTCAAGCCCGAGCTTCATCCTTGTCCACCCCAGAACGTCTCTTGAGTTTCGAACCACTGGCAGACGCCTTTCAACTGAAGAATCATGAGCCATCAAACCGAACGACGCATTTGGTGGTGTAGTAAAGAAAGAGGTGTTTGGTCAGACTGAGGCCAGACAACGACGTAGTCTTTCGATGTCCGCGTCGTCGAATGCCTGGACACTCAATTCGTCTCGACATTGCTGGATGTCTCCTCGAGTCAAACCCCAAGGTGGTAGGGCTAATACGAAGACAAGCCAAGGAATCACCGATGCATTCCCTCAATTCGGCGAGCCCGACGCTTCATCACCCTAAACGAGAAGTGATTTCAGAGGTATGACACGAGACCGACAGACAAAAGTGGAAAGCGGTGGCGCGGAAGCGATTGTCCAGCTTCCTTCAGAGCATACTCCGACGTCACTAGCCAGGGTATTCGATGGTTCTATGCCTCTCAAAAGAGCCAATATATCGGGGCTGTTTGTGAATCGACAAAGTAGAGGCCGACGCCGTACGGGCGAGTCTGAGAATATGTCAGCCTGCAGACATGACATTTGGCGGCGCCGCTCTGTATCACTCTTTCTAAACCTACCCTCAGGACCCATTTCGTATTCGTGCTGGCTGCAAGCGTCACGTTGAAAAGAGGAACGAGCTGGCAGCTCCAACCAAACCAGGCAAAGGTCGTGTCCTGGCCAAGCCTGTAGGGGGACGAGCTTTGTCGGGTGATTAACGGGCCACGCTGGCAATCGATTCGTATCCAGCAGAATCTGGGGGCAAGTAAATCCGGGGGAGCAAGTCCAAACGGACCAGCATCGACGTTTCTGCTTGATCACAGCGCCATCTCATGATTTGGTGGTCTGAGTCGCTTGGCATCTCCAGAGGCTACTGATTGCCAGCATATACGCCCTAGGACCAACTGAGACACCGTCTTGAGATGTTAATAACAAATCCGCCCTCCATCTATGGATGTATGGGTTATCGGTAGCGGATCGTTGGGTTGGGTTGGGTGGGACAAAATGTTCGCAGCTCAGCACAGGGTTTGGGGAAGAGCGGCCCGGCGGACACTCGCAGCATTTCGGATCAGACCGCATCCCGCACTTCTACTTGGACTTGGCTTTGTTGTCTCCATGTGAGTCAAAGCCAATGTTCCGAGGCTCAAGCAAGGCTGCCACTTCTCCTCTTAGGCCATCTTGATATCTTCGATGAGAGGGCGATAGGAACTCGAGAACCATGAAGCTGGAGGATCAGGTTGTCCTTGTTACGGGTAAGTACAGATCTGCTCTCCAGGACCAATCTCGCTCGTTGGACGGCACGACCAATCGCTCAAATGAACGATCCCTATCCTTTGTGCTAGACACACACTCAGTGGCTAATGTTGCAGGCTCATCCCGCGGACTGGGTCTAGCAATCGCAAGGGCATTTCGCAGCGAAGGCGCAAAGGTCGTCCTCAACTATTTCAAAACCACCGAGGACCGCATCTCAGTGCTGGCGGCAGATCTCGGTTCTACAGAGGATACCCTGTTCTTCCGCGCTGATGTCACCAATGCCGACGAGGTCCAAGAACTATTCAGGGCTGCGGAACGCCACTTCAACAAGCCAATATCGACAGTCGTAAACAACGCCATGGTGGGCGACTTTGCTTTCAACGGAGACGCAAGACCCAAAGTCTCCGATCTCACGTGGTCAAACTTCGACTCGCAGCTGCAAGGGTTTCTTCGAGGGGCCTTGAATACCACGCAAGCAGCCCTTCCAGGATTCGAGAAACTCGGCTTCGGCCGCATCATCAACATTGGGTCGAACTTGTTCCAGAATCCTGTGGTGCCGTACCACGACTACACGGCAGCCAAGGGAGCATTGCTGGCTTTCACCAGAACATGCGCGGCCGACCTGGGACCAAAGGGCGTCACCGTCAATATGGTGTCTGGCGGTCTCCTGCAGGTCACCGATGCTAGTGCTAGCACTCCAAAGGAGGTGTTCGATCACATCAAGGCCGTCACGCCCCTAAGAAAGGTCACAACGCCGGAAGATCTCGCGGGCGCGGTGTTGTTCTTCGCCAGCCCCTGGTCAGGTGCTGTGACTGGCCAACAAATAGTGGTCGACGGAGGCTTGGTCATGAATTGAGCCGACAACATATTCATTTGCTGATAGAGTTCCGCAGAGAGGTCATAACTTGGCTTGTGACTTGGGCGTCTGTATCTCCACAATGGCCTTCCCCCAGACTTTTCTGGCCGCGAGGTCGTCCAGAGCCCCGGGGACGCTTTCTAGGCCAGAATATGTCCCATAGACGACGGGCTTGATGTTGCCACGTTCGAGCATCTCATTCAAGCCTCTCCATACCTCTTCATTCTCTTTTGGATTCCGTCTCCCTGTTTCGCCGAATCTCTGCAGATCAAGTCAGCCATTGCCCTGCAGTGGTTGGTGCGCAAGTAGTGGACTCACGTATCCCAATAACTTGACCCCCTTGAGCAGCACCCTGTTCATGGCCAGCGTCTCCATCTTCCCACCGAGTCCAGCGAACCCGGCAATGACAATATTCCCACCAAACTTCAGACATCTGATACTCTTCTCGACCAGACCGACGGTGTCATACACGGAATCGACGCCGACATTCTCCGTGAGCTTGAGCACCTCTTTCTCCCACCCCTCCCGATCGTATCTGACAACACCCAGGACTCCCAGCCTCCTCACGACCTCGGCCTTCTCCTCGCTGCCCACCGTGCCGATGACCTTTGCGCCGAGCGCATGGGCGATCTGGACAGCCACAACGCCTAACCCACCAGCCGCGGCGTGGACGAGCACAATCTGGCCGGCCTTGACCTCCGCGACCCTGACCAAGGCTCCATAACTGACCGGCGCGGTGGCGGCACCCACGCCCGCCGCGTCGCGCAGCGTCCACCCTGTGGGCAATCTCTGCAGCGCCGACGGCGGGACAGCAATCTGCTCCGCGAACCCGCCGACCGAGGCTCCCCAGACTTGGTCGCCGGCCCGGAACCCGCATGCCGGCGGCGCCGACGCAACGATCCCCGCGAACTCGAGGCCTAGGACGAAGGGCGGCTTGACCAGGCCGATATGGTTGTTCTGGTGCGCCCCACGGCTGTACAGGAGGTCGACATGGTTCAGCGCGCTGTGGGTGATTGTCACCAGCACTTGATCTCCTTTCGGTGCTGGGCCAGGTACGTCGAGGGGGCGCAGCTCGGAATAAGTCTTGACGAACTGGTTGATCTGGATGGCTTTCATGGTCGCGCGGTGACGAGGTAGATGGACCTTGGGTCTACTCTTTGCGTTGAGTGCAAAATTGACGAAGACAGGAGTACCGATGACAGTCTCCGAGCACGTACAGACCCTCACAATCCAAGCGTCACGGGAATGAGGGCGACTTAAAGTATACTTGTAGAAGTTCCCGCGCCCTGGCCTGGAAGTATTTCCCCGGATGGTGTTTTACCGAGGTCCGACAGCGAGGCTGGCCGTTGGCTGTTGATAAAGAACGGCGTCCGCCTCAGCCTCGTCAACTTCACCCTCACCCTCATTCATTTCGCCAAGGCACCTCAGAAACGAAGTCGACAATGTTCGAACATATGAACTATAGTCCCGGAATATCCTGTCACATTCAACCGGTTGACAGAGGAGCTCTAAGTCTTGTCCACAGTCTTAAATTCATCCCCATCTCCCTAACTCGCAGCCAGAAGTGAACACCCCCAAGGAAATCATTGAAACGTAGGAGCTCTACTCTGTATCTCCCTAATTCGGCTGAAATGATGACTTCGGGTTGGCCTCACTATGGTTCTCTGAAAATGCGCAGGAGCTCTGAATATGTACCCAAGCTATAGGTGGGAGCAAGCACTCATCAAACCAAGAGAATGCAATCAAAAAAAATTCCTTCGCGGGGTTTTCTCACAAGCCTGAGTTTTTTGCTTCGCTTCATTATTGTGAGATAGGGAAGAGAATATGTGAGAGAGGGGGGGGGGAGGCTAGGGTTCGAATCCCAAGAGTGATCAAAAATTAAGAACAAAAAAAGAATTTTTTTGGTCCCTGTTGGGTTGTTGACTGACACGTGAAGGAGGTTTGATGACGAGGGTGCCTCCTCCAAGGGAAATGGCCTACCTAACCAGGTAGGCTAGAATGAAGTTTCGGCTGTGGGGAATTTGGCTGGGCTTCGACGAGTTTGACATGTTGGATACACACATGCTGCAATACCTTTCGTTTGACTGACTACCGTGGTGACCCTTGGGGATGTAGTCTGACAAGCGGAAATCCCTCCTGCATTCGGTCACCTTGCGGAGCACTCTTTCACTCAGTTGCAAGAACAGAGAAGTAGCCCTTGCGAAACATATACAAGGCCTCTCGCAACGGCCTGGGCCAAAACAATATCAGCACGCGGAGGAGGTCAGAGGACGACAATCCTTGCTATGTCCGTCGAGTTGCGACAGGCTTGAGATCAAGGAGAAATAGCATTCGTGGTGGAAATCAAGCGTGGTGTGTTCCTTGCGATGTCATCCCGTTTTCCCGCCGATGTCTATGCTTGTAATTGTTGTATGTACAATCGCCTTATCCGCAGCAGCTCTTCGTTGCCCATCCCGCAGTCGGATTTTCTTACACCCTGCACCCAGCATATCAAACTCCTTGATCGTAGCTTAGTGCGCGGCGGGCGCATCAGGCTTTGCATTGGGATTTCGAGGATCGTTCTTGTATTCATCCGCTATTCATCCAAAGTACGTTAGTCCGCTGCGTAGGAATCGCGTGCCTTTGATGGAACAAAATCCGGCGAGGGAGTCTAGCAGAAAGAAGACGAATCTTACAGTTCATCATGGCGTTTGCACCGGCATTGATGGCGTACAGGACGATAAGACCAGCTGCGTAGAAAGGCACCATCGGCTCGGCTGAGAGTGACAGAGGTTAGTGTCCCCAGACCTGAGAAAAGGCGTCTGTAGCTCGACGTACCAACTTTGCCGGGGAACTTCTTGGGGATAAAACCAGGCATTTTGACGGGATGGCGTTTATGAGAAACTGGCGAGCTTGCGTGAAGGAAGTTGGGTCGTCAATGAGCTTCCGGAGAAACTTGGGGGTTCTCGAGCTTGAATAGGACTAAGCCTTGTTAGTAGATATTCTTGGCACATTTGGTAAGTTTGCTGTTGCTCTGCGACGGGACTTGCAACGCGCCCGTGTCGCGGCGGGGTTGTTTATCCAGGCCAGTGCGAGAAAGACCTGATTGAATGTGAACCAGCAGTGTTTACTGAATATGGCCACGCTGGGTCCGGCTGTCTCCTCCCTCCGCTCCTCCATCTCCCTTCTCGAATCCAGTATCTCGATCCTCGACGAAGGCGTCTCAGACTTCCCTCGCCTGTGCAAAGTGCTACAGACCCAACAACACTTCGAACTCCTTCCTGAACCCACCCTCCGTGAAGCTCAGCAGTCTTTGGTCGATGAGATTGTCCCAGCTATCAACCAACTATTGTCCACAGCGGAGAACTACATCAACCAATTGGGAAGAAGAGAAGAGAGTCTCAAAGCGCGATCGGAATTGCTCGAGGGGAGGCTGAACAGCAGTAGAAGGAGGACGTCGAGTTTCGGCGGTAGCAATGGTGCTCGGTCTTTCCGCAATACGCAATCAGGTCAGCCTGCGGCGCCCTTGACCGATGCCAGGACGTTGGAGATGAAGCGTCTACAGCAGAAGAAAGAGAGACTACAATATGCCATTGAGCGATTGGAGCTGCAGAGTAAACAAAGAGAAAGAGAATTGAGAAAGAGCATGGCTATTGTGAATGAGTGATCTGAACGCCACAGGGGTAGAAAGAAGGAAACAGATTCATATCCTTCAACGAACCAACTCGACAGAAACTTTGGCTGGAGGCCCAACGCCCAAAGCTGGGAAACAGATCCCACACTACAATGCCGGCAACTCTGCCAAACTCCATGAAGGATCACTCAAGATTACATACCGAATAGCCATCACACGGGACGCCCACGGCGCTTGGAGCGGAGGCGGCACTGAAGACATCGTGCATGATAGTGGCGAAAGCTTTTCGAGCACTCATGTGGGTAATGTGAGATTGCGAGAAGGGATCACAAGAAATTCTGTCTTATTGCAAGAATCTTTTATTATTATAACATGCGGGAAGCCATGTTGACTTGTGTCTGCTCATGCGATTCTCGTACACTGTGAGATCGGGTTTCGAGACACCGCGCAGCAGATAGAGGGTCGCAGACTGCAGGGAAAGCGTTCTAGTTATTGGCGGGAAGAATTGCTCGTGGCAGAAAAAGTCAGCAAGCTGGAAGGAAAGCAGCAATGCGGAAGGGGTATCTCATCGCGCAAGAAAAGAAATATCCGGCAACCTCGTGTCGGAAGGGATGGGATCATGGAAAGTCCAACTAACACCCAGCGATGCGTTTCAGCGTCATCGCTGGCCCAAACCTGGGGTTCCCTCGGGCCCAACGAAGAGTTCGAGCAGATCGGCAAGGGGCTAAGCGATTGACGCTTTGTCTCCTCAATCCAAAACATGTAGAAGGACACTGACCGCCGGGTCAGAGCATGTCTTCTGAACTGGCGGAGACTTCGGAATATATGGTTGAGATTCCTCCTAGACGGGCACCGACACCCTCTTCCGCTCTTTGGTTGCAGTGTTGTACTCGTAAATTTGGCTGACATCGATGTTGTGCATCTCCGGAAGAAACTTGCACGCAGGAATGTTGCACGATCCATTGCGCGGACACATATGGCCAAGCGGACATTGAGGATCCTGACAAAACGCATTTCTGCAGTTGGATGTTCGAGCTTTGTATCGAAAGGTATCGAGCTGTACTGGATTAAGTTGCTTTGAATGATCCCACTCGCAGTTGGCGCCGTAAGGGCAGTAACCTTTCAGGTAGAAATGGTTGCAGAGACGTGAATTGTGGTCGTAGAGGTACTGGAGATATTGTTTGTCGATCTTGAGGGGTACATCCAGTCGCTGCCCATATTGGTTCTGGTAGATGATCGGCGACGGAACAACTGGTGGTGCTGCGGGCGGTTGCGCGTTGGGAGCGGGCTGAGCTTTTGGAGGCGTAATAACCGCAGCTATTGGCCGTGGCGACGGCCGATCTCGCACCACTGACAATGAATCAGGTGCGGGTCTCTTGACACCCGCAGTGAGAGTGATCGCACCGTTCGGGATTATCTGGATCTTGGTTGATCGAAAGATAGCCTTGAAGGACGCTCGCTGGAACCCTTGGGCAACTTTCTTAAGATCATAGGGGAAGGGTGGGCCTTCAAGTAGTGTTATGCGATCGTTGAGCGCGTTTGGAAGTGCATAGGGGCCGAGAAAGCCAGCGTAGCTGCTATCTGCTGAGCCACCAAAGATAATGTGTTGACAATGATGGTTGCGATAGAAGAGCTCGAGGTTTGCTTGGGGAAGTCAAATCAATCTACAGCAGCATTAGCCCCGGGTTTGACGCACCTTTCATTTTGGAGTCAGCAGCCTCTTTGTGGCTTCCCGCATCGACATAGTCCGAGAGAGGGTGACTTCTGTTGAATCCAACCATGAATTGGTCGAAGACCGTTTCGTCGGCGAGGATTTTAGCTGCTTTATAAGTCCGGCTCAGACCATGCGTGTTGGCGTAGACGCGAACGACGACCCGGTCATCAGCACGGTATTTGGTGTTTGTCTTGTAATATTCCAGTATTGCAGCTCGAAGGTGCTTGCCTGCTTCTTCTCCACCTTCCATGCCTCTAGACACAAACTCATCAAGGAACTGGACATGTCAGTTCCAACAGCTGGTCCAGCCATCATATAAGTGTGAGTGCAGCCTTCACTCAATCTTACCGGCATACTGTCACCGTCAATCAAAACGAGAACAAATCTGTCGCACTCCTGAGAAAATGTCAGCTCTGCCAAAGAGAAGGATAACGGCTGCTCTTTGCCACCATAGATGTCTTTATGAGGACTTTCTCTGATTCTGCTTGAACCATCCTCTCATAATATGTACGAGCAGTATCTCGCGCCATGTCGAGCTCATTTCTGGCGGCATCGCGTTGCTGTTTCATTTGTTCGATGTCTGCCATCATCTCCTATCACGAGTTAGTGGCGGCCCAAATCAATATCCTTTGGTGACATACCTCAAGAAGGGCGTTTTTGGCAGCATCGCCTCGCAGGACTTCTTCGACACGCGCCTTCAAGGAATCCATCATGTGAAAGCAAGCAGAGCAGAACGAAGAGCTGCAAAATGTTGGTGTCAGTGATTCTCGAGGAAGAATGTTCCCTCGTCGTGAGTTGTGAGTCGTGATGGCTGCCTCAAGACAAAGCCAAATGTGCCAAGCAATGTGTAACCCTTGGCAAGTTTGCCAGTTTGCTCTTCAGCGGACCGCCAAAAAAAGGGAGGACCTTACACCACCACGCTATTGATTTATGCGACTACAACCTCTTAGAGCTGCGCAGAATCTGTGTCTCAACGTGATGCAGACACTAGTTCCATCGATGCTAGATCAGAAAGGCACCTCCTACTCCTACAGGAGACTCACGGCGACAAATAACCATGCAAATGCAGTCGCTGTAGAAGTCAGACGAGGCCAAAACAAGCCCGAGACCTGGCGTAATAGCACTCGACAGAGAGCAGACAGCATTTTCAGCAACTATATCTTCTCTACCCCACACCATTCTGCGATGAATAGTGCCATGGCGACCGTCACTCTCTTCACACTCTCGATGCTTACCCATTCATCAAAGCCATGAATATCCCCACTGATAGGGCCATAAACCAATGCAGGGATTTTGTCATACAGGCTGTGAACACGGGCGTCAAGGTATGCGGTCGATGTCTGGTACGTCAATTCCTGCCCCGTCGCTTCCTTGTGAGCCTGGCGCAGCAGATTCTCTGCCTCGCTCCCGGGCTCAAGGACATAACCTTCTGAGTAGAACCCGTTCCATATCACTCTGGGCGGGTATTCACTGAGATATGGGTCATTCCGAGAGTAATCTGCCACCTTCTTCTCAATCTCCTCAGCAGCGGCTTTGGCCTTGACACCAGGTACGATTGCTATTCGACAATCTATGCGGCACCAGGCAGGGACGGAGCTTGCCCAGTCTCCAGCGTTCACAATTGCGACGTTCAGGTCTGTTCATTGTTAGCCGCCTCTGGCACCAACCATCCAAAGTGTCACGCGGGGCCACATGGAGAACTCACTCAGAGGGTGCTTCTCGTTTTCGAAGTATTGTGCGCTAACGTGGCGGTCGTTCCACTCAGCCTCCAATTCTCTCAACGCTCCCACTACTTTCCAAGATGCGTCGATGGCATTGACTCCGGTTCCCATAGCCCTGACATGGACGGGCCTGCCGCGAACCTCAATCTGAAACCATAAGACACCCACATTTGCCCGAACAAGCTGTTCCTGCACTGGCTCCGGGATGAGGACAGCGTCTGCCTTGTACCCCTTTAGATGTGTCATCAGCGTGCCATTGCCCGTTGACTCCTCCTCCACCACAGACTGCAAGATGACCTCCGATGCTGGCTGGAGTCCAATACGCTTCAGCGCATCAAGAGCCCAAATATTCGCAGCGTGGCCGCTTCTCATGTCGCCGGACCCTCTCCCGTAAAGCTTGTCCCCCTCGATACGGGCACTGTACGGCTCGTCTTTCCACATATCAACCGGGCCCAAAGGAACGACGTCAATATGTCCGTTCAAGATGAGGCTCTTTCCCTCAGCGTGCTGCGCTTTTGGCTTGTGCGTGCCGACAACTATTGGGGCATGCGAATGCGTGGCGCTGAACCTGCCGGCGCCGATGTGTTGTGAGAGCACTTGCTCGTCCATGTCAAATTTGACTGGGTCATAGCCCCTTTCCGCGAACTGCTCAAAGACGAAGTTCTGGACCTCGGTCTCCTCCCCACGTTGGCCTCCAAAGCGAATCAATTTCTGCGTGTAGGCCAGTTGTTGGTCGAAGCCGTCGGAGACGGACTTCTTGATGGCGGCAACGAGGTCGGCTGAGAGAGCTGGCATGGCTGATGTGTTTCTGGTCTGGCTGTTTACCTTTGCTTTCACACACCGGCAATGCTGATAGTCTGTATCCAAAGGGTTAGGAGAAGATTTGCACCGAACATTGAGAACGGGACGATTTGCTATGACTATATCCAATGCTGCTGTGGAGGCGTCTCCGCACGGACATCTCCATTCCGACTCATTGACGATAACGATACAAAGAACACCGGCTGTCTTTGCCTTTTTGGTAGGTAGCTCGGTAGATGCTCTCGGCCGTGAAAAGTCCCAAATCTCAACGACGGAGGGAGATATGTCTTGTCTTCTTGTTCTTGCAATCACAGAGATGTCCACCACCCTCACGCATCAAGTTGGCCAGCGGGACCCAGCCACGTGTACAGCGTCTCTGGAGCTCTTCGGTGAGTAGACAACCACAGTGTTCAACGCAGAATAAATACCTGCATAAATAACGATTGTCTCTGAGTGAATTGGTGAGAGTAGCTAATATGGATAGTGCTACTTATCTTTGACATCGACTCGTCGGGCAGTCATTTCCACGAGTACTGGCGCGATTGGCAGCGGGTATCCGAGAGATGCTCAGTGAAAATCTCAACCGGGTGCTCATCGCACGGAAACTTCGACCAAAGCCATTGGCGAATAGCACTCAAGAACTCAGTGTGAGAGGTGCTTCGAAAGAGGATGGCTTGATGGCAGATCCAAACAGTATTGGGTATCTGAGGGAACGGCAATCGCTACAGAGGTTGAGAAGGCAAGACAACCCCAAATGCTTCGACCATGAAACTGGTTTCAATACTGTAGCCAGAGCACTGTCGCAGTTACAAGTTGAAGAGAATACCGGGGGGGCGCGCATCGAATATCGACAGGATCCGCAAAGCAGTAACTGGAACACTCAAGAGAGACTATACTGAGACGGAGGTAGGGGATGACGATAACGGGAGAAAATACCTCCAGCCAGCAAGAAAGAGCTCAAGATATGACAGACCAACCATCTGCGTATCTCACGATTCGGCATTTCTGAGCGTACCGAAGAGAGAAAGTGTTAACAGCAAGAACCTGAAGGTTTGCGAAGTCCGATGCAAGATCCTGCATGTCAGAACTGAGGAAAGCATGGTGGCCATACAATACTGTATACGGAGTGAGATGTGGCCCGAGCGCAGCCTCACAGCCTTGTCCTTCATTTATCCGCACACTATCTGGCAGTCTTCACTACTGCCTTGCCCACTCTTCACTATTCTCTCGCAAGGCAAATATTTTGCTCTCACTTTTTGTGGCATCTCCAGCTACCACTACGAGGAAGTCCGGGGGCGAGGGAAGGATGAGGATTTCCATCTTGGGCAGGCGCTGGCAGATTATGCAGCCCGAATCGGCGAAGATGATAGATTCCTCCCCTTCAGTCTCGATATGCTCGAAATCGTCTCCAACTCTAGGCTCATCCCAGCCATATATCGTCAAGGACCCCGTTGTGGTACTCTGGAAGAAAGAAACTCCTGAATGCAGAGCTGTCCAGCTTTTGAGGTAGCAGGGTAATCTTTCTGTGTTGGCCACCATGATGGATTCCGGCTTTTGCGTTTCCTTTGGCTCCTTCACGGTCAACAAGTACGATTACTCAACCGGCTAGAGTCTCACTCTAGAAATTCGCCCAGAATATATGGTCAGTCCCAACGGGGAAGACCTGGATTTTTCTGTCCCTCTGCGACAGTGGTATCCTATCCTTGTTGACGTTATCAGCTATGTTCTGATCTGGCGTTCATTACAAGTCACTGTGTCGAACGTGCCAATTTTTGATATATCTGGAAAAGTGCATGCTGACTGTGAATCCATCCGGCCACCACATCCCGCATTCCGGCAGATACAGCTTTTCTTCCCGATGTGGTGATCGTCATCTCCATCACTCCTGAACGCCGGTTTGTTTGAAATCCAGAACAACATGAATGAGGGACACCCAGTGTACACCTGCTACTCGGCCAAGGCTTGCGCGGGATGGCGAGCTGGAGGCCTAAGTGGTCGCTTTACGATTACTATTTGACCCTTTCCGAGGACGTAAGGTTTACTCTTCTCATCACCAGGTTGAAACAGCCATGACGCCCTCGTTTGATTCGAACTTTCATCTCCGCCGATCTCGACACAGAGCAGTCTATTCGGTCCTTTTCATGGTGGATGACGCATTCCGGCATCCTCAATTGGCTGGGCACCCAGCGAAGCAGCCGTCGTTGAGTAATCAGTTGTTCGATTCCATCAAAGCAGAATATAGATGTCGTGGCCTCCAGACCACCCACCCACAGCGAAGACAAAAAAAAAACGAAATCTGTCGAAGGTCGTTTCCATCATACTTGGACATTCAGACAAGCTGGCAATGGCTCAGCCGCAACCCGAAAAGTACCCTTCATCCTGAGAGCGAGCGGGAACTCCGATTGATTTTCCTACAGGCCGAACTTGTTGAACGCGGTGCTCAACGCTGCCGGAGGGGCAGACCGCTTCGAACAGATCGAATGGGTTGAAATTGTCGCCGACGTTTCCGGCTCCTTCTGGGCGAAGAAGGGCTACCCGAACCGTCGCCTGATGACGGGCTACGTCGACGTCAAAAGGCCACGGGTCATCTTCTACAACTTCGGCGCCCGCTTGGACGGGCCACACCTGCGCTGGATCTGGACGCCACAGCACCTGTCGGTAGAGCGGCCGAACGGCAGCGTCGTCCTCTCGCGCAGCGACCCGTCCCGACACTTTGAAGGGCACGTGGTGGCCACCCCCTGGGACGACCTGGATCTCCTGTACTTCAACGGCTACGCGGTGTGGAACTACATCGTGACGCCGTTCTACTTCGCCTGGCCGGGGATCTCGACGAGGGAGCTCGAGGGCCACAGCGAGGGCGGCGAGACGTGGCGCGTGCTGGAGGTGACGCACCCGGCCGACTTCGCCACCCATTGCAGGGTGCAGAAGTTCTACTTCGACCCGCGATACCGGCTGAGGCGGCTCGACTACACGGTCGACGTCGTCCCGGGGTCCGGGACCGTGGCGCACTACGTCTTCGACCCGAGGAAAGTGGACGGGATTGTCTTTCCCACCCTGCGCCGCGCGCTGAGTGTCGTGGACGGCCATCCCACCGGGTGGTCGGCGGTTCTGATCAACTTCCACAAGATCACGGTCAAAAAAGGCCCAGAAGCGCGTCCGAGCCTGTAGGAGGCTTGATGCGTACCGCGCCTGATGTCAATGGCGAGGTACCACCACCCACGCCACTCTGGAACCGCTCCTCGGTAAAGCTGGGTGATATTGCATGGACACTCTTTTGAGGAGTTTTGTTCCTGATGTGGGATCACTGACCAGAAGGTCTCTGAAGGCTGCTATGAAACGCCAAATTCAAGAGCTTTTACCAATATTTTACCGTGGTTGAGACCCGCATGGGCGGTTGTCGTCCGACCAACACCAACCGATGCAGCCAGTATATGCCTTGAGAACCATCCACAATCAGATCTTCCCCCCTACGGCTTGTTTCGATTCACCATCTTGTCTAGAGTTCGCTGCTGCTTGCCTTCCTTCCCGCTGCCTCGCTTTACCGCCTTCCTCCTGCCACGACGGCCATCATGACTCTCGTTACTAGAGCGAGTGTCTTCCTTGACATCATCCTCCGGGTGTTCATCGTCGTCATGGTCGTCATCTCTTGCCCGCTTTTCACCACTTGACACTTCGCCATTCGCCTCCTCCCTGGACGCGCCGCCCGAATCCTTGACACCAAACATCTCCTTCCATTCCCCGTTGATCACCCTCTCGTCGTCGCCAAACAGGCCCACGTCATAAGCCTGCTTCATCCGATCGAGGCAAACCTGCCTCCTCTCGTTAAAGTCAAACATCGGCTTCGGGTAGAGCTGGTACTCCCCGTCCTCGGTCTCCCCGCTCCCATCCCCCCGGATCAGACAGCCCCAGCTCTTCTGATCCGCGATGGGCGCCTTGTGCGGCTCGTAGATGTACTTCTTGTCGAACGCCGCCAGCTCGGGGACGTACCGCCGCACGAACGCGCCCTCGGGGTCCCACTTCTTGGGGAAGCTGACGGGGGAGTAGCAGCGGAAGAACTGGCTGAAGAAGGCGGTGCAGGACAGCCACATCCAGTTGCCGGCGTTGCACGCGACCTCGTGGTCGACCAGCCACTCCTCGAAGACCTCGGCGCCGCGCTCCCACGAGACGTAGCAGCCCCCGCGGGTCAGGAAGCACGCGACGGCGTGGCGGCCGAGGTGGTGGATCCAGCCCTCGCGCCTCAGCTGGCGCATCAGGGCGTCGATCCAGGGGAAGCCCGTGCGCCCGTACTTCCAGCGCTGGAAGTGCTCCTCGGCCTGGGCATCGTCCACGACGTACGTGCCGTCGCTGACCGGCCGCCCGTCCGGGTCGGTCGTGTACCGCGACGGCAGGTGCCAGGGAATGAATCTCGCGACGGGGTTGCCGACCGTCTGGCCAAAGGGGGCGCCCACCTGCGCGTGCGCCGCGAAGTACATGTCGCGGAAGAGCAGTTGGCCGGGGATGTTGACGGGCCGGCCGCTGACGGGCTTCTTCGCCTTGCGCCGCCTGTCCACGACGGCCTGCACGTCCCACCAGAATTGGCGACACGAGACGGTGCCGAAATGCATGTGCGGACTCAGCAGCGTCGTGGCGGCGGGGTCGAACGCCGTCGGTGCGGTCGCCGGCTTCTCGAACGTGGAGATGTACTCTTCATCGGCGACATGCTGTGCGAGGAGCGCCAGCCCGGCGGTTTCGCCGCCTTTGTGCGGCGTCGTCACCGAGGACGGGTCGATGCCCATTTCCTCCAGGGTCGGGATCGAAAAGTTGCGGTCTGGCCCCATGAGGCCGGAGGAGTACTGCGTGTCTTTCTCGAGGCCCAGCGTTCTTTGAACGGCATTATAATCCATCCCGTCGACACCTGGCCATTTGGGGGTTGCTTGACCCGGTCCTCGCTCTCCGTGGCCAGACAATCCCTGTTCGAGGTCCGACAGATCCATCTCGCTCTCATCCAAAGGATCCGGCAAGCTGTCGGGTCTCTGGAGCGGCTTCGCGGGGACGCCGCCGCCGATTTTCTCCACGGCCTTGACCAGCTGGGCCATGCTCATGGTGGGCTTCCCGGCGTTCGCGCGGACGACGTGCTCGGGGTCGAAGAGCGTCCGTCCGGGCACGCTCACGACCTGCACGCCCAGGTCCCGCGCGACGGCGGCGACCTCGCGGTCCCGCACGCGCGCGTAGGCGTCCGTGTCCGTCTCGAAGACGAGCACGTCGATCGCCCACCGGCGCAGGAGCGCGGCCATGGTCGTCGCGGGCCCGGCGGGGGCGCGCACCACGAACAGCTTCTGCCGGGGGTTCAGCGCGGCCAGGCCGTGCGACAGATCGCGCATGCTTTCCACCAGGAAGTGCCACCGGTTCGCCGCCCCGCGCTGGCGGTACACGTAGTGGGGGTCCCACGTCCACAGCGGGATCAAGGCGGAGGGGTTGAGAGACAGGGCGTGCGTGAGCGCCGGCGAGTCGTGGAGGCGCAGGTCCGTGCGGAACCAGTACAGCACCCGCGGGCCGGGTGGCTGGTTGCGGCCTGCCTTTTTGAATCTTGCGGGCATGATTGTACAGCTCCCGGGGGAGAGGGATATAGACAGGCGGGGGAGGAGGTTGTGCACCAGGTATTGTGGTAAAGGCGCCAAAGACGAGGCTAGATCCCCTTTCCAGATACTGAGTACCCTTGCCAACCAAGCCAGGGGACCAGGCTAGCAAGCTCGAAAGTAAAGCGAGCCAATTATTAGCCAACAAGGTCCGTCAATACCATATCAGGATCCAGAGAAGCAAAGTTGGAGGGATCATGTACATACTACCTAGCGAGCCAGACACCTCTGTAGCTGCCCTCACCACACAGCATATCCTACATAGGTCTCTACAGAAGCCCGACAGCATCGAGTCCATGACGCCATGACTTTGTGGGACCCACAGACCCCATCACGATCCTATCAGGGATCCATGCTCGTAAACTCGCTGTACCAGGACCCGCACACCAGGCTGAGCTCGGCACACCCTTATATTGTAATACCTTGGACTCATCGTTCTCATATTCGTGAATGGTCTTCATCGTTTTGTTAAGTTCGTCTATTTGCAACTGTTGCTTTTATCTCCATTAGTGCTCTACCTCTCACGCATGCTCGGCTGAGTGCATCCCAGCCCCTCTGCAGCAAACCCCTCTGTCCGAAAATGTTCATGCTAAGGCTATCAATTTCAAAGCCCATATCAAGTTTTATCGGCATTTGCTGACCAAAACCATACACTATTTTATGCATACCATGTTCACCCCATACTTCATCATCAAATCATGCCGTCGTAGCCTGAGGTTGACCATCCGAGATCTGCGTCACAGGAGCTCCCCACTGGGGCTGCCCGTCCGAAATCTGACTGATAACTTGGGGTTGTCCGTCGGAGATTTGAGATACCGGCGGCCCAGTGGGATGTCCATAACCCGAGCTCCACGAATATGTAGGGGCACCATAGCTGGATGACGGGCCGGCTGGAGGTGAACTGTATCCACTGGGACCAGCAGGCGGCGATGGCGATGGACCACCGGGGGAAGCGCCGTTGGGTAGGGTGCCTGATAGCGGCAGATTTCTGCTCGAAGCACCCACGTAAATGGTTGGGTTGCTCACCTCCACCCAGTTCTGAACCGTCGTATCCCAGACACACACGTCACGGCGAGTGAGCTCGGCGGTAAACGTCGCTGACTCACCCGGTGCAATTGTCAGGCGGTCGAATCCACGAAGAACTTTCGGTGGTTCACCCTCCCCAAGGAAAACATACAGTTGCGCGACCTCATCACCAACGACATCCCCTGTGTTGGTAATTGTTGCGGTCACCGTCGCGACAACCTCGTAGAGGAGAGGATTTCCGCCAGGACCACCTCCGGCAGGCTGAATAGGTTGCGGCGAGCCATCGGTGGCGCCAGCAGGGACATACTGATCCGTGGGCAGGCCATAATCGGGATCGTCGGACGCAGCCTCAAGGTCGGTAGTGTTAAGGTATGGGTAGATGAACTCGTAGTAGCGATAAGGGATGCTGGCATTGGGGAAGAGGTACAGTGATGGATCCGTGGATGCGTTACCCAAGACTGGGGCAGGCCCTGTCAATCCACTGGCGGGAGCATATGGTGCTGGGTTTCCAGGAGTGATCACCAGGTTCGAATATTCAAAGGTAGTATAACTGAGGCCAAATCCAAATTCATATATTGGCTCGATCCCAGCCGCGTCGAGGCGTCGATAATCGATGAACACACCCTCGGAGAAGAGGACCTGAGGAGCATCAAACTGTCCGTTGTTGGGTTCGTAGAGGACATCTGTGCCATAGTCGTCCCGATTCCGCGCAATGCTGAAGGGCAGTTTTCCACCAGGATTGACGAGGCCGTAGAGGACATCGACGAGAGCATTGCCGCTCTCTTGGCCGGGCAGACCAGCCCATAGGATGGCAGTGACGTTTTCGTTATCGTACCATGCGGAAACATTGACAGCGCCCACGGTGTGCATGACCACGATAGTATTATTGTTATACTTGGTCACATTGTTAATCAGGCGATCCGCTCCTTCCCAAAGGGACAAATTATTGCGATCACCAGTGTTGCCGTCGATGGTGATGAATCCTTCGCCGGAGTCGGCGTTTGCAAAAACAATGGCCACATCCGCTTGAGTGGCAAGGCTCTGGATCTGAGAGTCGGCGTAGTTGTCGCAGATGGTAAAGACCTCGGAATCAGTATTTGTCAGAACATACTGCTGGATGGCTTGTTCTGGTGTCACCAGATACGGAAATTCGCAGGTGCCGCTACCGTAAGCCATGGCCAAGGTTCCATTGTTGCATTGACGGTTTGGACAACCATTGGGGCCCCATGGGTTGCCACACGCGTCGTAACCGATCACGGCAACTTGTTTCTCCTGGCCCGTCAGTGGAAGGCCACCGTTGTTCTTCAGAAGGACATTCGAGGCCTGGCCAATCTGTCTGATGATATTGCGATGTTCGTCTTGGACATTCAGGTGTTCGTTGACGATGACAAGAGGGGAATTGAGATCAGCGGCAGAAGCGTGTCCGTAAGTGTCCTGGCCCCACGCATAGAAGTTGGTCGGAACCCTAGCAGAGTCACGGCCGACATAGTAGTAACCTGCCATGATTCTTGTGGCCATATCGTCCAGTCGCCATTCGGGAATAGTACCGTTGATCACAGCAATGGTCAGATTAGTGCCCCAATAGGTATACCCGGTGTTGAAGAGGGTGTCACCAGGCATGGTCATGTCGAGCCCAGCCAAGGCTGTACCAACTCCGGAATGTTGAGCTTGCCAGTCTGACATGACGAAGCCCTGGAATCCGAGCTCACCCTTGAGAAGGTGATTCATGGTGTAAGAGTTGGCACAGGCATAAGAGTTGTTCACCTGCTGATAAGAGCACATGACTCGGACAATGTTAGTTTGCATTCCTGCGGTGACCGTTTCGTCACGTACCTGAAGCTGTACCAGCCCGAACCGCATCGGCAAAAGGCCAAAGGTAGAGTTCATGAATGGTCTTGTCGTCAATGTTTGAGCTGAGGGTGGCAGTAATGTTGTACCCGTAGCCAATGGATTCCCCAACCTGGCGGAAGTGTTCCTGTTCATTTCCGATGAAATGCTTCGTACACGCCATGACCCCTTGGCTTTGGATACCTTGGATCGTGGGACCGATCAGAGCGCCGGTCAGATATGGATCGGGACTGAAACCTTCCTACTGCTAGTCAGCTTGCTGAGGTCTTTGACCTGTCAAGGGACTTCCTTACCCAGTTTCGACCGCCTTCAGGATTGCGGCCGAGGGGTCCACAGACGGGGCCAAGTTGCACATCAACGCCTTTGCCTCTGTTCTCGGCTCCCATGGCTTCTCCTCGAGCTTTCGCAAGATCACGGCTCCATGTCGCAGCCACATTCAAACCAGCGGGAAAAGCAGAGACATAATCAGCTATTCTCCTGTCAGTTCCCATGGACACTGAGGATTGCGCGAAGTTCAAATACTGACCGAAACGAATACCCAGTGGGCCATCCTGCATACAAAGGGCCTCGAAGCCAATACGTGGGATAGAGCCAGTATTTCCCACACATCGATCAGATTCCCAGCTGAGCCAAAAAAGAATCAGTTTTCGGATCTCATATCAGGTTTGCGGAGCCATACCCAACACCGGTCGTAAGGTTGACCTTCTCCATCAAAGTCAAGCCACTGACAAAAGCACGGGCTTTTTCGTAGGCTGCAGCCCAATCTCCTGCACCAGCACCCCATGGAGACGGATACTTTGGGGGCGACGTCCAAATGGGACCGGTGTAGTCATTGTTAAATGGCTGGGCAGCTTGTCGTTTGAGGATGGTATCTGCAGCCTCGACAGGCTTCAAGACAGCTTGTGAGTAGTCGGACAGTTGTACAGAAGCATTGACAAAAAGGAGAGCAGAAATGAGTTGAAGCATTCTGGGCATAATTTGGGGTTTGGGGTTTTCGTTTGACAGACCCTGAGATCCAGGGCCCTTAAAATCTGACAATTTGGCAGGGAAATAGAATCCATTTGTTCGCGGATCGCTGGGCTTATTCGGGGGGTGCACAAAGGCGCGGAATGGACCTTGCACTTACGCTGGCCTGGATCTGGGGCAGATAAGGCAAAGCCGCCAAAGCCGCCACAACCGTGTCCGTAAGCCACATCTTGCAAGGGCACTGGGGGCTTATTAGGCTGATTCTCGGAACCTCGTGTTGACGTCAACCAGTAGGAAGTTCGTAGGTATTCTTGTTGGGGCTCAGCCAAGTAGACGATACGAAACGATAGCCAGCGGCCTCACAGCCGGCAGTAGGCTGATACAGCGAATAGATGGAATGGCTTAGGCAAGGAGCACACCGCAGGAGAGGACACAAGGTGCGGGTGACAGAAAGAAAGAGTGAATAACGAGTGGACAGTCGAAGAAGCTCGCGGGTATTTGAATACTGAGCGTCCGGGCTCTAGATGGTATGGGCCATGTCCATGTAGATGTCATTCAGAGTCTCTTTCTGTTCCCTTGTTCCATTCTCTTGCGCAGGCAGGCACATAGCTCCGAAGGAACCCTGGTGGTAATAGTGGTGTTGGCGTTGGCGTTGGCGGGTGGGCAAGCTGGGGAGCTGAGGAGACGAGGAGCTGGCGGAGCTGGAGGGGAGCTCATGGATGAGGAAGGAGCAAAGGCATGAACGTGGTCCATGCTCCGGTATGCCATACCAGGCGGTGGCCGTGTCGAGTAGCAGGTGTGGAGGCCTTGTGATGCACAACCTGGACGCAACAAGTGGCGATCCTGGAGGCGATCCATATTGTGACTTTGAGGCCTGCATTGCCGGTGCCTGAAGAGGCATGTGGAAGAAGGCAATGTTGCATCCCCCATGTCACGGCCAGGGCGACGCAACGAAGCAACGAAGGAGAGTGGTTGAGGCTGGTAGTGGTAGGATCACTGCATCTCGTCAAGTCACGTCAATGATGCTGTACCCCGCAAATTGTCCACTGGCAGACTTTGGCATGGAGCCTATGCTTCAACCGTCTAGCCTGGTTACTCCCGTAAGCTCGCTGCCGCTGGAGGCTGGAGGCTGGAGGCTGGAGGCTGGATGATCTGAATGGAAAATTTCAATGGATCAGATGGTCATGGCCGGTTGCAGATCCTCCGCTCTCGGATGAGTGTCACCATTCATTTTGTTGACCGTGATGGCTCCCCGCAAACAATGATGTATCCATGCCGCCCTGCTCCTTTCGCTGGATCCGCTGAATGGCCGACATTTATCCCATTTGTTGTCTCTCTTGGGGAGCCATTCCATCCGGACATACGCAGCGCAGGGATAGTTCGGCGTCAATACTCCATAGCTGTCTGTGCCAATTGTAACCCTGTGTTGAAGCACATTATATGCTCTTCTCTGCACCGTGACCAGTCGATGCCCCTCCCCGGGCCTTTCCTTCCGTCCACTTGCTCTGCAACGATTCCTACGGTATTTGGCATTCCCCCGAGACACCCTCCCTCCACTATCCACAATGCTCGGCTGCATAGGACAATGCATCCTTACAAAACATCGTCCCCGCCAACTCTTTCCCCTGACATTCACCTGGTGCAAGGGCGTAGCAGTTGTCACAATGCACCGTGCCCTGATCACCGGTCGTTTCCTCCAAATAGCGCAAACCTTGGTGTAACTAATCTCGTGAACCCAAGACTCCAGAGCTCCCTGCTCCCCATCCGACCCGGGAAGGTTGCCAGATTTCGTCGGTCATGATTCCCGACAAGAAACTGCTCGTCCATGATTGCAACCCTAAGCACGTTGCACAAAAAGTTCTTCCGTGGTTGAGACGTATTCCCAAGAGGTCCGGTAAACGGCTGCCATCAGGCTAAGAGAGATACTCCATTCCGGCATTCCGCGACCTCTTGGCTTTTCTGAGACCTCTGTCATCTTCCGCCGCCGCGGAAGCAGCAGCGGGATCCCGTATTTGGCACAATTCCAAAAATCCTCGTGGCTTCGGCAATCGCAAGGACCGAGCAGAGAAGGCCACGTCGGAAATCGTCTCGATCATCTCAAAGACTGCGCTGTCTATTTATCGTCTCCGTTCTGTGGCCTTCTTATCACTCTTCCTTTTCTGCTTGAGTGCCCTCCATTCCAGCGACCATCTCTTTTCCGAGCAAGTATATCATGTACGCCGGGAAGATCAGCCAGAGACCATTAGGAATGATCCACAAGAAGACAAGATTATACATGTCGTTGTGGCCAATGTTTGCAAAACTCGAGAAGTATTCGTTGAGCCCTGTTTGGTCCAGCTGTCAGCATCAACAAATTCGTGCACATGTTCTTCTCAATGGGGGAAGGAAAAGAGTTGACAGGTTTCACGCACAGTACAGGATGGTCTTGCTTAGGGTCATCACAGCAGCGGAGAAGAGGACGACGACAGCCGTAGCCACACCGGGGCCACGGACGGACTTGTCCCTCTCACCCAGGAAAAATCCGTGCACGGTGCGACAGCTCAGGAGACCGTCTGTACCGATGCTCAATATTGTGCTCAGGTAGTAGATGTACATGACTGTCTCAATGACATTCAGTGAAGCCTGTGCCGCTGTGAAGCCCACATGGCCGTCCCACGCCGGCCAGCCATAAACATAATCCACCGTACCATACAGCGCGTACAGTGACCAGACGGGCGAGTGAAATTTCCCTCCCGGCATCGAGTGTGGCCTGAGTGCGATGTAGCCTGTATCCCATACAACCAGGGGAAGGGAAACGAACAGCCAGATCAACAACAGGGGTGGTGCGGTATGCGAGTAAGGGTGGGTCGACGAGGACGACAACCTTGCATTAGAGGATCGATTCGATCGGCGCTTTCGAGAAACGGACGGCGAAATGGTTATTGAGTCATCCGAAAGTGGAGGGGAGGACGACTTGGAGAGCGAGTCAGTGGCATTGGATCGGGTTGTTGAGCTGGGTGTTGCTGGCTCAGGGAAGGGTCTGGGATGGTGCCTCGTGGAAACCATGTCGCCCTCGAAGCTGCCGGCACAACCGTGTGCCTGACGATATACCAAGAGCTGATAGCGGCCTCAAGGTATATTTTGCGGCTTTCCCTGTGACTGGATGTTTTCTCGGACTCTCGGACTTTCCTGCTCTTGTTCTTCCTCACGCTGTTGCGTCCCAACCAGGTATCAGATATACAAGCGGAGAACAATGTTTCCGATGCGCGATGTCCTTTCACCTGTATGGCGAAAGGAATGCCGTATTCCGCGAGCGCGTTCGTCCTGAGAAGGGTACGACACTTGGTCTATGTCGTTCTAAGCCGTGAGCAGATCTTGTTATTGATTTGTCGAACAAGCCGCGAAAATTGACGACAAGTTCAGTCAATGTCGTAAACCGCTTGCTTGAGATCCCGTCGACCGATCGTGGGGAGAGGGGAATCCAGGCTCTGATTCTAGCGGCGCAATCGAATAGTAGGAGAATATGTCGTTGGAACGCGAAGGCGAAGAGTCTCGTGCTGCTGTTGGAAGACCTCGCACATAAATAGTTACGCTGAAACCGAGGGGAAGGTTGCGTGTCAAGGAGGTTGGGCTTACCCCAGACTCTCTGCGTCGTCCCACGGTGGCGTACCGCGGCTCTCACTCAATCCGGATCCCTCGTTTCATCGCCTACTTCCCGACTGCAATCGCAAGACTCGGTGCTGCGGTCACAGTCCTGCTCGTCACAATAGGTATCTTGCGAGCTGGTATGACTAGTTCTGAACGGAATATCATCTCCAGAATCCTAGGCTTGTCCCCTTACCTTCTTTTACAATGCCATTGGAAGATAATGCGTCATCAAATACTCGGTACGCTTTGTCGTATTCTGACCCGTATTGGGCCCGGACAGTGCCTTGCATACCTAGATATCAAGTTCGTCGATCCTCTTTATATGCGCTTTACGCGGTACAATGAGCTCATGTAAACCATCACTTTCGTCGCCGGGCCGTGGCGCAGCTTGGTTGATTTGCTTCTGGCTATCCCCAAAACTACCTACATATCCCCTATCACTGCCACAGTTTGAGCAAATTATCATTTAGACCGTCTTCCCAAGGTCCCGGTTGCTGATCGTTTCCAAGTTCCAAAAACTTGGCCAAAGCCATCTGTGCTTCGGGAGTCTGCCCAAGTGCTGTAATCCTGCCAATGTCTCGGTTGAGTGCATCCTCTGACGGCGCTTGCTCGTTCACCGAGTCTTTTGTGGCTGCCAACGCCGTGGCTGGGAAGGAAGCAATGCGATGCGCCAGTTTGTCGACGTAGACTGTCATCTCGTTGACTGAGGGAAATGATTTGTTCACCCACCCAATGCGCTCAGCAGTTTCTGCATCTACTGTGTTTGCTGACAGAAGATATTCCAGCGCACGCCCGCGCCCGATAAGTTTTGTGAGATATTGGCTGCCTCCACCTGCGTGTAGCAAGCCCAACCCTATTTCGAGACTGCCGAGCTTCGTTCCGGCGGCCGCAAACCGCATGTCCATTTGAAGAAGTATCTCATTACCCGCACCCAAAGATTGTCCGGATATTTCCGCAATGAACACCACACCCATATTCGACATCATGCGAGCACTCTCGACAAATTTCCTGGTGACTTCTTCAGGAACAAGAGGCTGCGGCAGGGGTGACGATTCGCTAAGGATATGAAGGTCGAAATGGGAAAAGAAGAACTTCGGGTTGGCCGACGAAAATATCACAACCTTTGGGGGGTTTGAGTCTTCCTTGAGGCTGGTCAAGAATGCATGTAAATCGAAAAAGACTTTGTGATCGAGGATGTTGATGGGAGGATTGTCGAAGACGGCTCGCACAACCGGGCCCTTTGAAATGACCCTGAGCGTTCCGTAGCCTGTCATGTCGACGATCGAAATGATACAACAGGAGATTTGACACAATCGAGGGCATCCAGCAACGGAAGGATGTTCGATTTATCTCTTCATTGTCTCGGTGACCTTTCGCATATTGCTCTCGTCCGCCTTTCCTCCGTTTTCGTGAACATTCCCATACTCGTTGCGAAGCGAGGAGCTGACACATCACGACAAACAAATTGCATGCTGGTAGATAATATGAACGTGTGCAATTGCCTGTTTTGGAGATTGGTGGTCGTATTAGTAACAAACCCTCTTTGTCTCTGCCTTGAAACTGCGCTCAATGCAACAGCGTCGTGTGGGCTTAGTGAGAATATTGGAGTTGCCGACGTCCACTTCCTGTCTGGCGTAGAGAGGACAAAAAGGTTCTGGTCCAGGCTTTGGTCCGGGTTTCGGTCTGTGACGGTATACGTGTCAGGGAAAAACAATACCAGTCGCATCCGCTGCAGAAAAGCTCTCCCGACTTGGGATCCTGTAGGGCACGGACATTGATGCCTGATCTTCGAGAATATCCTCTAAGTATTGAGAGCTCTCCAAGGCGGCGGAAATCTCGACATCTAATTTGATGCTAATGTCCAGCTTCTCCAGAGACTTGCTGCGCGGACGAATCTCTTCCGTCGGTCACATCTGGTGTGTCCTTCTGCGCAACATCCGTCTCAAAGAGTTTTGCAATGACATCCGGACGTATGATGTCCTTTCGAAACTGCTCTTGCTGGAGCAATTCGAGATTCCGAAGCGTGGCTCCCGGATGAGTGAGATACTTGGCATACTCCGGGGTGCGCCAATAATTGTAAAGATAGTTGAGATATCTGGCGAATCGAGCTGCGTCCGAATCGTCAGGCTCAATCGCATTCTGTGACGTTGCTGGCTTGTTCAATAGGTGAGGAAAATTCAAGGCCAGATATTGGAGGTAGAGGGGGTTTGATAGGCATAGCACGAATTCGAGTTCGAGTGTGAACCGGTGAGAAAGCGCCGTTGGAGGAGTTTGCGCGTCCATAGTGATAGACTCCCCGTTCTCAGATGAGAACCAGTCGTACGATAGAACAAGGAAGCGTCCCCTGGTGTGTACCAAGCAAGGCTAGCCAGTGGTGAGCAAGATCCAGACAGCACAGCCCTTGAAATTGGACGGTCAACGTTGTCTTGAAAATTCTCCTATCGATAGCTCACCCGCTTGGATCTTAAATGTCTGCCGCGCAATTACGGGCAGTGCCGATTCGAAAGTTGAAACAGACTGGGTCTGAAAGTGGGACAGCGTGTGTGGCCTGCTAGCGCAGTCGCTCGGCGCCCTCGGCGTGCAGTCTAAAAGGCAGAAGGGGGACGAAGAGAGACGAGCCAGAAGACCCAATCCTTTAACCCTACTTTGGTGTTGCGAGTGGCTCTTGTTTCTCTTCGCAGAAGTAGGGTATGCGTATATTGTGCTCTGGAGGTGGTGGAACGGAGTGGAAATGTCTCGCGGCGGTGCTCAAGAAGGAGTACGTGTCAGATTTGAGTTTGGACAGGGGGTTGCAACTCCGTCCACAGAAACGCGTGATCTGTGCTGCGTCCAGGATGAAGACAGCCTTGACTGTCCTTGAAATGACAGGGTGTTTGAGGTCGAGTCGAGGGTGGGTTGGGGCGGCCACCAGGCCTGGTCGTTCGATGGCTAACCTGGAGGTGGAGGGCTGATCAAGGAGCTTCAAAGAAGCAAGAGGTTGCTGGACTGGTCGAAGAGCCTCCCCCCTTCCATCCAGTAAGGGTTGTCTCTGGGGACTTCCAGAGGGCTGATCAGGAGTGACCTGAATTTTGACATGGACAAATGGGGGGGACGATCGTTGTTGACAAACAATGGGGCTGGGTGAAGATCTCGAAAATTACTAGTGAAGGTAAAAACCATGGTCATGGCCAAGTCGATGTCCAGCCGGTTCAGAGAGACGGGCCTCTGGACAGGACTGCTGTTGGCCATCCGTCACCAGGGACACGAGCATCGTTCAACAGATCTTGATGAGTAGCACTTGTGATTCTGAACTCTGGTGGTCCGTCTCATTGTAGCGTGGCTGTGGCGTCAGTCGCTCCTCTCTTGGTCAACCGTCTCGCCGCCTCCCCCAACTTTTCGGAGGCTTGATGGCCCAGTGCCAGCGTGGCGAGTGGATATTTGGGCGGGTTTAGCGGCACCTTTAACTAACTGGCTGCGCCCCAAGCCCACGGAGACCCCCTACCAAACTCACCACCCCTCCTTCTGGATCCCTGCCGGGTTCGGACCCTACCTAAACCGCTTCGCAGGCCCCTTCCTCATCATTTCTCCCTGACAAACATACACAGTACAGCTTTGCTTCCCTACAACTAACCCACGTCGCCATCCTAGTCCCTCGCATCTCCTGGTTTACACAGCAATCACAGTCAACATCTCCTACTTCCAGTATTGTCTCGATCATAGCAGCTTTAAACCTTACTGCGCCCCTTGGCTACCCGGCGCACGGTTCGTTCTCCGGCCCTGCACTCAATTCCCTAATTGTCTCTCCTGAGACGGTGAAGGTTCGCCCAGAAAGCCACCATCCAGACCACCTTGACTGTCTTTCGAATCCATCCATCGCCTTCCTAGACGCTCGAATACTGACCATCTTCGACCCTACTTCTGCGTTCTCAACCTGTTGAGCGTTGTCTCTTCAGTCACCGACAGAACACCCTATGCTCGCCGGCGCAGTTGGCGTCTGACCACCTTATTTGGAGCGTCGACCTGACAGAATTAGAACCGAGACAGCCAAATGGCTCAAGCTGCACCTCTGGCCGGTATGTCGAGATCACGCGCCATCCCAGACCGTGCTTTATTTCGTCCCTTTGTTCCCCCTTGTGGCTCTATTTGTTGTCGCTCACCTGACAACCGCCCGAACTCTGCCTCGTGCAAATCACGGTTAATGTCAGCGACATGACTGATCGCCGTCCTACAGATCGCGGCCCAGCTTCTCTCGCGTCCAAGAATCCCTTTCGCAACCTTGTCTCAGAGAAAAACTCCAGCAGACCCATCTCGACAAATCCCTTTCTCGACTCCAATGAGATCCTGTCCCCAGACGCGGCCAACAAGGCCACACCTCCAGTTAGCACTGGAATGGCAATAAACCGGTCTAACGCGGCCGACAAGACTGCAGATATATTTGTAAGCTAAATAATTTCTGTGGCCGATTGCCTTTTTTTTGACCACAGAGCAGGCTACCCTCGATATAAAGGAACCTGCAAAGCCACCGCAGCCTCATGCCAACGGCGCCGCTCGACGGGAAAACATTGCGCCTCGGCCTTATCCTCCCCGCGGGCCTCAGTCACGCCATAGGCCGAGCAATTCGGATGAAGAGCGTCGGCGACAACAAGGGAAACCTTCTGGACATCCACAGGAACTAGACATTTTCGCAGATCCGCCCGAGCTGAACCGTCCGCGCGACAGACGTCCGCCGCCTCGACGCAACTCAGAATCCTCCATCAGGGAGAAACCCAGAGATCTGGACCCCGAAGCAGAAAGAAGGAGGCGAGAAAGGAGATTGCGGGAGGGGAAAGGCTCACATAGATCAAAGAAGCCAAATGCAAGGTTGGATATCATCGACAAATTGGATGTCACCAGTATCTACGGCACCGGCTGTAAGTGCGCACCCTGGTTTGAGTAGATCGATGCTAACTTTTGCAGTATTTCACCACGATGGTCCATTCGATGCATGTAACCCACATCGCAACCGCAAAGGCTCCAGGCAGGCGCCTATGCAAGCATTTCCCAAGGATTCATTGAATATGCAACTTGGTGGCTCCGGTCCCGTCAATTCCAAACTCAACCTCGACCAATATCACGGTACTGGACGAGAGGCCAATCTTGACTACAACGATGCGGCAGTCTACGAAGAGGACGCAGACTATTTCCGAAGACCACAGCCGGAGAGAAGCGCCAGCTTTAACCCGGTCGCCAGAACCGAACCCTTGCATGGCAGTGAGACCGCCGGCCTTGGGACGAGTACATTCCTGGAAGGCACCCCTGCAAGTCGAGCGGCGATTCAGCGCCGCGATAGCGAGCAAGAAGCCGCAGAACAGGCAGTTGCTGCCGGGCTATCACGTAAAAAGAGTCTGGCACAGAGAATCAAAGCCGTGCGTCCTAAAATCCCTGACGGAGGGCGCATGGCGTCTCCTGAGCCAGCAGCAACCCCGACCAGCCCAATGGGGACGAGCAAATCGGAACAGAATGGTGCGAATCCGTTCTTCAAGGACTATGACAAAGAGTTCGAGAAGAAAGGCGCTCAGATCGCCTTTGCAGAAGAACAAGCAAAGAACTCCGGTCGAGCCCGAGCACCATCTAGCCCAAAAAGGGGTGGACTGGCCCTCGAACGAAAATTGACTGCTGACAGCACCGGACCGCAACCTGATGATGTTAAATCCGGGGCTGCTGGATTCCTCAGTCGGGTCAAGAGCATCAAAGGAGGGCGAAGCCGGACGCGCGAGAGGAGAAACACCGAGGCTTCTGGCTGATTCGACCGTCTCTTTCTATTTTTCCTATGTTTGTGGAATGGCATGGTAAACGTTGGGGCTTCTTTTTCTTCTTGGAAAACCGTTTGCATTGCCGGGGCATGGTCAAGGAACGGAGTCACATAATGCAAGATTTCGGTGTCGGGCAGGCTCAGGGGCCTATTTACGGAGCATTTCAAGGTGCTGGGGATCTTGCATGACAATGAAACATGATGATATGACCAATGCACAGAGGACACGAGCCAGAGCAATATTGATCCGCAGCCTCACAACTCGGCGATATCTAGAGTTGCTGGAAAAGTCGAGAGGAAGCCGGTCGATTCGACCCGTCGGATGAGAACTCCAGTGGTATCAATCGACCGGAGGCGAATCTGGTGTTCTTGCCAATGCCCAAAGACGAAACTCTCGTGGCGTACGTAGAAAAGGAGGAAAGAGGCCGTCGTTGCAATACAAGGCTCCAACTATCGCCTTGTGGCCAATAGACCTGACGGGCGAAGAGGACGGCGAGGCAGGGAGAGCAGGAAACGGAGAGAACAATACACCAAGCCAGAATCAATCATTGTTAAGAGTGACTTCCTACATGTGATATAGCTGGATGCTCGCTCGCTGCTTGGACGTAGACACTGGTTGTCGGTCGTCCTTCTTGTCATCGTTATGTACTGGTTATGTCGGTATCTGTAGTCCATCTAGGAGAATACCAAAAGGCCTCACTTAATCCACGTGTCCAGATGTCTTGGGTGATTGTGCCCATTCCATTGACAGCGCACCCACTAACTGTGTACTTGATCTGTGTACGAATGTACTCGGTTCGGTGTGCATGCCTACCAAATAACGCAAGGCGCCTACCTATATTACTCGAGAACGAAAAACCTAATGGCCATTTACGGTTTGATTCAAGTGGGTGAGCGAAGGCCGCTTTATCCTGAGCCTTATCTGAGCCTTAACTGAGCCTTTGGCTGAGCATCACTGATGCTCCCCGAGCGCTCCCTGAGCACTCCCTGAGCACTACGCCGAAGGCCTAATCAGGCCCATTAGCAGTCAGCTAAACCTGCCTCTCGGCTAGACATCTGTTTCAGACAGTCGTCATAGGACCAGGCAGATTCTATTAGAGTATGCTATACACGTCACTGGTAGGATGAACGGTAGGTCTGCTCGAATCTTGCTGGATGGAGGCTTGGCATCCGCTCTCCAGCGCACAAAGATTACTCACGTCGTTAAAGGAGGAGAGTTCTCCCTGGTCCCCGCAAGCGGATAGGTATCGCTAAGCAGGCTGGCTATTAGGTTAGATAACCGCGGAAGGCTAGGCTATGCCGTAGCAAATAGCGCAATAGGAGTATAGATGGCGGAAGGGTTCTCACCTATAACCTAGAGGAGAAGGGGGAGGGGGAGGGGTGGCGCGAGCAGAGACGTCAAAGAGAGAGGAATACGTGAGTCGCGAGTAGGGCGTTATCCGGTACCGGGTTAATAGCGGTCCAGGTTCTTCCCAGCTAGTGAGGCTGAAAAGGGACTACCGGCAGAGGCCCGATCTCGAGCCCGCCGCCATCTATGAAGTAGACCTGGTGGGCACGCTCCGAGTCCGTTCCAGTATGCCTGCATTCCTATCGAAGCACAATGAGCCACCACAGTAAGTTGAGGTCTGGCCCTCTTTCTTCTGAGGGGTGAATTTATTCTTGGCATCACATAGAGCTGTAAGGATTCCAATCAGGCATCAAAGGATCGGGTATACTTGCATGTCGGCCGACATCCATTTCAGATAACCAATGTTGACCTAGCGAATCCCTACTCCTCCGCTGCCTGATTTTGTGCATTTGCACTCAAGCGATACGCCCAAGTTTATTGAATCGTGCCTAAGCGGCATGACGTGGCTGAGTTGTTGCCCAAAAAAGGCCTGGTGAGGTCCGTGACAAACAGCAAGAACTGCCAACCATAGAACTCAAGTTATCACCGCCTAGGCTGGCGCCTAGTATTCTAAATTGTGGTTGGATGCCTTTCCGCTGTAGGGGATCCGCCTCCTGCTGAAATGATGCGAGTCTTGTGGAGGTCTTAACTGCAGCCTGTTCTGTTAAACTAACTCATGATCCGGCTTATGCATCGGTAGCTTTCTATTCTCGGGCTCTGGCCGCCAAAAAGCAGAATATTGGAGGACACATATATCCTTCCCCCGCTGAAGAGGGACTCCCCCTAAATATTCAAGTTAGAATTGACTTTTGAAGTGTCATGTTGAGGCCCGGAAACCCAACTTCTCTCGAGCTCGGTTTGAAGAGCTAAATATTCTCAGGCAGAACCCAAATATGCCTTCTGAATCACAACCCCACCTTCCCGTTGCCAACAGCAACTTCAGCCAGCAAGGGACAATTGACTGGGTCAATCTAGAACGACAAATCCTTTCATTTTCGGTTGGAATCCTAGGTCGATTATCCTCTGCCAGTGTTGACGGGCTCACCATCTCAATCGGCCAAATCCTCAGTCAAAGATTCTGTCTCGGCCCTGCTGGCAGAGCAAATGTAAGAGAAGCGTTGGAAAACTTGCGATCATACGGAAGTTTTGGGGATGTCTTATGGTTTGGCTTCGGCATAAGGAGCCTCGTGCGGACTATGGGGGTTTCGCAGGAAGGAACAGCATTATTAGCATTATGCGGCGCTATAGGAGAATGCTTCCCAACGAACCTAGGGGCCGAAGTGCTGCTCGAAATGACTCAGCCTTACAAACTCCCAGGACATCTTACTCCATCCGGACTTCAGTGGTCTGCTCTAATAAAGGCGTGCGAGGGAGTGTTTGCAACAACTCATTTCCCAGTGCTAGCTGAGCAATTCATGAGCCTCGGGCCATCCAAAACACGTCTTACAACGTATGTTTTGGATATACGAGCAGCTATGACTGGTAGAGGTTTTCCCTTTCCAAAAGACCTTGCAGCAGCATTGACAGGCATGTGCAAAGTCTCTTGCAAGGAGATCTCTTCTATATCGATCAGGGGAGGGCCGGCCTGTGGCTGGCTTGCGGCTGTCGCAGTTTGGCTTCTCGATTTATCTGTGACCATCTCTTGTGAAGAACAATTGCTCTACTCGAACATTTCAACACATTCAGACGCGCAAATCCAGCTCATTTTTGACTCTGATATCGACGCAAATCCACTGGAAATGCAATTGGTCACGAATACCTATTACTTGAGAAACAGTGCTGAAATTCTACATCGGGAATCTGACGATTTACAAATGACAACCATGAGTGGAAGGCTTCGCTGGAGCAATTGCCTCTCTGAAGCATTTGGGAACGATTTCCTGAGACTTATGAAAAATCCCAAAACCGTCGGCACTGCTATAGGTTGCGCAGCACGTATCTTCAAGGCATTCGCATGTGGCGATCCGAGCATTGACCGACAGATTCTGGGTGAATGGCGATCCCATTTTGACTCCGCAAGTGGTCTGGGATTCATTGGGAATACCCTTGCATGGTTCCCAGAGTTGGAAGTTACGAAAGAGAACATGGAATCTGGTGTACGGTTGAGTCTTATCGATGCGCAGACACGCTATGAGCAGCAGATCGCCATCATAGAGGAGATATGCAAATGTGCCGAATGCTTCGATGGAGGCCCTGCAGAAGACGAGGCATTTTGTCTTTCAGCAATTTTTGAATCTATTGTGGTCATGTCTGCGGCGATGGCTGGTATATCGATCGCGGATGGGATTCTGCCTTCACGAGCCGGCTTCGAACAATTTTACACCAGGCAACGACGAATAAGGACGGACGTTGACGAGGACTTTCTAGAAAAGGTGAAACGAATCGGTTACATACATCGAGTTTTGGAAACAACAACCCGCGATATTGATTCGGATATTTCAGTTGCAGAAACTAGGCTTTTGGATGCGACGAAACTCTTCACAGGTCAAGAAACCTTCGGTCTAAGCCATATACTCGATGTCACTGCAGTCTCCACACGCGGACTTTGCCTTTACCTCGATATGCTTCGGGAGTTATCACTTGACCGAAACTTGGTTGGAAGAGTGCATGTCGTGCCTGGTAAAATTGAACGGGATGGAAAGCCGTTTGACTTCGTTTCAGATCGAGAGCATCATCCTAATGGACACTACACCGGCTTGACGGATGAAGTACCAGACTTCACTGAGATCTCAATGCTTGCCCAAGAACATGTTCGCTCTCTGAGGGTCAGTTATAAGCTTGGGGATAAAAAAGGTGCAGCCGTTCATATTGACCCCGGGAAGCTAGCGGATGAAGCGTCCTTAGCTCGAGGCTTGGTCAATTGTCGGAACCAACAGTGCAAGAAAGTCATCTCACTCGCGCACAGTGCCGAGAAAGTTGAGTGTTATTCTATTCATGGAAAGGCGGTCACCGTCGCAAGAGGCGACGAGCGCTTTCGCTGCGTGTTGCTGTCTCTCGAGACGAACCAACAGTCGGAATCAAAGGCGCACTGTATTTTGCGAATGAATGAGTGTCTACAATGCTGTTTTCGGGCTGCTGTGGGTATAGATGATGCTCAACCGGTACTTATTATTTCATGACTATTTCCACTTTCCTGAAATGGATTTATTTTCAATACGAACGAATTCACGTTACAAGAGAGGGGAAGTTACTAGAGTTCTCTCTCACCTGACTGGGATGAGACAGACCTCTTCTCTCTTCTGACCGTTGAGTCGTTGTCGTTACAGGACTTCAGATAGCAATTGCATCCAGTTTACTCGTTGTCAGTGCCTATTCTGTGAAGGTCCTGACATTGCATGCATCTTGATAATACAGAACCAAATGCTGCACACTTGAGTTTTAGGCTCGTTGGAGCCGGTTCGGGATCTTCTACAACTAGGAGCCCGATTGCGATCCTGAGGCATTTACCAGGTTAGCCTGATGGCTCAGATTTACGGAACAAGCGGTAACAAATATTCGATATTCTTCCCAACATAGTACTGATGCTACTGCACCTCGGAACTCAATGGAACGCAACCTACCATATAATCAATAACTTGATGGGTTGTTTGTTGTCCGACGTTGGTTTATGCTGAGCTTCCAAGCTAACGGTGAGCCATTCCCTGAGTCATCCCTGAGCCGAGGGTGAGGAGCCTAATTTGGCCCCTTTCACCTGACTACCTACGTACCTTAGGTACCTACCTACATGGCCCTTGTTCCGTAACGGGTGCTCGCTCACCTTACCTCCGTTACTTGTCTGAGATCTCCACGCTACACACATACGCACGGCCCCCACACCGTGGCAAAGTCCACATCGGCCATCTTCAGACCGCAAGTGTTTCACGATGCGGTCGTTAAGAACTACGTACCCGTCGCATCGTCGATCAGGAAGAACCCGCCCAGTCTAGAGATGGAGAGGTGGGAAAGGAAAAAAGGGCCCCCAATATGGGTCGATGCCATGAACCGGGAGGGCAAATGGGGATCTCCCAGGAGGATGTGATGTGCTGAACGGATTCAAGGGGTGGGAACGAATGGAAGGGCAAAAAGGGCAATCCCAGTGCCTACTCGTAATTATTTACATTCTCTAGCGTGATCCCCATTCCTAAATCCCACGGTTCCTAGGTATCAATAATGCATACCATGCCCACGCCCACCTTGTGGTTGGTAGTCATCAACGCCTCCAAAAAGGGCACACACACAGCCTCGCTGACCACGGAGCGAGAGCCAACTCCCCCTGGAAATCAATCACTTGGCCCTCCGACCCAGTCCAACACAGCCCCGGTAACCACACATCCCAAACCCCAGACGCCAGCATAGCCCAGCGCCCCGGTGGCCTCGACTCCCGCCACGGTGCCCCAAAGCGTCAACACGGTCTCTGCGAACAACAATCCGGTCAACAACGCGGTTCGACCAATCAATTTTTTCTGGCGTGGTGAATACCATCCCCACGCGTTGTGGTAGGCGTGTTCCCAGAAAGTTGCGGTGGAGGGGTCAAACACCGGGGTCGGGTTGGCGACCGTGCCCGTCGAAGGAGAGACTCCCGCTGCCGCCGTCGACGGTGCAAACAGGAACTCCATGCATGCCCAGCCGGCCGGGATCAAGGCCAGGAGGAGCGTGGGCAGACCAGCAGGACCCAGGTGTGCGGGTTCCAGCGTCCGAAGACCTGTGAAATAGACAACGAGCCAGGCGGGCAGGAAAGTTGCGAAACTCGCTTCAAGCAGGACGGCAAAGATGGCCGTCGCGAGAAGGGATGTCGCAATGGTGGTGTACGGGTCGGTTAGGATGGGCCGGTTTCGAAGACTGGATTTCGGCGCGCTGTTCGGGTAGTGTGAGGGAGCCAGAGGACGGAGGAGATAGTAGGGGAGAGAATTGCCAATCATCGAGGAAAGAGTAGTGGACGTCAGCGTGATGGGAGAGATCTCGTAAAAGAGGCCGACAAGAATGGCGGTCGGAGTGTTGAGCAGGAGGGACAGGGAGGCGACGTCGTATGCTGTGGATTGACATGTGGTTAGTTTTACCAAGGTTTGAGGCGAGGAAGATACATTGCGAGGACATACCGTCAAAATCGCCCACCCAATATACGCCCAACTTGGCTATTTTCCAGCCCAAGAGCCCCAATATCTCAGCCCATGTATCGGGCCGCCTCGAGACTCCCGCAAGGTCACCCACTCCGATCATTGACGCCGCACTCTGTAACCCTGACTCCAACACCGTGCTCAACACCACAGTGGCTGCGAATTTCAATGGCTCCAATTCTTTCGTCTGTGCGAGATTGGTCTTTGCGCTGCTCTGCAGTTCCATTCTCGGGGAGGCTTTTGGGATGACCACGACAGGCGAGCCGGTAGGTGACAGGGTCGAGCGCGACGGACGCCGCTTGCGCCCCGCGGTCATGGTGGATGCAGGGTCGGATTTGGAGCTTGGGGTTGTTGCAATGCCGTTGGCCGCGTCGGCTGCGCTGCTGGTGGAGGCGACGCTCGAGGATTTCGCATGGCGGCTTCGTGGAGGAGCCATGGCCGCGCTGGGTGCGCTGCGTCCGGCGAGGCTGGAGAGGGCTGGCTCGTGCTCGGGATGCACGAGGGTGGTGGTGAGTTCGAGGAGATCCCCGAGCATCAAGATGTTCTTGTCTGACGTGACACTGGAAGGGTGGGAGATAGGGCAGAGACTCCTTGTCGAGAGGAGGAAAGGCGGCGCGCGTTGAATTGAGATCGAGAAAACCAGTGGCTGGAGGAGGAGGGAGGTGATGGTGGTGGTGGTGAGCACCAGGAACAACAAAACAACCCAGTTTCGCGATCGTGACGTGATTGGTTCAAGCGGCGAGCTGCGCCAAAACGTCACCAGCAACCTCCAGCTGCGGAAAACGTGCCCGGGCAGATTCAACTCCAAAGCACTCGACTCGGAGCATAGACAAAAAGATCTTTCTCCAACGGACGACTTCAATGGAGAGCTTCAGTTGTAAATGAAAGACCTTGTCCTCAATTGTCACACTAACCTCGGAGAAGTCTTTATTCTAGCTCTACAAGACAAAGCGCTTTACCACCATCGAGCTCAACGGACTTCCCACGAGACCATGGCATACCCACGGACCTATGAAACGTCAAAGGCTCTTTATTCCTCTATCGAGATTCGTGTCAAAAGCTGGGCACAATGCCATTGTATTTTGATCGCTGGTTATGCTATCTGCCAGACAATCAAATCATGTTCCCAACAGGCGTATATATTCTGTCAAGAATTCCCATCTCATCTCGGTCGCATCTTTAGTCATATTGTAGAAAGAAAGAAGAAGAATGACAAACATGGCAGATCCGAAGAATGACACTATAATGTTCGAATATGGTGAGGGATCCCCAGGTAAGCAGCACCACCATGACCTGACCGGATCCTTGCTGACCACAACCAACAGTCCCGGTGACTATCCAATTTACTCGGCACCAAGGCCGGACTTCCTCAGCGTCTTCAATCGGGTCGCCCCTTTCGTAGATGGCTTGCGCGAATCCGGTATTCTTGACAGATACGATTACGCTCGACTCCGCATGACTTGCAAGACCACCGCCCAGGAGTTGAAGCCATACCCCTATGACCGTACCGAGGCAGATACTAAAGATCCCTATTTCGCAGGTGTGCAGGCCATCCCATGCGACGATTGCGGTATCCCTTCTGACAGGTTGGTCGTCAAACCCTGCCATGGCTTAGGGACCTGGAAGAGCGAAGGCGGCTTCTCTGGCTGTGGCAAGCTCGTTTGTACCTATTGTGTCATGTTCGCGCAGGGCAGCCGGTGGGCCGAGGGAGCCTATGAACTCCATTACTGCCGGCCTTGCGGCTGGCGTTTCCATCGAGACCACCCAGGAGCCCGAACTGGGGAGCCATGCCGATGTGACTTCAAGCACGGCGGCGACGTCGTTGACCAACCCGATTCCCAATGGCAGTGCGAGAGTTGCAGGAGAACGCTGCATGAAACGCTCTCCACCGCTGCCCGCGACAATTTGATGGCCCTGGAAGCGGAACGACTGGTCTTCGTTCGCGACCATAGCCAACACCCGTTCGCTGGAGGCTCAAGAAGATGGATTAACGACGCGCGCAGAAACAGGAATTTCTGCCCAGGCTGCGGTGTCGACTATCTCGGTTTGATTCGCACCTGGGAGGACAGTGACTGGGACGGAATTCGGTACCCTCACGACATGGTTCGGCAGTGCATGGCATGCTTGGAACCGAAGTGGAATGGAGATTGAGCGAACCTCTTTGGGCCAAGAGAGGAAGGTAAGATATTGGTGGGTGTCTTTGTCAACTCTCCTAGTCCTTAGTCGTCATCTTCCTCGGGTGGGTTATCTGGGTGGACTCGCATTTCAATGGTGCCAGTCTCCCGGCCGCGCGCATCTTTTGTAACAAATGAGTATTTGCCCCGTTGTTCTCCTTTTTGTTCTAACCACAAATCTTTGAAGGTTAGTTCCTTGGTCCTGTTGATGCTTTCAATGGCTGAGATCCGGTCCAGCGTGGCCTCGAGATAGTCGTTAAATCCCGGTTCCGCACAGATCTCTTTGAAGGCGTTCATCATGGGCACGCTGTCCGCGCGGACCATGGCACTGCTGTCGATGGTGAAGATATTCTCATGGTCGTAGCTCTGAATGAAATCCGCCCGAGTCATGATTTGACGAGCAATGTAGAGAGGAATTTGCGGCAGAATGTGCCCGTGCTCGTCGTGGTAGCTCGACTCCATGTCCTTTTCTCTTTCCACCAGCGCCCTCGCCAGCACCATGGCAGCGCTGGCATATTTCTGCTGGTCCATGACATCGTCGTCCATCTCCTCACCCAGGATACCACACTTGTTCAAGAACCATGTCTTCTCCGACTGGTTGATCTGTCGACACATTTTCAACATGTCGGAGCTTTTGGCGACCCGGTTCAGAAAATTGAGCCGGCCGCCCACCAGGTCGTAGACTTGCTTGAGGATTTCGGGGTCCCGTTGCTGTTCGGGGAAGTACTTGGCGCGGTATCGTTCCAATGCGGCGATGGCGCGAGTCTTTGGGAGATCCAGGATTGGAATCACCTCCATTCTCGTCGCATAGCGCCTGAGGCGCTCGTAGACCCAAAAGTCGTCGGAATTGAAGACCATGGTGATAAGATTGGCGGCCGCCCACTGTTCGGCTCGCTGCTGCATCAGTTCAATCAGGTCGTTCCCGTCGTCATTGTCGCGGATGAGATGCGCGCAGTTGACGATGAGAATGAAAGGGCCTTTGCGGCCCGTTTTGCCTATCCGGTTCCTGTTTGCCAGAGCGACCTTCTCAAGCTTGTTGAATGCCCGTTCAATGTCAAGCAGCGCGGTGGTGTCTCGTGGGCCGCGGATCGAAAACAACGACCCGATGTAATCCTCATGGAACTCGTAGTTCAGTGCCTTTCCGAGTCGGATGCGGAAGATTTCGAGGTCGGCATGAGCTTCGAACATGGAGACACCCTCCCCATTTCTCTCCTTCATTGCCTCCAGCAGCATCGAGGACTTTCCGGTGCCCTTTTCGCCAACGAGGAGATAATATCTCCCTTTTGATTCCCCATTAACAATAGCATTAATCTTGGTCTGCTCGGGTCGGGCTATCCAGTGGTCGGATTCGTCGGTTGATTCTTCTGGTGGAGGCGCGTGAGGTTCAGCTGGAGATGCAAGTTCAAGCATCGGGTCGCCTGGGGCAAAGGCCTTTTCTATCTTGCGCAGCACCAGAGACTTGTAGTAAAGGTGATACGAGTACCCAGCCAGGCCAAGAACGGCGATTGATGCAAATGTTGTCATGGCCGCTTCAAAGGCCCGGGACATGGTAGGTCCCAGACGACTTTTGGGTTCTGATCCGGGATTCGAAGCTTTTGGCCTTTCTTCATCTTCTTGGTCGGTACCTGGGATATTGCTTGTCGGGCCAAATTGTTGGGCGAATGGACGGCAATTCGACCGTCTGGGTGCTAGAATGCTGCTTCGGAAGAGCGACGGAACATATAGAGGCCTGGGGACAGCCACTCTTTGCAAGTTCCTCATGATGGAAGCTATGCGCCTGATCCAGCAGGGTTTCTGGGAGTAGGGTTGGTTGTATCCAGAGTTGATACGCGCAATACGCGTTTGATCGCGCCTACGGTGGGTCCGGCACTGAATCAACGGCGACAGGCAAAGGCCAAAAAGCAAGGCGCAACGTAGAACTTGATGAAGGAGCGAAAGAACAGAATTAGTAAAAGAATGACTGACTGTGAGAGGGGATGACCACGAGGTCCAGTTGACGGTGGTGAGCAAGAACCAAGAACCGTTCAGGGGGGGGGAGATTTTGTTGTGGCTGAGGCTAGTGAGGCTGACAACAAGACCGTCTTGACGAGTTGAATCCTCGCACGTGCTTAGTCCTAATCAACGACTAGGAAGCTTGGCTTGGACGTTGATCTTTGCCATCAGCCTACTCGGTCCTCGGTAGTGAGCCAGGGCGGCCACAGATAGAGCCCAAACAGTACGCAGATGCCGCGTCCATCATCCCATGTATATGTGCATCCCCGAATAGCCGCCAGCCTCCAACAGCAGGTCTGACGACGAATGGAGTCTGGCAATCCTGGATGAAGCATATTCGATCCCCGGGCATGGCAACTTGGGGTACTAATCCCAGAGATACCCACCAGTTGTACGAGCCAGCTTGCGCCCGATGGTGAATCAGAACATGCACTGTTTGAACGGGCTGGCCTTCGGACGAGTCAATTGTCCTTTCCTCTTGAGGGCATTGTCGCAAGCTTCAAGAACGAGATTAAACAAGGTTGACCCGAACATATAGGCCATTGCTCCTACAAGGCCACCCCACCAAGTCCGATGCCACGGGTAGGTGCAAGGCTCATGGTGGATGTACATCGCAGCATACCAGAAGTTGAACCAGACGTTCCAGTTCCAGGGGTCGTAGTAGAGTAACGGGTCCCTCAATTTTCCGTCTTCTTCGATTGTTTGGAAGCAGCTGTACATTAACCTCCTCCACCACCTGAAGGATTCTCAATGCTGTGGTGCGGGAATGCTGAGGTTCCAATCTCTGTTTGCAAGAAGCGTTCGCCAGTGAACGTCGAATGTCGCTTCTCCGGTGGGGTAGGAGATGAGATCGCGTACCGAATGCGAATAGTTTGCATCCCATTCAATCATCAAAAGCACCATGCGTGGGATGTCTTCGGCGGTAGTGTCGACGAGGGACTTGGTGGCTTCACTAGGTTGGCCATCTGCAGTTTCCTCAAGATAATCAATTCTTGAACAACCCAGATACGACGGAACCAAGGTCGTCCAACAATGCCTGCCAGTGACCGGCACTCTTCATGACTGGGCTGAGGATGAAGCAGGTACTCGACAGGTAGATATTGGTTCCGTGTGGCTTCTTCGAACCTTCCAAACCAGACGATGACCTCTTCCGCGTTCTGGAAGATATCATGCATCATTCTAACCTGGCCTATCTTCTCTATGTTGTCACTCTGATTAATGCTGTTTGCATCAACCCAGAGCGAGCCGACAAAGCCGTCCTCGAGTATGCGAGAGTTCGGAATCAAAGAGCTGTAATGATCGTCTTGTCACTCCTAAGCTACGGCCTTCGGACCGTGCTCGTGATTCTTCGGGTACATGATTTACCTTGCAGTATGGTACTCGGTACCTGTCTCGCTATGTGGGTGTTACCTGTCTGTTGGTTACTCGAGCTTGTCGTTGTATTCTCTCCTCAAATCAATCCCCTTTCATATATTGAAAATATGTGCTTCTTACCCAAACAGGTCCTAGACAAGCTTCCAAGCTCGTCGTCCTCGTCCACTAAAAGGGTTATTCAACATGCCAGTAAAAGATGCCGCAGTCGCGTGACTGCCAAATTCGCCTCGTACCGGGCTTCAGGGTCTCAACTTGGTTCCCTTCGGGGCGCGCTAGGAAGCCTAGTGGACCCTATAGGCCTGGGACCTAGATACCTAGTAAGGAGCGGGCTTAGTGGCTTTCTGCCCCATGCGGCCTTTTCACCTCAGGGCTCCCCTAACACCCGAGCCTGACCCCGAGCTTACCAGCCTGACATGCCTGGGTGCTCCCGGCTCTCCTACCATTCCCAAACACTCCTAATGCCAAACAAGGCGACGCTGCTTAAGCAACCACCAACCACCATGGGCACCCGGCGTGACCCGAGCAAATCCCCGGGGCAGCTTCCAGTCCTCCGGGCAGGTTTCCTCGTGGTCCAATTGGAACACCGGCATCGCGGCGATTTATTGTGGTGTCGACACTCATTTCAAAAATTTATTGTCCATCTTCTCCTCAAACTGACCTTCTGCGCCCGTCACAGTTTCTTTGCTGTACATTAATTTTTCACCCTGGCATCACCCTTCTTGTAAAATATATTCCTTCGTTCTTTCTTCGTCAGATATCCCCTCTGGCTTTCCGCTCCTTAGCATTGATCTTGACTGTACAGTACCGTGGTGTTGCATTCGGCCCCAAGGTTATCCCTAATGGACAATTCCAATGGTGACGTGAGAACAACACAAGGTATGCTGGAGCTTGTCCATCATCAAGACTTGGTCCGCTAACCCTCCAACAGATGTAACAGAGGTCCCGACCAAAGCTGAGACAGCTTCCTCCCTCACAAACGGTGTCAACGGTGTCAACGGCGTCAATGGTGACTCGCACGATCACATCCACAACCATACCCACCAACACGACCATGACCACGACCACGCTCATCACGATGACGCAAATGCTGGTGCCCTGTTTCAGATCACCGTCAAGCTGCCGCACAAGCCTTACAAGCAGACGATAACGGTCACGAGTCAAGAGCAGGTGCAGGATGTCCGTCAGTCCATCGTCGAGACCCCCGATACCTTCCAGTACACCTGTTTCCATCTCGAGCACAATGGGCAGAGGATCAATGATTTTGTCGAGCTGTCGGAGGTCAAAGACCTCAAACCAGACGACGAGATTGTTCTGGTCGAAGATCCTTATACCGAGAAAGAGGCGAGGTTGCACGTAGTCCGCATCCGGGAGCTCATTGGCGCCACCGGAGACCGATCCGACCAGCTCCATGGCATCTGCGCCGGTTTGTCCCTGCACGATGACAAGTTTGGCTCGGTCAATGCTCCTCCCCAAAAGACCGAGGACAATCCGTTGGCGGGTTATGAGCTCGACGGTCGGGCGACGCTTGATGCGATCTTGCCGTCCCACCAGGACACCTTGCCGAAGACAATCAAGTCGCTCTCAGTCTCACAATGGAACCCTCCACCATATCATCTCCGTCAGCGAGGCCACCTGCTCTATCTACAGCTCACCACCAACGAAGGCGAGCAACATCAAATCACTGGCACTGTCTCGGGCTTCTACGTCAACAAGTCCTCCAGCAACAAATTTGATCCGTTCCCAAGGCCCGCTCCCAAGAACCACAGTTCGCACTCTCTGCTGTCCCTGATATCGGCTCTGTCACCGTCTTTCAATGAGACTTTCGTCGAGCTCCAGAAGATGAATGGTAGCAAAGACCTTCTCACCACATTCCCCTTCCAGAATGCGATTCCCGCGAACCCTTGGATCGTTCCGTCTTCCTATGGACAGGGAACCCAACATCAAGCAGATCCCACAAGGTCCCAGGAGGCATACCTAATCGGGGGAGCGGATGGTGCGGAGAATCTTCGGGATTGGAATGAAGAGTTTCAGACCACCCGGGAACTACCCAGAGAGACACTGCAAGACCGAGTTTTCCGTGAGCGATTGACCTCCAAACTGTTTGCCGACTATAATGATGCTGCAGCAAGAGGCGCCGTGCTCGTTGCCAGGGGAGAGGTTGCACCGCTGAATCCAACTGAGGGCAGAGACGCCCAGATTTTCATCTACAACAACATATTCTACTCCTTTGGCGCGGACGGTGTGCAGACATTCGCCAGCGAGGGCGGCGACGAGGCCGCCAGAGTTGCCGTTGGGAAAGATGTTGCCGGAGTCAAAGCCGTGAATCAGCTGGACATCGACGGCCTATTCACTCCAGGTACTGTCATAGTGGATTATCTTGGCAAGCGTATTGTGGGTCAGAGCATTGTGCCAGGGATTTTCAAACAACGAGAACCTGGGGAACATCAAATCGACTACGGGGGTGTTGAGGGACGCGACATTGTGACCGAAAATGAGGCCTTTGTTCCTGTCTTCCAGAAGCTCTCGAAAGCACTACATGTGAAGAAGCATCCTGTCTGGGACAAGGAAGGCAGCCGACACGATCTGGAAGGCAGTGTTGAGACCAAAGGATTATTAGGCACGGACGGTCGAAAATATGTGCTTGATCTTTACCGCATCACTCCACTAGATGTGGCTTGGGCGGATGAGGTCGAAGCTGATACAGGAGACGAAAGGTATCCGCACCGGATGTCTGTCCTGCGACTCGAGCTGGTGGAGACCTACTGGCACATGAAAATGCAGGAGTTTGTGAGGGCCGAAGTTGACAAACGCCGCTCGAAGCAGAGCAACGGACATTCCGGAGACCTCAAAAATGGTGAAGAGGCGCAAACCGATGACGGCCCCCCTGAAGGGGATAGTAAAGACAACAAGTCCGGTGAAGCTCAAGACGAATCTGCCAAAGCTGCTCCAGCGCTGGAGCAGGAAAGGGTTGACATTTCGAACTTCACCCTGGCCCTGAATCCTGACGCGTGCAGTGGCCAGGTGCCTCAGACCGAAGAAGAAAAACAAGAATATGCTGCCGACGAAAAGGAACTTCGTGCGGTCTGCGAGTTTCTGCGGATCAAAATCATTCCGGATCTCATCAACGAACTTCACGATGGTGACGTTGGCTTCCCGATGGACGGTTATTCCCTGTGTCAGCTTATCCACAAGCGTGGAATCAACATCAGGTATTTGGGACGAGTTGCAAAAGCTGCCGAAGAGAAGGGAGAGCGTCTGCAAGCCTTTTCGACGGTCGTTTTACAGGAAATGGTGGCTCGAGCATTCAAGCACATTGCCAACCGCTACTTACGCCATCTGCCCGTGATCTTCGCCGGTAGCTGCATCGCGCATTTGTTGAACTGCCTCCTGGGTGTTGATGTCAATTCGAATCCGCGTCCCGAAATCGACGAAGACCTGCGAGCTCTGTATCCGGACGGAGACTTTTCCTTTGAGGAGATCAATCCCACGAAGCTAAAGGCGGCCATCGAGAAACAGGTCCGAATCCGGTATAGGTATGCATTGAAGGAGGATTGGTCGATGTCAATCCGTCCATTACCAATGCTTCGAGAAGTTTCCTTAAGACTTGGTCTCCAGCTGGTTGCACGGGAATACACATTCAGCAAAGGTGTGCAAATGCTCGTGGACCCATCACCTGCCCGAAGTGGTAGTGACTCGCATTCCAACACTGGTTCCCAAGCGGACGAGGGAGGCAAGAAGAAGAAAAAGAAGGGTGGCGAGCAAACACAATCGAACGGGGGTGTTGCCAAACCTTCCACAACCTTCACCGCTGAAGATGTCCTCAATATTGCCCCCATTGTCAAAGACGCCGCGCCAAGGAGTGCCCTGGCCGAAGAAGCCTTTGAAGCTGGCAAGCTCTCACTGGCACAGGGTCAAAAGCAACTTGGGCAAGAGCTTGTCCTCGAGTCTCTTTCGCTGCATGAGCAAATTTACGGAATTCTTCATCCCGAGGTGGCCAAGATGTACAATTCCATGTCGACAATCTACTATCAGATCGACGAGAAGGACGCAGCTGTGGAGCTCGCGCGCAAAGCCGTAATTGTCACTGAACGAACGTTAGGCGTGGACTCACACGACACGATCCTGGCATATCTCAATCTTTCCCTTTTCGAGCATCACACTGGCAACACGAGGCAGGCATTGAAGTATGTCCGACACGCCTTGGATATTTGGAGGATCATCTTTGGACCGAATCACCCCGATTCGATAACGACCATGAACAATGCGGCAGTTATGCTCCAGTCTATCAAAGAGTATTCCGAGTCTCGCAAGTGGTTTGAGGCGTGCTTCACCGTCTGTGAGGGTCTGTTTGGACGTCAGTCCATCAATGCGGCTACCATACTGTTCCAGTTGGCACAAGCCTTGGCTTTGGATGGGGACCCGCACGGCGCAGTCAACAAGATGCGAGACGCGTACAGCATCTTCTTGGCCGAACTCGGTGCAAACGACCGCAACACCAAAGAAGCGGAGAGCTGGCTAGAACAATTGACGCAGAATGCAGTGTCAATTGCCAAGCAGGCCAAATTGCTGCAAAATCGGCGTCTGGCAGGCATTCGACATCTGCCGAGAATGGGCATGGGCACGAGGCTCCAGCCGCAAAACGCAAGCACGGCGGCGCTGAATGCAAGCTCCAGGGCGAGTACAGCACAGCCAAGTGTACGCACTGGAACAGGTGATCCTGCTTTTGACACAAGAAGCATTGACGAGCTTCTGAAATATATCGAGGGCGGTGAGGTCAAGCCCAAACAAAAGAAGAAATCCGTCAATCCGAAGGCACGAGCATCCCGGAAAGCCATCGTGGTCTAGAGATGGAGTTTCTCCTCCGGATGCTCTGCAGGAATTTTTGGCTGCCGTTTCCCTCTGTTTGGACATGAGATGAAGACATATACCTTAACACACAGCATTTTCATATTACCGTTATCTACAACGGCAACTCGCAACCCCTGTACGCAGAGAAGACATCAGAGTTTGATCAACAAGCGGCAGTTCTCGTGATACGGCCGGATGTCATTTCCCTGCGACCTATCTGTACAATACGAAGCTACGGGATGTATGGATTTCGTCTCGGGCCCTGCCAGCCGTGCGGCGGTTGGACCCAAAGAAAAGTTGTTTATGTAGCAGCAGATAGGACCGGGCAAAGCTACCACGGCATGCGGCGTGGCTGGGCTGAGCAGGTACCTATGATGAACGGAGCATAGAGCAGATGACGGTTCTTGTAGATATCCAATCAAGGTTTCTCAACTCCTCCATCCATCCATCTATCCTTCCATCCATCCATCCAGCGAGTTTTGACTGTGGGAGTTTCGTTGATTTGTGATATTTTTCATTCGAGATACTGGCCATGCAGCCTGACGAGTCGGCATGTGACCAGGACTCCAGAGTCACCTGCGGGTTTGCCGGATCTGGAAAGGCGCCGTCCGATGCCAAGGCCAAGTGTCGCCGGCTGGGCTGCCAATTCGTCAGCGGCTTCCGCAACCGTTTGTCAGCAAGGAACCCCGCTCCACCGGCGCCACCCACTCACTGCCACCGAACAAACCCCTCCGCCATGCTGGTTACGCCCAACAAATACGTCGTCGATATCGCGTATCCCTGGACACATGTTCCTGACACCCATGACTTTGCACCTCGACCTACAAGTCGGATGACATTACTCTGAGACACACAATATCTGTGACGTCGGAGGCGAAATATACCGTTGACTTCGGCACCCGGCCATTCACATCAGAAACTAATCCTACACCTCGATTAGTGAGCCACAGCACCCTTCGGCTGAATTGCAAATCCTCTGCGCCAGGCTTCCGCCAGCCTTGGTTGTCACTCGGTCCAGTCACTCATTATCTCTCGGGTAGCAGGACGGTAACCTCTTTGTCCCTCCAAGAACCCCCAAACTCACCGGGACCTGCTTCGATACCGACGACAATGTCCCCGCGGCAGCTTACCACGACCACCACCTACACCCTTGCCCATACCGCCCAGTGCAAGTTAAAAATCGCCGCCAATCGTCCTGACCGGAATCTGCGATTTGTTCTTGGCCATGCTTTTACCCTAGATAATCTGATGGTGCGCATCGTCGAGATCGAGAATCAGAGCGCCAAGTCTATCTTTCAGGAGGGCAAGCCGCCCAGCGACCACGGCCATGAACACTACGACTGCACGGCATCACAGCCGATAGCTCCAGAGCCGGATCCCCATTACGACTGCACAGCGGCGAAGCCAACAGCGCCAGAGCCCGAAGCGAGGGGTCGCAGAGTCAGTTTCCACGACAACAATGCCCGGCCATCCAGCACAGCAGGTGTCGCCTCTAACAACCGTGCCCACGGCACTTCTTCGCCGGCGCGCAAGCGATCACCGCCACCCACCTCAGTGCAACACAGGTACCTGGACGAAGAGCAGGACGAAGACGACACATCCTCGGACGACTACGACGATCCCAACTCGTACCACTATGACTGCACGGCCGCAGCCCCGGAGCCGGAAAAGCCAGCGCCGAAACAAAGGCCCGTGCACGACGCATACTCGGACGAAGAGGACGCGGCGCTCGAGCTCGCGGACGACGAACTCGACGACGAAATGAACGAGCTGTCTCTCATGCGCTTCGGCTCCGCCGCGGCACAACCGCCTCGCATGGTCCGCTCTGACTCGTCGTCGGACGAGGACGAGGAGGACAAGGCGCAGCCGGTCACGCCACCTCAGCTGCCCGCCGACGTCGACGTCAGGGAGATCCTCGGCGGCGAGAAGGACAGTGAGCTGACGGATCTGTACGAGAGCGTGAGGCGGTGTGCCTGTCACGGGAGGAGGGAGGACCCCGAGGTCGGGGGTCCGCCGCAAGGCATCTGGGACGTGCCCCTGGAGAAAACCGGCGGGAAGCACTTGGCCGTCGTGGCGGTTGCCGCTTGAAAGCCAACCCCCATGTGTGGGTTTTGAAAGGAAGAAATGGTAACGGAGCAGAAGGCTACTTTCAAAGTGGACGAGGCATTAATGCGGTGGTGCCTGCTGGCGCTGGCACAGAATTCGCACCTCCTGGTTGTGAGTACAGTAAGCCGACGGCGGCGCTGGAAAGGCTATGAATGTGTTTTATGGAGTATGTATCGGAGCAAGCAAGCAAAGGCCGGAAAGCCAGATCACCCTACAAAGGGTCAGCATGGAGAAATTGGGGGGGGGGGTTTCTTTTGGCGTTCTTATCTGCCGCCATTTTCTTGCCGGTGTGGAGAGGTCAAGGCGCTTTGGGATCGAGGCAAAGCAAAGTATCTACCCACCTATCTATCTCTCTCTCCACTATCTACTATCTATCTACTTATGCACCCATCTGTTCAGCAAGCATCCAAGCAGGCAAGCAAGCAAAGGGCCGCTTTTGGGGGGACAGGGGGCTTGCGCGATATGACTTGTTGCTGTTTACCCTACGATGTCCATGGCTATCTAGTAGGTACGGTACATACGTACACGAAACGTCCACATGTGGCCCTTCCCTGGCTATCAAGGTACCTTGCTGGGGTATTGAGGAAACCCGACAAAAAGGTATCGACCTCGGGTTTACCTTTTGTAGGATTGAGTATAGTATAGTATATTATATTATATGTACGCCAGCATCTTTGGGAAACCTACAGTACCAGTACCCATGGACCTATTGGTGCGAGGACTCCGCGAATTCGATATCCAGACTGCGAACAACGGTGCAAAAGTTCCCTTTCCTGCTCGTCTCCCATTTCGAGTTTGAGATTTTCCATGTGGAATTTCATGTTGGGGTTTGCCTCTTTTTTTTTTCTGTTCATGTCCCCGGTCCGTCGACCTTAAGATTCCCCGATTAACCTCCTGGCTTCGCATTGTCCTATCCCATCACTTTTCGCGAACCTAGAGCGCGTTGTCGCTTCGAGCCTTCTGGCGCGATGGGGATTGGATTCCAATGGCGTCCGGCTCTTCAACACCGTAGACACACTTACCTTCGCTACCCCTTCCTGAAACTTCGTCCTAGCCCGCCGTGTTTCTGGTCTCCTTCTGCTCGAATGACTTGGGTATACATTGTCCCGCGCTCGAGTCGGTGGGCGCGATTCGCGCAACAACCCGTCAATTGGCGATTTCGACAGGGAATGCTGCAGCCTCTGCCGCGAAGAGCGCGCCGACGACGAGAGGGTTGATGCTGCGTGGTACAGGCTGCTGGGGAGCGCACTGGGAAATGCAGCTCCCAAGAAGAGTTCACCCAGCGGCGCGTGAGAAACAGCAGCCCCGTGCACCATTTCTCTAATCGCTGGGTCGCTATCGCATGGCACGCAGGTGCCTGACAATCGCAAGAAACAAAAAGCTCCGGTAATATCTCGTCGATAGAGACCGATGCGTTCATCATCAGAGTTGACAACGCCAAAATTGTCCGGGTGTGTTGCTGTGAGAGACGGTCCAGACAAACCGCATTCCACTCGTGTCTAGTCTAGCCAGACTTGTTCTTCCTCCTTCTCGTGCTCTGCGCGGGCGTCTTGTTCATCTGGGTAGGCGTGACGGGAGGGGCATCTTCGAGAGCCAATCTGACAGACTTCTTGACCTTGCTCTTCGCTCGCTTGGGCCCTCCCATGCCAACACCCAGGAGAAAGCAAATCCTCGTCGCTGCCCCGCAATAGACAAACAGGTAGTTCCCATAGGCCATGGCATTCCAATTAGCGACGTCGTAGTATGATGTGATCCCAAGCGGGAAACAGCTGTACAAGTGGCCGAAATCCGCGATAAGAAGGCCCAGCAATAATGCGCGCCAGACTTTCAGGTCGCTTGTTGCGCGTAATACAAGGGCTTCGTTGATGGCAAATGCGACGTAAAGATTCCCGAGTTGTCGAAGTGCGACATGGGTTGCCGTGGGCAGACCAAGAATCCCAGGCGCGGAGGCGGCGTGAGTCAGTTCGAGGTAGCTTGCCGGTTGCAGCCAGGCATAGTATGCACCAGCAAGTGTCGCAACGGGTTCGATCCAGAGGAAGAAAATGATGTACGGCAAAGGGATGGTCGCCATCGTTGCGGTTGCAGGTGTGTCGCGGGTGACGTTTTATCTCGAAGTGACGGCGATAAACGAGCTGCTCTGTTAATGAACAGTAATGTGCAAATCGACTCGAGGCGGAAGTTTCTCTTCTGTAAGATGGAGATAGCCGGTGATTATCCTTCTCTTCTTTATCTCCCAGCTCGTTCAGAATAGAGATGTCATCGACGTTCGAAATGCAAGCATGAGGTTGGTCGGCAGGGGACTCTCCACAGATAAAGCTGGATTGCCGACATGCCGCGCAGCAGCATGGCAGTCAGGGATGCTGCAGCGGCCTCGGTAGTGGAGTCTTTTGGCGAGACGAACCACGGGGACGAGGAGGAGGGGAGGCGGGTTGGTAAGGGCTGGTAGGATCAAAGGCCTGAGACCCATGTGTGTGATGGAACTCCAAGAAATCTCGCCAGCTCCAGGGTTGAAACGCCGGTGTGAGATCGGATGTTGCTGGAGTTGGAGGCTGAAGGCTGGCCTGCACCAGATGCTCTAGGTGGCCAAGGGGCGCTCCAGTTGGGGCCTACTGGAGCCCTCAGGTGCCACTAGCCATGTCTCCGGGGGCAACGAGCCAGCCCAATGACGGCGGATAGTGCCCTGCATTCAACGGTTCGGCAGGGGTACGGGGCTCACTCTGCCTCGATCCCAGGTTTTCACCGGCCTGTCTGCCATTGTTGCAGGGGGGGCAGCATCCCAGATTTCCCGCGTCTTTTTATTGATCCAATCCATCACCGGGAGCCACTCCACAGTCCTTGGAACGCCCCCGAGCCATCAAAATTATCCACCCGTCAAACAAAAACACTGCGAAGCCATCGACCTCCTCCCCCAGACCACTATCGTAAACGGATCAACAAAATTCAAAATCTGTTACCCGTGCTTTTGTTTTTGGGCTATTCACTCACTCACCATACCCACGTTCTTTCTTCACTGTACTCCATCCTGGCTATTGCTTCTAGTCTCATTCCATATGCCTGCTTCATGCTTTCTCCGTCAGCATTGAGCATCAACGTCCAGTCTTTTCACGTCCGCTCTTTTCGCCACCGGCCTTGACATCCAAGTATATGAGGTCGCTCGCTCGCCGACCGAGTTGTAATACTACGAGGAGTTTTTCTTTTAATCTCCGTCAGCATATACAGCAGGTTCGGTTTCTGGCAGGCGCGTCCATCAAGCCTGTCGCCTACCGTCTTCCAGTCTCACCGCCACTATGTCCCACCCTGGGGCTTCCTCTTCGATAGCTCCTCAACGCAGGACATCTCTCTTCATTCCATGTCGGCCCAAGACAGCTTATGAGGGTTCGACGGGGGTCGAGGAATCTCTCCGAAGGCCTGCCACTCGAATGTCCCTTATGATGGCATCCGCCGCGCACGACGTCTTGGACTGGGGTTCTTTCAATCGGAATCAAGAGGAAGCTGGCGAAGGAAACAATAGCCCCGAGTTTATTGACCCGTTTTCAAAGCACTCTGGTGAGCCTCAGGTGCTGGAGCCCTCCCGGCAGCGACGATACTCGACTTTCACCCAGTCTGTGAAGCACAGCATCTCCGAGATTCGATCTCTCACCAGACGTATGTCGCTGACTGTCCGAGGAAAGAGCTCTAAACAAAAGGAGGAGATGGGAGAGACCAAGGGACCACAAGTGTTGCCAGTGAAGCCGGGCGCAGGCATGATGGATTTGACCGAAGTGTCCACCAGACCCAAGTCTCGTGGACGGTTATTGCGAACCCATAGTGCCCGGAGGAGGCCGTCGCTGCCATTGCTCCATTTCCATACTCCCCCTGAGATACAAGCAGACATGGATAACCCAATACCTGCACGGTTCCGAGGACACCCCGTTCTGTCGGACCTAGTGTACGGCGGAGCGGAAGCTCGTGCTTCAGCTGCAGCTCAGAACGAATTGTTCCATGCCACGAGGACGCCGCCTCTTCCGCCCTATGAGCCTCCCGAGTCGGAGATTGACAAGCCTGAACCAGATGCGGAGAGTGGGATTGGTATTGTGCTTGACAACCGAGTCCGGCGTGGGTCTTCGCCGGCAAACGTTCATGTCATCTGCAGAGACCCCGTGTCGGTCCTTGCAACAGAGTTGGTGGAGTCGATCCTCTCATTCCTTGACGTGGAGTCGCTTATCCAGGCATCACTCGTCTCCCACAAATGGCACGAGCTTTGTCAGTCGCAAGCTGTCTGGAGGAGAATTTTTCTGCAAGAGTACGGACCCAAAAACGACCTGCCAGGTACCGGCGAGCGTCTTGCCGGACTCGGTAAAAACAAGCCCGGGCAGGACTACAGGAAGTTGTTTGAGGTACGGACTCTGATCGACAAGCGCTGGCGCAACGGAGAAGCCGCTGCAATCTATCTGAATGGCCACAAAGACAGTGTCTATTGCGCGCAATTCGACGAACAGAAGATCATTACCGGGTCGCGAGATAACACAATTCGGGTATGGGATGCTCATACTTACCAGTGCATCCGCAAGTTAGGGCCTCCAAACAATCCTCGCGAACGACAATCGGTGCAGATTCCACTGGCGGAACCGGAGGGAGTCGTTCCGTTCTTCAAAGCCTACGTTTCATCACCAGCGCCACCCTCGCCGGAGATTCCTCTGTACCACCAAGCATCAGTGTTATGCCTGCAGTACGACGACGAAATTCTCGTGACGGGGTCTTCGGATTTCTCGTGCCTGGTGTGGTCGATCAAGGAGGATTACAAACCGCTGTTCCGGCTCATTGGCCACCACGCTGGGGTCCTCGATGTCTGCATTGACAAGGAGCGGATTGTCACTTGCTCCAAGGACACCACGATCAAGATCTGGGAGCGTTCCACCGGCAAGCTCGTTAAAACGCTGCTGGGACATCGTGGGCCGGTCAATGCAGTCCAAGTTCGAGGAAATTTCTTGGCCAGCGCTAGCGGCGACGGCATGTCCAAGCTGTGGCGGCTGGAAGATGGGGTCTGCATCAAGGAGTTCCAGTCCAAAGATCGAGGCCTCGCCTGCGTCGAATTCTCGGAGAATGGTCGAACGATTTTCGCGGGCGGTAATGACCGGGTCATCTACGAGTACGACACGGTCACCGGCCAACGGATCCGCGAAATGAAAGGGCACAAAGACCTCGTGCGGTCGCTCCATCTCGACTCGGCCAATTCACGCATCATCAGCGGCAGCTACGACCATTCGATCAAGGTGTGGGACGCGGAGAAGGGTGAGTCGGCCGAGGACGGCGGGCTCAAGATCAATTTCGAGGGGTGGTCGTCGAGTTGGATACTGGCGGCGAAGAGCAACTACCGCAAGATTGTGTGCACGAGCCAGGATGCAAGGGTGGTTATCATTGACTTTGGGTATGGCATTGACGGAGTTGATTTGGTCGAGTCATGATTCCAAGATGGCGTTGGTCCAAATGATACGACATAATCCGCATTGGTTCATCATATTACGACGTTCATGACTCGGGAGACGGAACACTGCTACGAGTTGAAAAGCAAAGTTTGCCGGTTTATTTTGACAAGGGGGATTCCAAAAGCAGTTTCTTGTGACCTTTTGAGCTGCAAGGTGTTGGTGGAGACTATGCAAAAAGAGAATGATGGACAGGGGCTCCGAGACATTTCTTACCTTGGATGGATCGTTTTCATTTTCATTTGTGTTTTGTATTTTGTTATGCGCCGTCTCTCACAGCTGTCGCGGTCGGGAAGGCTGACAGCGGAAATGAGAAGTTTCAGGGGGGCGGCCCTAATGCAGGGAGAGATGCAGGAAAGGGAGGTGTCTCAAGAATGCAAGATAGAAAGGGCAGCGAGTAATGCATTTTGGTCCGACAGAGGATGGAGCGCAAGGTGAATATTGAGGTAGAGTCTGGCGGGTTGTTGAACATTATCCATGACTGTATTGCCTGCACCGACAATATGCCCACCGTGGCCTACCTACGTAGGTCCTAGCAGTGAATGACACCTGACTCTGGTATGCGAGATACGGTATCATTACAGCGGCAACAGCGGATAAGATCAAGATCGTGGCAACCAAAGGACGTCATTGTGTTTACGCAGATGCAGTGCTGGGGCCAATCGGCTGGGGCGTGTTAAGCGAGTTCTGTTCCCTTGTATGCGAAGGCGCATTGTTCATTTTTCGACAGGGAACAGCAGAATATTGGCTGGGCGGCGGATTCTGGTGCTCGGGTTGGAAGGGAAGGGGAGGTGGGAGAAAAAGGCAGAAGGATTCAAAATGACACACCTGTTGAGTCACCTGGAGAGATCCTACAGAAACAAGACACCGTCGCCCGTGTTCTTCCCAAGCCCTGGCCACTTGATTGTTTACCCATCCGGAACAAGCGATGACTTAAGGCACCCAGAGCGTGGGAGCCATGTGCCTGCGAGCTCTTGGCTGCAGTCCCTAGAGAGCTGGTCGATGCCTAGGTGGTGATAAAAGGCAATTCTTCCTGGTTAAGGGTCTCTAGGCACCGAGTTACCTAGGTAGATATGTAGGCACTGCTAAAGGAACCCGATCTCCCCCAAAAGCCACCTGGAAAGTCAAAGTGACGGTGGTGACAGGTTCCAGCGTTGGCGCTTCCCTTCCCTCCCGCCAAACAATAAAAAAAAAGAGGAACCCCACGACCCAAACGCGTTTTGATACGGCACGAATTACGCGATTCACTGGGTGGTGGCCAGTCACGCTCTGGCCTTGACTGTGCGCTCTTTTGCCGGCACCCATTCAGCCAACCGTCTATTTTCTCATCCCTCTTTTCGCCCTACCATCAACTTCTCGCAAACACTAACAAGGTAACAAACACCTGCACCGATCGGAATCTGCGCTTGTCCTCTATCAAGCCACTTATTCGCACTTCTCCTCCTCCACACCACACTGCCTTGCGCATTCATCGCTCACCTGTCTCTCCCTCTGCCAACACCATCTCTCCACCCTCTCAGGCTGGGATTCCATTCCATGCCTCACCCGCCGAGCCGCTCCCGCGAAAATCCCTGCGTCAGAACCAAAACATTGATTGACGTCGCAAAGCCGAACTAGCGCACCTTGCTCCCTCCACCTTGCAAGTCTCAGCAACTGCTGGTTCCAGTCCTTTGTCTGCCTCCTCCAGCAACCAGCGCGGGTGACCGATAGATAGACGTACACAACCATGCCCCCGTCGAAGAGGAAAGCACGCCGCAAACCCGCCGATCTCCCAGAGTCCTCGGAGCTCGACCTTCCAGACTCTTCCCCGTCACGCCCTTCGGCAAAGAAGCGCAAGGTTGTTTCTCTTTCTCCGGGCCTTTCCATTCAAGAGGCGACACAGAAGCTGACGTGCTCACAAAAACAGGTCAACGGCTCTCGTGGTGCGCCCGCCAGGAAGAAGTCCGTAACTCCCGAACTTGAACCTGAACCCACACCTGCGCTGGACTCAAGCGACGACACGGAAGAACTGTCCCAAAGCGATCTCATCGACTCGGTCGTCTCCTACCTCCAAGTCTCCAAAGAACCCATTGTCGTTAGAACCGAATACTCCAACGATAAGGTCCAGAGCAACAGCCCACAGAAGGTCTCAGCATATGCGAAGATTGCCGGTCGAGACTGGACCTACTTTGTGCGCGAACAGTCCGTCAACTTTGGCAGACCGCCCGACGACCGGCCGAACTTGAACGGCGCTTCCAGTCCTATCGCCGACCTGAAGGACGTATTACCGGTCCATATCGATCTCGGTCCAAGCAAGATTGTTTCGCGACATCATGCCTCGATTTACTACGACGCAGATTATCCGGTGGATGAAGGTGGCTGGCACGTCAGAGTCAACGGGCGAAATGGAGTTCGCGTCAATAACGTGCTCATCAAGAAGGGGTTGAGGAAACAGATCAAGTCAGGCGATATTTTGGAGATTGCCGGGACGCAAATGATGTTTGTCACCCCAGGCGACAAGGTCGAGATCGATCATTACTTTATCGAACGAGCCAAAGCCTTGGCCGCAGGCGAGGAAGTCAGTCCTGCTCAACCTCAGCCTGAACCTGTCAAATACGAAGTGTCGGCCGGACCAACTCAGAATTTCCCTTCGCTGGCTCCAGCGCCTCCCGATTTCAAACGCGAAGCTACACCGCCCGCGCAGTCTGCCGATGGCAAGTCTCAACGAGGCGTCTTCGATAGTAAAATGCCCATGTCGCCCATGTATGGTCGGGGGATGATGATGGAGAGTACCCAAGAGATCGACTACAGTCGGGACAGTGCCAAGGACCTTAAGCCGCCCTTCAGCTACGCGACAATGATCGCCCAGGCTATTTTCTCGAGTGAAGAGGAGAAGTTGACCCTGAGCAACATTTATTCATTCATTGCTGACAAGTATGCCTTTTATCGCCATTCAAATAGTGGCTGGCAGGTATGTGCTCTCCCTCCACATGCCCTCTTCCTGGCGCGCTAACTTGAACAGAATTCCATCCGACACAATCTTTCGCTAAACAAAGCCTTTCAAAAAGTCCCCCGGCGTACCGATGAGCCTGGAAAGGGGATGAAATGGCAGATCGCCCCAGAATTTCGTCAGGAGTACTGGAAGAAGCAAGCCCGGCGTGGAGGCTCGGCTCCGTCTTCACCTGCTTCTGGCAAGGAAGTCAATCCCAACTTCAGAGGACCCAATGGTCAGAATCTGGGCTATGATACTAGCATGGTTAGCCAGTTCTCTGCACGAGATATGTCTGACCGCGCAGGACTTCCTGCTTCCGCCAAGCTGAGTCTCCCATTTCCTCCGTTCAACCCAAGGCAGCAACAATATCCGCCGAGCCCCAGCCTAGCACCTCCCGTCTCACAACCTGGAGAAGCTGTTACGCCTCAAAGGCGAAGAACGGATACCCAGAATACCCTTCCGGACATGGACCTCGAAGAATCCCCATTGCGACATGGGAATGCTGCACCAACACCGCATCTAGGGAACAATTTACCCATGTACACGCTGCCATCCTCTGTTCCGCGTCCCCATCACTCACCGACGAACCCCACACTTTCGTCCTCATACCTGGACACTCCTTTCCATCCATCACAGCACAGCATTATTACGCCTGCGCCACTGCGACAAAACCCCCGACTAGCCCCTCCAAGTACTCTGGTTGCTCCTAGCAAGTTTATGCCAGAGTCCTCACCTGCAGGACCCCAGGGGCTCTTCTGGAAGGGTATCATGGGCGCAACACCGGGCCAGCCGCTGCCTGACATGTCCCCGGCCAAGGACGAAGATCCTCGAGCAAATGGAATTGATAGAAGTGTGATGAGTTCGAGCCCGCCACCTATGGATGCAAGCATGGGCAGCCCGAGCAAACCAGCCAGAAGTAGTCAGGCCCCTAACAGCTCGAGTTCGGCCAAGAAGAGGGACGACAGTCCTGCAAATTTTTCGAGACTGAACGGGGCTGCAGCCGACGAAAATGGGAAGTTCACACGCAGTTTCTCGGGGAGTGGGAACACCGCGAGTGGAGTAAATGGTCAGACGGGGGCTAGCAGGTTCAATTCGCACCTTTCCTCGAACAATGCAGATGCGGGTTCGAATCACGACGCTGACGACGAGGACGGTGATGGCGGATTTGACCTAGCCAAAGGCTTTGCCCCCATTGCAGGTGGAAGTTTCCATTCACAGAGAAGTGGTAGCCTTGGTGTTGCGAGAGCTGGATCATGAGCTACAAAGCTCAGGATCGACGAGCTACGATCTCTGCTGGCGTCTCTCGAACAGAAGCGTTATCATCTGAGCAGGGGTCTATTGGACATGTACGAATATAAACAACTGGGGATCATGTGCTATGTTATTATGCAAGACGCTGATGTTGAAAAGTGGACACAATGGGGCGGATCTGGTAACGTTCTGAATATATGGGCTGGGCAATGCATTTCTTGAGTTTTTCTTTTGAAGATATAAATGCACCCATGGGAGTTTCGGAGCGAGATAGAGCGTGTCACAACGCTCATTGTTGATGCAGGGCAGGAATTGGACGATATTGATTGCCAGAAATGGTCCAAATTGGAATAGTTTTTTGTAACATCAAACAAAACATCACTCCTGCGTACCTACGTAACTTGAGTTGGAGTCTCTGTCGTTCACCTCACTGCAAAGTTACCATCAGACTCATTCACTTAATTTTGACCGGCCGTGGACTTGTGGAGTTCGGCGTCCTACATCTTCGTCAGTCTTCAATTAGTGATAGAGACTCATTCGCCTGCACTGTCGGAGGCGGATCTTTATTTTGCAGCCTCGTTCACGCACCCTGTCGACTTGTTCAAACCTCAGCCTCGCCCTCTTTCTCACAGCCCGCAAACCACAGCCCTCTACAATCATCCATTCAGTCCATTTCCCTGATCCATACTGCCATTTCAGCCACCGGGTCACGGAGATTTGCCTGTTCTGGCTCCCAAGGTCCACGTCGAAGAGCAGCAGCAGCACCAGGCACTCCAGCTGCGAATCATGTTCCGCCGTCTGCCCCATACGCTCCCTGCGGACCCGGTGTTCGAGCCGGACCTCGCCAAGTTGGGCTTCTTCCTTAATAGCGAGGACCAGGTCCGCTCGATCAGCAGCCCGGACCGCAAGTGGCAGTACAAGATCAACAGGAATGAGCGGTGGAACGAGGTTCATAAATGTGAGTTGCCTCCCCCCCTCTCCTTTTCGGATGTGGCTTGCTCCCGATCTTGGGAGGGAGATGTGTTTGACTACCTATGAGCTTCATGCCTCTCTGGGACATTTACCATGCGGGTGTCTAAGATCCTGGGATGTTTACGAGGTATTGTGGGATGTTGAAGCTAACGCTGACGCGTAATTCATAGGGGCGAATAATAGTGAGTTCTTCCTTTCCCTCCTTTTAGTCTACGGTCACAATGATCGGATTCGCGCGGCGACGAGATCTAACGTCCGCCTGCTCTACGCTCCGTTTCTAGCTGCGATCCGTAAAATCATCTACGACCGGCTGGCCGATCTGGGCTGCGAGACCGTCCGACTACCTCTCGGCGCAGGCGAGTCAGAGAACCACGTCCCCATCATCGTGTCCAAGGACATAGCCACAAAGGCTCGAGTGACCGTCTTCTTCGGCGAGAGGAATATAGAACCAGGTATTTTGACCTGGCGCGTGATTGGCGAACGTGGCCTTAGCCACGGTTCGCTGGTCGAGTTCTCCAAGGCTCTCTTGTCCGTTCCAGTGCTCGAGACTGCTTCCGCTTCAGCCCCAACCTCAACGTTCGCGTCTGTGCCGGATCTCATCGTCGCAAATCCATGTCAGCTGCTCTGGTATCGAGGTGGCGGACGGGCTGTGTCAACGCAAGAATGGCTCGGCTTGCCCAGAGCGAGCGCTGTGCACGAGGCTCCACGAGTGGACAGCGTCAAGAATAGTATTCCTGGCAACAGGACCTACGTGGAGCACGTGTCTTACATGTTTGAGAAGGCGATTCCAAGCTTGGTCGACAAGGATGCAAAACTGGATCTTATTGGGCTGGAGTACACTGGGTCCGCGGTGCTGGAATATCTTGCTGAGCACTGTACGTGTGGCATCAGCTCAATTGTCAAACGGACTAACATCTGTGTACAGGGGAAACATGGTCCGGTCGCATAAACGGCATCTCTCTGGTCGCGCCCCAACACAAGGTGGCAGATCTCATCGCCGACGGCGCACCCAGCAACTTTATCACCTTCTTGAGTAGACGGTGTCGAGCTTACTTCGTCTCTCAATCACCCGTCGAGACACCGATAGCTGGTCGACAGGAGTTTGGATGCAACTGCTACGCAAGTGGAGAGCATTCTTATCAAGAGAGTGCGATAGTCAGTTGTTGGAGGCACATATTAGATTGGTTCAACATGCTGTATGTGAATCAGGGCCATGAGGAAGTCGAGTTTGAGGTGATGAAGGAAGATGAGGAGGTGAAGCTTGGTTGGTAGCCATTGGCAAACGCGGCAGCAAACGGTGAGGGAGCAAGCAATGCAGTGTAGTTGCAAGGGCCGTGAGAAGGCGAGGATGCGTGGCCTTGGTCGACTGTTGTCGAAATGGAGGAAGCTGCATCGACCGGAAGGGTGAGCAGTTCAAGCCAGTATCAGAGGTAGCCGCTGAAGCTTGATTTGAGGCCATAGTTAGACGACGGCGCTGCAGATGACAAGGGGTTGACAGAGAGCATGATTCATGAATGACGATACAAGACTTACATTGATGTTATCCTCCACCAGCACTGGTATGAGCCAGAGGCGATGGAAAAAGTGGCCGTCACTGTAAGGCTCGAGTATTCCTGATTCAAAGACTCTTTCTGCCACACCCGAGTCACTCCTTCCTTCAGCTGGTATTGGCCAGACCGACCTGTTACTGCTGTCAAAGTCGTTCAAATTGCGACCTCGAATGAACTCGTCTCCTCGAGGCACAGATACAATACCAACCTAAGCATCATCCCTTCAGACATTCCCTTTTGACTCGTTCAGAAAACCATCCATCATGGTCAAGTTCAGGGGCATTGAGATCTGCGTCATCTCACAGTTCGACATCTGCAAGCTACCAGAGTTTCAGTATGGCAAGCCTTCTCGACCGAAGGATCCTTTCCAACTCAACACCCAGCATGACGACACGCCCTCCTCGCCCTATCCGACCGCAGCTTGTTTTGTGCCAATCTATCCCGGCAGCCAGATTTGGTTCGAATACACCATCGACGGTCCCCATCCTCCCGAAGCCGCCTGGTTCTTCAAGCTGTTCATAAATGGGAAGGTCGTCACTTCGTGGGATTGCACTGCAAAGCATGGCTTCCATGGCAAAATGATGTATAATTTGGTCAGCGAAGGCGTGGATCCAGACACGGGTCAGGCCATAGTCAAAACACAGGCGCTGAGGTTTGGAGATGGGCTGGAGGACCGCGAAAGAGGCGGGGGAGATGAGGATATGATCCAAATCAATGTTCATCGAATCGAACACAAGAGACGGATTCGAGACCTTGAACCAGGCCTGGGACAGGTGAACAGTGTCAGTGATAACGCTGATGGGTTGCAGTTAGTGTGCTTCCTTTCTACCTGTTTATCACCGATATCTAACATTCTGCAGGTTGACAAACAGTGGCTTCCTTGAGCCCTGCATTCGTCCTCGGCGATACAAGTATCAGCTCCTGGACCCTGTTGATACGCCTTACGTGGCCTTCCAATTTCATTGTCGCCCTTATGGTTAGCACACAGTTGTTCTGCAACAGACGGAGATACTGACTGTGTCTTTAGAATACCTCGAGGAGCACGGCATTGCCCGCTTGCTGATTTGTCCTTCTCCATGCAGCACTAGGTCATCAATCGTATCACAAAGTTCAGGCAATATTCAACTGTTTCAGGAATCTGGAAACGAGGCTGCACAAGAACATCCTGATCAGGCGTCACCACTCGCAAGCTCTCCTCGTCAACCTTCCACGGTTTTATCGCCCGTCAAAGCTGGAAATAGCACTTCAATAGCAGAGAGGAGGCCTTTGAAAAAGATCAACTCGTCCGCAAGCTCCGTCAATATCCGACTTAGCGAATCCGATGACTCGCTTAGTGTGAGGACGAAGGATAGTATCGAGGATCTATCGTCAAGGGTTCCGCGATCTCCAAAGTCCCCAAGATCACCAAGTCGACGCGAGAAAAGTACAGACGGTGAAAGAACGGAGAATGCTGAAATTCCACCATCACCAACTCCGTCAACCAGATCCCCTCGTCAACGCTTGAAAAAGAAGCTCACAGTCAACATTAATGGAGCGAATTTTGACGTTGACAGAAAACGACGACCGTTGAGTCCTTTTAATAGTGGTGGGATGCTTAGGAAAGCGTGTGTGCCGCAGACAGCACCGGCGGCGGTCACAGAGTTTGGGCCAACGGTTGAAGAAGAAGTCAGACCCAAGCTCCAGAAGAACAGACCAGAAACGGACGTAAAAAGTGAGAAGTGCGGTTTCAGAACAACAACAGAGGAGCGGGGAGGGAAGAGACTGATGGGGTTTCTGGGTAGGAGGATTGCAAGTGAAAAGAATTCTTAGGGTATGCCTGCACGACATATTTGTATCCTGCATCATCTGCGGAGGTTGGGTCAATGGCACTTCTAACGACAACAAGAAGTATTTGATACACGGAGAATCAGGTTGTGAAATAGTTGTGATCCTGTAGCTATTGTTGCGATCCTAACACAGCAAACTCGTTCTTTGTACTCGGTATGGAGTTGTAGCCTTGCCTCTAAGCGTCCATTACGGAAGCTTTGCCGAACTCTCCGCGGCATGTAGACTGCGACAACCATAGTAACGTTCTCTACTTTCTTGACGATGGACGTCCCTTCCGGTGAGAAACATCATGTCATCTTATCGCCCTCGCGGTGGGCACACCGGCCCTCAGCAGCCATACAGATCATATCATTCTTCACAACAAGACGACTTCTACGATGACCGCTCAAGGTCACGATCCCGAGACCGCAGACACAGCTCCCCTCACAAACGAAGTCCTCCACACGGTAAACCATAGTTCAGAATGGGATGGGAAGTTGAGGCCATTATACTGATATGTAAACGCTCAAAGACATAAGCCGACCACCAACCGGACCGTCTCAGGGAGAATTCCATTTTCGTGGCCGTGCCCGGAGTCCAGATCGAAGACGTGACCGCAGCTACGATAGGCGCAACCGTTATTATGATGACGATCGCAGCTCACCATCCCCTCGCCGAGGTAGATCGTCGTATTATGACCGAGATGACCCTCGCTCCGCTTCACGAGACTACCGCAGTCGAAGTCGAAGCAGACACCGGACACCCTCAGACGAGCGACCACCGAGTCGAGGCGCCCCAAGCCGGGAAATTATGATGGATGGACTGGCTCCTCGTCTGACTGAAAACGATGTTCGAATACTCCTGCCCGAACTCCCTGATCACATGCCACCAATCTGGTTATCCATGGTGACTTGCTCTGTTTCCTGCGGGACATATGGCTAAGGTTTCTCGACTTTGCGAAACAGATCTCCTCGGAACTTAAACAATACTATCATGCAGAAGGCCTGGAGGATACTCGCGTCATCCGCGACAAGCAAACCAGTAAGCTCGAAACAACCACGGATGATTGGGCGGACACCCTTCTCACACAGTTGGCAGAACAGTCAAGGAGATTTGGCTTCATCCGCTTCGGCACAGTGCAAGAGGCGGAAGCTTTCATGGACCGCAATTACCCTATTCTCTACTTGTATGGTAACGGCAACAAGTCTAACGGAGATGCGTCCAAAGTTCGGATAACTTTCAGTCGAGAACGGAAAGACCCACGTAGGACTGACGAGCCGGACTGGATTTGCGATTCTGTATGTTGTGGAGAGTCAAGTCGCCGTGGAGCTACTAAGCTGATGGCTCCTTAGTGTCTCATTAACAACTTTGCGACACGAGATCGGTGCTTTAGGTGCCAGGCCGAGAAACCAGGTACGTTTGATGAGGTGGAATCGTCGGCTTGACGCTGATGGTTCACAGAACATCCAAATTACGCTATACCGACAAAACCGCCCAACGTCGGAGACAACGACGCTTCGCCAGACAATCGCCCCTCTCAATTCCTTCTCTTACGGGGTTTGGAACCTTCCGTGTCCGAAGAATTGCTGGTTAGGGGCGTAGCAAAACTTAACAAGCCAAGCTCGTCAACGTCTCAACGAGATGAGCAATCCTCCAAAAAGGGTGCCAAGGTCGCATCCACAACTGGTGATGCGAATCTTGGAGCGAGAGAAGGTACATTGCGTCGAGTCCTGCTTATCCGCGATCGGAAAACCAACGAGAGTTGGCGGTATGGCTTTGCGGAATATGCTTCGATTGAGGATGCACAAGCTGCGCTGATTCGGTACAATTCCTTCGAACGGTTTACGATAGCTTCCAAGCAGGTGCTTGTTAGCTACATCCATGCTGGCGTTTTCGTTCCCGTGTTGAATCCAACTCCTGACACTGAACGCTTCTGCTTCAGCCCCGTGGGCAACCCGGCCATGAAGCTGGCGTATTGGGATGAGGGAGCTTATGTGAAGGAGCTGGCTGTATCGATGCCAACCACCGTCTCACAGGATCCAAAGAATGGGTCGACCATACGCACAGACACAGGAACTAAACCAGCCAAAGACGCAGAGAAGGCCAAGAAGCGCAAGGCACAGGCAGATATCGATACTTCCGGAGTCAAAAAGACGGTGCCATCGCACCTCCAATTCTGGAGTAATCGTCACGCTGAATTGCATGGCATTACAAAGAAATCCAACGACAGAGAAGACTCGAGATCTACTGACGGGGGTGAAAGCGCGGATGCGCCGCCCTCACATTCCTATGCTGACCCAAATCGACACTGCTGTTATCTCTGCATGCGTCAGTTCAACAACTCGGCAGAAGTCAACAAGCACGAGCGCCTGAGTACCTTGCACCGCACGAATTTGCAGGATGAAATGAAAGTCAAAAAAGCAGAGGCAAAGTTGGTAAAACACGGAATCCAACGCCACTTCGTCATGGCCGCGGCGAAACCCGCGCAAGAGTACCGCGATCGAGCAAAAGAGAGACGCAAGATCTATGGCGTGGTCAATAAAAAGGGCGAACAAGTCGGAAACGCACCCAGGTCATCACGCGCGTCCTCTGATGATGAAGCTTCAAAACCACCTGTTCAGTCCAAGGGCGCTTCATTGCTCAGCAAGATGGGCTATACCGCCGGGCAAGGGCTCGGTGCCTCTGGAGAAGGGATGACCGCGCCGATAAGTCAAGACGTCTATGTTGCTGGAGTTGGGCTGGGTGCGCAAGGCGGCAAACTTGGTGATGCAATTGTGGAAGCCGAGCGAAACACCAAAGGCGATTATGGTGGGTTTCTGGAAGAGACGCGGCAGAGGGCCAGGGAGAGGTACGCGAGGATGGAGTAGAGGGCGAGGGCCTGGGGAACCAGGGCGGCATGTTGCCTTGAAACGGTGGGACGAGGACGGTGAAGACGGCAATGATAATGATACACGTGCTCTGAGGGAGGAGAAATATTGTACGAATACCGAGCATGCCTCTGACGATGATAGCGAAGACGGATGAATGATGAACAAACGTCCCTGGCTGCTACTATGCTTCGTTACTTCCTTTATTCCATCCTATCTTTTTTTTTCCTCTTTCTCTCTTGCGACACTTTCTGGCGCCGGGAGCCGCCCGGTCCAGAGAAGCTACTCAGTTCTCAACATTTCTTTTACACGCCACCGTACAAGGCCGGTCACGCTCAACATGCTAACCCTCTCCATGAGATGCAGCTGCGGTTGGAGAAAGGAGAGATGGTGGTTGGGAAGGTGTATGATACAGCGAGAGCAGCCCCCGCTATCGAGGTGATTTCAACTCTGTGCACTGGTAAAAGCTTTTGCGTCTCGTTTCGTTTGTCTTGCGTCGTCGTCGTCGTCGTTGTCGTTGTCGATGTCGACTTTGCCGTGCATCCTATTTTGGCGCCCATCTTTTGTTTCTGGAGCACCCATACATACTGCGCCCCGCCCGCATTTCTTCGGCCCACGCAGAGTCAGCATTGCAGTTTGTTTCTCTTTTGCTCTTCGTGCCAAATGTGTGCCAAATATGGGCGGGCACTTTGTGCCGCACTCTCGCCCTCGTCAACCACACACACCGCCATATGTGTGACGCGTCTGGAAATTGGACCAGCCGGATAGTCGGCAGGACCGGGAGCCAGGAGCCAGGGGCCCAAGATCGAGCATTGGGGGTGCTGAAGCCGTGTGCTGAGTTCAGGAGGGTGACTAGGTAGCTAGGCGGGTAGTCGTGTATACCTCCGTACGAGACAGAGTCGTTAGGACAAGCGTTTTGGTGTTTCTTCTCTCTCTCTCGCTTCATGCCTCGTGCTTCCCTTGGCTTGCCTTTCCACCTTTGCCATGATGTGAGTCTTTGTACATCACTTTGTGCTGTTGTTGGTGTCCTCCTGCGCCTTGGAATCGTCCTTCCTCAGCCCACCCAGCACAATCTGCTCCCACTTTTCAAGAACTGCCTCGATCTCCGCGGGCACAGCTGGTCCTTCGGCCTGCTTGCTCTCCACCTCTCCACTACCACCGCCACCATCGATGCCGACACTGGCATCCGGGATCGCCGCGATCTTCTCATCATCCATGAACTTTAGCAGTTCTGAGATCTTCAGCTGTCTTTGGGCGCGGGCGTAGAGGTTCTGCACGAAGGCCAGATCCTCGTCCCTTTTCCCGCGGGAGATGCTTCCCTGGGGCTCATCTCGCCCGACGACTCCGTGTAAGGGCTCTTCGATTCTTCTCGGCAGAGACGGAGTCGTCACCGTTGGCACGGTGGAAGAACTCGACCCGGCGTCTGCCATTTTCCCACCCGAGCGAGGCTTGGTGGTGAGCGCCGAGACGACGCCTTCCAGGACCCCGAGCACTTGGCCCACCCGCAGTCCGACCTCCACCCCCAGGGGATATCCCGCGTCAAAGCCACGCTGCATGACCCGTGCCTTCCCCACGGAGAGACCCTCGCGGTACCCGTCCGTCATGTGCTGACGGCGCAGGGAGGGGACGTCGCTCAGGATCACTTCCCGCCTCACTATTCTCCGGGAGGCGGTCGGTGGATGTTCCTGGCCGGACGCATCTGTTGGGAGTTGCGCCTCGGATGCAAAACCTCCTGGCGCCGCGTCAGTGGCGTGCTCATGGTCCGACGACGTGTCCCAGATATCGTCGTCGGCGCCGGGGGACTGTTCGGGCGTTGTCATCGTGGTGTCGGGTGATGAATGGGGACTGTGCGTGGGCGAGGGCGTCGACTTTGAGGACTCAGCCGTCCTGAGATTCGGCAGTGTCGACAGCGCGCCTGGGTCTGCCATTTGGCGTCTTTCCACGAGTGTGGCTGAGTAGATGCTTGCCGAACTCCAGCACTGTTGTCAAAGAAAACTGCAGTCCAAAAATCGTAGCTCTTTTTTTTTTCTCGGCTCCCCACTGCCTCGAGTAACTTCGATTCTTGATCTGTTGCTCACGATTTTGCAAGAAGAACCCTCCTTTTTCTTCTTTTGGCCCTGGGTCCAGTGCAATGTCCCCCTTAACTTCCGGATCTGCCAATTCTCTCTCTTCCGCTTTCTCTTCGCTTTCTTTCTTGCCCTCCGCGTCGTCAACTGTATGCAATCTATCGACACACGGGCCTAGACCTACCGAGTAAAAGTGACAAGCTGACGACGGGCCACCACACCGTCTAATGAAGAGTTCTTCTCAGGGGATGCCTAGTGATCGATCACCAGAAATATCGTCTCATATACAAGAAGAAGCGAGATATGTTCACCCTTGGGACTCCTTGGAGGCAGATGGAAGGTAGGAGGATCCAAGTCCGATGGTGTTCGTCTCGGTCTCATACGAGGTACTCAGTACTACCCTGCCGAGGCACGTCATTTGAAATTTTATATCACGTGCGTGGCCTTGTGGCCGCCTTGTGCACTATGCTATACATCAAGGCTAAGGGGAAGATGTATGCGCTAGACAAGTCTGCACTTGCCTCGCATCTGCTGTTCCAAACGGTTTAATTCCCTGAATTTGTCAGAAACTTTTCTGTTCTATGGGTATCATCTCTGTATAAACGACATCACGAATGGAAATAAAACAGATCAACCCGACGGCACACGGCGGTATGAGTGATCCCCTACTCGCCACGCTCGTAACGGTAACGCTTGCAGCGCAAGGGCCTTCCTCTCTACATAAGTCCAAAATAATACCGCCCCAATGATCACAAAAATGACATTTGTGATATAATATCCATCACGTTGCATGAGGCAGGTCCCACCTCCCTTCAAGCACACATTCTTGTCTGCTTCAAGAGCACAACTGAAGCTGCTGGTGACAAGCGTGGCGTCTGGATGAGATTTGAGGAAGCTGTCGGGGTCGGCCGGTGGAATGCAGGTCGCTTTTGTAAAGAGGTCGACGAATTTGAGGATGAAGAATTTCGGGAACGTTCCGCCGAGATTCGAGACACTGGGTAAAAAGGGTCAGCAAAGGAATTCGCAGAATGTTCATCAAGGAAAGGTCTCGACTTACGTAGCCAATAATGTCATATATGTTCCACCGATCGTCGGGTCAGCAATTCGGGCGTGAAACGCCGCCGAAGCAACAAACATGACCGTATTCATAAAGGTGGACGAAACATGTGCAAAAATCACCACCAGCATGTACCACACCGGGACAGCCTCGTCGGGCGCGGTTGGATAGATCATAATCGTAATCTGCCCAAAGACAGCCGTGAGAAGCCTGGCGGCATAGGCCCAACACCATACCTTTAACGGTGTGTACTCTGTGGACCATTTCCCGGCATAGTATCCCAAGCCCAGTTCAAATGGGAAATCAATGAGTACAACCAAGGCCATATTTGCTTGTCCGAAGCCCTTGTCGAGGAGCTTGAGGTTCGTGACTGCATCGTTGGTCACAAAGCCGAGTTTGCTGACAAGGTGAACGATGATGATTGTGACGACATTGGGGAGTTTCAGCACCGCCCACATGGTTCGGTAGACGTCCATAATTCCCTCACGCTCATTGTTCTTCTCTTCTCGTTTCAAGATGGCTAAACCCACTGTTACGATGAGGTAAACCCAGCCCCAAAAGGTCATGTAGCCGCCGAGCGTAAAGAGGCCGTACTCCTTGGGCACAGTCCTAAACCATCTGTTGGCGAAATCTGGCGCCTGTAGCGCGAGGAAAACGGTGTGCGACAAGAAAGAGCCAGCAGTCAAGCCGACAGTCTGCGCAGTTGAGGCATACGAGATGTTCTGGATCGAGAGAAGTGAAATTGCCCATCCGTCCACTGCAATGTCTTGAGTAGCGCACATGAAGACCAGAAGGAACCACCAGCCGGTAAAGTCCCAAACCCCAGCTCCATCATTGTCGCCTGTAGCTTTCATCATCTCGTCAATTCTGCCTCCGAGGTAAATCATGGACAGTCCGGAGATAGTTTGAATAGGGGTGATCCAACTCTTTCTCCGTCCAAACCTCCTGCTCCAAACTGCATCCACAATTGGACTCCATAACAGCTTCAATGAGTAAGGATATATGGCCAGAGAGAAGATACCAATCTGACCATACGAAAGATAGCTTTTTAACAGAAACGGGACTGAACCCGAAGCCAGGCCCATGGGGATGCCTTGGAGGAAATAAAGGAGGCAGAGAAGAAGGAAGTTTTTCTTGTCTTTCGGGGGGAGGTCGACGAAGCTGGTATTGACCATACCAGGGGTCTGCGGCGTTTGAGGGGGCGGCGGTTCATAGTCCAGTGAAAAGTCATTTCTGCTCATAAGTCTGGTGGTATTCGTCGTGGGGTCGTCGCTCGAGACGTGTTTGCGTCTCATCTCAATATGGGAATTCATGTCGCCGTTTGCGTGGCCATTCGCGTGGCCGTTCTGATCGATCTCAATGCGAAGATCTGGTCGAGATGACGATCTCTTGTCTTTGCTCTTCTTGGACTTCCTGCGTTGCATAGGTGATTCAGAACCTTCCGCAACCACAAGGTGGTCTTTTTCAGATGTGTCAGTCTCGGAGTCTCCCTCTTCCTCTGCCTCTTCACTCTCTTCCTCGCTTTCCTTATGGTCTATTGATCGGGTTCTGGGTCGAGGTGCACCGTTGTGATGTGGTTTCTCCGACTGGTATTCGTTTAGTTCGATTTCTTGGGATTGCCTTGTATTGTTTGGGCCGGCGCTGTGGACTGGAAGGATGGGATGTTCGGTGGGATGGGAGCGAGCGTAAAAGATCGGGATTGTATATGGTTCGGCAATGGAGTCAGGCATCCATGCGGCAGAAAAAGAGCGTGGGTGGGTGGTGAGTGGATAGAACAGAAAAGGACTCTGTGTCCTTTCGCAGGGGCGAGACCGGCGAATGACCAACTTCAAATTTGGGAGTGCTCCGTGCTGTGAGTGAGATCATTGATGGAGAAGGAGATTTTGCGTCTACAACTCCCTCCCCTCACAATAACACATCATATTGAACTGATGGACATGACAGTCTCGCGCAGGAGACACCTTCATCTTTATCGTATCAGCAGGCGAAGCGCAAGGTGGCCGCCCCCAGATTTCTTGCTGGGCCTTTATTTATTGCCGGAATAGCATTTAGCCCCCTGACCCAGCACGTGAAAGGCCTATCCCCAAGCGAGTAGCTAAGATAAGAGCCTCGCACGCGTCCGATAAGCACGAAAGACGCGTCGAATGTTCGCCCTTCGGTTGAACTTCGCTTGCCACCAGCCCTTTGACGTTGACTGTTGACCACAGACGACGGGCCGAGATCAAGTCCGCAAGACGGAAATGGCTCTCGTTGCATCTCCTCCCCTGCCCTCTATGGATGTGGTGATGAGTGACTCTCCAGACGACGAGATTGCCCAAGTCAGAGCTGAAAGTACGTACAGGGCTTCCCCAGTTGCACATTCGACCTCTAACACGTTGACAGTCAAAAAACTCACCCGACAGCGCAAACTCCTCACGTCTACTCTTCTTGCCTCAACGAAAGCCCAGTCGCGTCTCTCAAACCACTATCCGGCTCCAAGCGCACCCTCAAACAGCAATAATCCTCAACAATTGAATGATCTACAACAAAATTCCCACACCAACGCCCACCGACTCGCCTTTGGAGTGACCTCGTTTCCTTTCCACGACCCTTCACCCGAGCTTCGGCCATGGAACCCGCTACTTGGAATAAGGATTGACATCTGCAATCGCAAAGGTGTTTTCGATAGCCCGTATTACATGTTCTGCGTTCGGGCTAGAGACACAGGGGATGAGCTGCGGATCCATCGACATACGATTCCCGCGCTGGTGCCACTAGAGCAGTATGAAAAGCAATACCTCCCAATCTCGTATTTAGACGACGAAGGATACGGCGGTTCAGAAGACTCACGACTCAACGCCAACGAACGCGAAACGACAACGAAACAGGATCTTCATAGCCTCGTTTCCCGGGTCAGATATGATCTTGTGAGCTGGCGGTTGAGGCAAGATGTAACAGAATGGCTACGAGAAGAATTGGCAATCCCAGACTCTTCCGCTCAACCTGCGAGCTCTTCCAAGGATCAAACAGAAGGGGCCAAAGAGGACACCGACATGAAACAGGGCGACGGGGATCTGCGCTCTACTGAAATCAGTTCTTACATTGAAAGTGAAGATAATGACCCGGAACGCGAATCCGAGGAAGAAGACGGTGAAGAGGAGGAAATCACCGGAAAATTCAATGTGCACTCTCTCGCCAGTCTAGAGGTCGACGCGCGACAACTCCGCATCATCTGGTCCGATGACCGCGTGGGCCGGATCAAGATCTCCGACGACGGGAAGGTGGAAAAGGCAGTTGTGATTGGGTTAGATGGCAACAGGGTCAAGGACGTGGAGAGGATCCTGATAGGCGACGGCGAGGGGAGCGTTAGCCTTTATGATTTGGTGGGTCGATTGGAGGAGGTTTATAAGAGATCGCTGAGAAATGAAGACCCTGACCGGGATGAGCGAGGAGGGGAAAGGACAAGGACGGCGCGAGGGCCATGAAGTTCCTGCACCACGAAACGAAACATGATCGGCATTGCCATTTATATGGGACGAAGACGGTACGATGATCACCAGCTCACGAAACACGATGAAAGAGAACATGGTTTCCAAGTTAGTTCTATTGTCAGAAATCTTTTTCTGATATCCCCGGTCACCTAATCCAAGATTACAAAGGCCGACTCACCATCCCGATGTTGGCTCTTATACCAACGTGGAGAACTTCTGGCCAGATACTGTTGCATCACCCTCGAATTGACTTCCCAGCTTAACGGCCTATGACTGTTGGTCGTTCTGTCCGAAGCTTCTAATCTTTGGTTAAATAGAGGCTACGAGACACAAGCTCCCAATCCAAGGCAAAAGAGATTGAGGGCGGATGGCCCAAAGAATCCTGCCAAAAACACCTGAGGGAAATGAATACGGGATGTGCAAGGCCATCACAAGGATCATCAACGATATTTGACTCCTTCTCGTGCACTTGCTCGTGTTATCTTAACAAAGAGGCCATATGTGCTGTAAACTGTGCCTCAAGGGGTGTTAAATCTGGCCTCACTAGGCCGAATCGAGTGCGTATAGAAGCAAGACATGTATTCGCCACTCAGGGGCTTAGGGGGGATATTCCCCAAGGATGACGCTCGGAGCTCTATTCGGAGCCTGTGACGCCCGGATCATAAGTAGATGAATGCGCATGAAACGGAAATGTTGATGTCATCCTCTCATCAATGTGCTCTTCGCCTCCTTTCGGATAGTTTATGGTTTCTACAGGATAGCTATCGCGTTTGGAGTCGTCCCAACACCGCCAAACACATGGAGAGGAGCGCTCGTAAAGAAAAAGGACCACTGTTTCGCCTCTGCGCACGCCTTGGACAATTTCTCCAGATTCCACAGCTCGCCGATCGGACACCCCCAGTGAGTCAACAACCATTCGTGAAGACATACTTTGTCCTTGAGCCCGAAGGGGGCCGGGCAGACCTCGAATCCCAGGGAGTCTCCGGCTACAGCAGCGAAATGGTGATTCCACAGCCACTTGGCAGACTTCATTGACGCCTCGACGCCGATGAACTCGCCCCGGTCCAAGGACTTTGCGCGTTCAGCAGACGGGGTCGAATCATGCCACGCCGTGAACCCAGAACGGATGATCAGAATATCACCCGCTTTCAGCTCCAGATTCTGGTACCTGGCAACTTCGTCCAGTTCGTCCACCGTCATCGGATATGGAGAGTCGATCTTTGCTGGCTCTTTGCCCGTCTCTTTTCGCCATCTGTCGTAGTCGAGAAGGATCCCTCTGCCCACGATCCCCCCGTTCTCGACCCAGTCTGCAATGTTGTCGGTTGGTCCAGTCTGAAAGAGTCGCACGGGTGGGAACGAGACTCACTTTGAATGCCCAGTTTGCCCGTACCATCCTCATCGATCTCCCGGTGCTTCATTCCATTGTAGTAGATGCCGGAGTGTTGCAGTCCGACATGACGAAGACCGTCCCACTGGGAACTGCTCTGCGTGTTGAATCTGACCACGTCGTCGTGAGCGACGATGTCGTACTCGCCACCCTTGTTTCTCTCGCGGAAGTCCACAATGGTTTGCTCAAATCGCTCTCGACCCGCAATCCCGTGGTCGAAGTGATCTAGCCTCAAATCGAGCTGCACGGATTTCCCCATCTTGACTTCTCGGGACGCATTTCGAATGACCTCGGGAGTCAAAAGATTTAGTGCTAAACTTGGCCGTTAGCCTACAATGGCTGTCCCTTATCATGATTTGCCTGCTTTGGAAAAGCAAAGGGGGCAGCATACTTCCGAGTTCATCGCCCTTACCCCAAAATCCCCAGGCATTTCCCTGGGGCTGGCCCTCAACTGGCGGCAGTGAGTCGAAATCGGGGTAATCAACCATGGCTCGGGGAATCGTGGTCTCGAGGTTGGCGGCCAGCTTGGATGGAGGCAGCAGGAGCCTTTTATATTACAGAGACATCGGGTATTAAATCCCGAGGTGTGGAGGTTGGTAAGGGCATTTGCCGGCGTACCCCAAGTGAGGTTCTTGACGGCCAGCAATCTGGCCAAGTGTTGAGACTGTATAGTGTTGTGTTCTACCTCTCCACTGAGAGCGCAGTGGAAGTCTGTGGGGCACGCCAGACCATCTCGCGAAAATCGCAATTCCTGGTACATTGCGCTAGGCTACAGCTTCAGGTAGAATGGGGTCTTCGAAGTAATAGATTTCTCGTCCAGAAATTCGAATAGTTCCATCTTCTACACCGGTCCAACCCATGCTAGCGGAGAGACTGTCAACAGCCTTTTGGGAAGTAACGTGGGCACCGACGCAGCCATAGTGGAACGAAGGCTCTCTAAGCAGTCCATCCCCCATCCACTTTATATGTTGATCCCGTCACAAAGCTCGCATCATCGCTCAGCAAGAAGGCAATGACCGTGGCAACTTCTTTGGGATCAGCCTGGCGGTCTATTGCCTGCATCTTCGTGGTAACAGGTCCATTTCTGAACCCGGTTTCCATTGCCTTGACCAAGGGTGTCCTGATAACGCCTGTGTTTACAAGGTTAACTTCTCGACGACTGGTCAATCCGGGGAATGTAAGGTATTACCTGGTGCCACCGCGTTGACTCTGATACCATGGGATCCATACTCCCGAGCTGCTGTCCTTGTCAGACCTCGAACGGCGTGTTTGCTGGCGTTGTAGATTCCAGTATCGGCGAGCCCAATAAATCCTGCCACGCTCGAGACGTTTACCTAGACACACAGACAGAGTCAGCGCTAGGAATTCCAGAGCATCACAAATCCAGAACCGTGTAGGCGAGCTTTAAACTCACAATTGACCCTCCTCCGCTCTTCAGCATCTGCTGCAGCTCTGCCCTCATGGAGTAAAACACTCCGGCACCATTGATGCCCATGACGAAATCCCAATCTTCGTCGCGCGACTCGGCGAGATGGCGACCTCCTTCCCGTTCGACGCCAGCAACATTGGCCGCACCGTCCAGACCACCAAGACGCTCCGCCGTGGTTTTGATCCATTCGGTCACCTTGGTACTATCCCGGACATCGACAACGGTGGTAAAATGGCCCTTGCCTGGTAGTGAGTCTACGGCTTTCTGGAGGCTGTCTTGGTTGACATCCGATAATGATAGCACCGCGCCGCGACTGGCCAGTAGCTGAGCAGTGGCCAGCCCAATGCCACTCGCCGCACCTGTAATGGCAATCTGTAGTCACCTTTTTAGCTCGCATTCCGCGCAGGTCAATGATCTCGGCCATACTCTTTTTCCCTCTAGAGAAGACATGCTTGCCTGTGGACCAAATCTTGGCGCCCGATGTTGCCTGGTATGATCGTTCAAAGGTCTATACGGATGGGACCACTGTTGGGCTCATCGCCCCCTTTTTAACGATACTTGAACGATATCCGTGGACATTCGGCAGTCAAAGTCCGTCCAAGAACTTCCCCGCATATATTGCCTAGCCACGGAGAAGAACAAAAGAGGGGAGGCGAGAGGGGGCTACTTGGACTCTTGGAGTGGAGCAGCGGTTCGAAGCTGGAACCGATCTGACATTGCAGTTCACGACTCACCTCATCGCCTCTCATTTCTCAGATCTATCTGGTCGCGGTTTCAGCCTCGGTCTAGGCATTTGAGCGTGTTTGTCACGTGCCATACCCTAGGCCATTCGTATATCAACCTTCTTCTACAAGGACCGATTCGACTGCCGTCTCCTTTGCACTGTCCATCAGAATACTTTCCTTGTACTGTGATTGCTTGAAGCGCCTGTGAATTTCCTCTTCGCGTTCATCTTCAAGGGCAATATTGTCGCCAAAAACTTCGCCAACATCCTCAAGTGATCGGCCCTTCGTCTATGAGCACTGTCAGCCCAGTTCAATCCGAAGAGTAAACAAGATTTTCTTTAGGGAACGAAGAGAGGGTAGTATTTCCATCCTATGTTTGCGAAGGCAACAGGAGCTGCCTGAAGGTAGATGATCGTGGACAGGAATAGGCCCGTGATAGAGATGCCGACCTCTCGAACGCGTAAAGGAATGGGGAATATTTCTGCCGGCTGGAAGATCGAGACTGCAATGCATTCGCCGATGAGAGCAATGAGAATCGCCACTCAATCCAAATACTAGGGCATCGTCAGTTAACATCATCTTGCAACCATGGAAAGTCAGCGTACACACAGTAGTTTCTTTCTCCCCACTTTGTCCACAATGAGAGCATTGAAGAGGTTTCCCGGTATGCATCAGGTGATCCAGGCTGACTAGGTTACTGATTGAAGGACAGTGTCGTAGCCAAGGTTAGAGTACAAGAGCGCTCCGTAGTCGAAGGTGAAGACCCAAGTCAGTCACCACGTTCAGAATCGCGGAATGGTCTCTGCCGTTGCAAACGTACTGTTGATCACAAGGGTGCCAGTTGCCTGGGCTGCAGCTAAAGTCAAGAATCCGACCACACAGCGCTTTCGCAGTGATCATACAAGGAAAAAGGTCTTTTGGTGGAACTTCTTTTTTCATCTCGTGAGAGACTTGAGCCGTAAGAAGGCGGAATTCCTGCTCGATGGGCGATCTTGGATGAGGACAAAAAGAACGGATTAACGCCGTTTCTTCATGGTGGCATCGAGAATGACTTACGCCATCTCGGATATCCAGGGACAAATAGGACGCCAATGGCGAGACACAATGGCGGTAAAGACTGTATTGCTAATGGCCGGTGCCATTGACTTTTAGTTCCCCTCAGGAAATAAAAGCCTAGGCCGATCCAACTTGCAGAGCCATAGCCAATGTAGATTAACACTCTATGCATGCTAACGAGCAAACCCCGAAGCTTTGTTGGTGCCACTTCGCTTAGGTATAGTGGAACTAGTCCGGCCAGTGATCCTTCTTGGGTCAGGTGGACGAAAAAGAACTTTCAATCAAGAATTCGACATTTGGAGCGTACCGAAGAGCGCCAAGGAGGAGGGCATTCTTTCGACCCAGTCTATCGGGAATCCATAAGTAGGAGATTGCGCCCAGGAACCCACCATAGAGTGGTGGCAATGATACTGCTGTAATACCCGTAGTTCAGGGAACCTAAGGCAACGAATAGGACCACCTAGTGATGTACCAGCCCTGTTCGTTGCCGAGCGTGTTGTGACCTACAGCGAACTGGAAGAAGGTCGGCATTTTCACCTCTGGAGTTCTCTTTTTCTTGACGCCAGGTTTCGTGCAATCTATTCTGCAATCCAACGAGACTGGATCCCAAGAAGTTGCTATATAATCGTAAAGAGGCAGACTCCCTCGAGGTGGAGAATGCATGGCGAATAAAATCGGCACTGGCGGCGGGACTGTCTGCTCTTCCTAGTAGGGACAAGGCTCATGTTGGCCTACATTCCTAGATAGACTGGCATATAAAAGTAAGTGGGTCATGCCGCCACCAGCGCCCCTATTCTGGACGATCGTGGCTGAATACGGCTAACCGAGGTTTGGCTCTAGCCATTTAAGGATTTGCAATCAGCTTCGCGGTCTAACAACGTAGGTACCAACCTTGAACGAAAACTCCCAAGAACCGCCGGGGCAGAAGCCATCTCGAAGCATCCAGCAGTGCTGGTTTCGCGCCCATCAGGTCAAGTTTTGACGATATCCCCTAGCATCAGCCGATCCATAACAGTCCTGAATGATCCTTTGTGAATGTTCGGCAGAACGATATTCATCACTGAATCCTGGTCGTTGCAATTTTTGTGTCGATTTCACGGCTCTTGACCCCCTGTCTATGCCGAACGAAAGATGGCTGGTCTTTCCTGTCGAGCAGACACCGCTGTTCGTTATTCCAGTCGCTGATTCGCACAAATTGGCGCTTGGAGGGTGATTGTGCGGTGTTCGTTCTCCGAGGATCGCTAGTCACGGGTCAGGCTTAGATTGGCACATGGGCGGCCCGCCCCAGCGACCCAAAAGCTTGGTTAACACACCGACGTGGTCATGGATCTACCCTGCTGCCTCCATGTTTTCCTGCCGTGTCTCTCTTCTGGCATAGCGTTGAGTCGCCAACAATAGAAGATGGGGTTGGGCAAATGACCTGCTCGGTAACCAAATGCCGACTATCTGCAGTTCAATATGTAAGCTCTGGTGATAACCCCAGGTTCTCCTCCTGCTCGATAGCGAGAACCATATCCCGTGCTCTCACCCTGGCCACTCCTGATTCAGACGGACCATCATGGCAGGAGAAAAGACCGACAGCGGTCGGCAACTTGACTCTGAAACCCCGACTGAGCATCATGAGATCGACCAAGACGGCAAGATCGAGTCTGCAGACATCGTTGAGGAAGTGAATTCTGAAGAAGAGGAGGCCGTTGTGACGTTCAAGACATGGATCGTTGTGGGAGTGAGTAGATTCGTCCAAGGTTGAAGGAACCATTCTCTTACGTGCTGGATAGATACTGTCCTGCGGCTACGGCTTGTCCTTCTGGCCGATTCCAGTCATGGCAAATATCGGAGGCCTCATTGGTGAAGAGCTCGGTGCCCCCTCCAAGTACATTTGGTTTATCCCTGTGAGTACCCCCTTCCATAGTTGTACGGGTAAACTCGCTAATACCTACCAGTCCTGGACGATATCTATCACGGTTTGCTTCATGTTGTGGTACGCAACGCTACACAATCTTGGTCTTACCAGAGAAAGAAGATGCTAAAGATCCTAGTGGCGCAAACACTGACATGCTCGGTCGTCGATGGTTCCTGACCATTGGGAATCTGGTAAGGCAACGAAGCCATTCCTCGTATTGGGAGCAAATACTAAAGGAACGCACTAGATATGCACCGTTGGCCACATTGTTACCGCTTCGTCCAAGAACGTCAATGCCGTCATCGCAGGAATGGCCATTTCTGGCTTTGGTGGAGGCAACTGCCAGGTATGACCCTTGGGACTCGCGATATTGACAAGAGACCCTTGTGCTAAATATGCGTGTCCCAGATGGCTGCATTTGCACTGCCTGAATTGTTGCCCAACAAATGGCGCCACATCGGCGTTGTGCTGGCTGACTTCACGACCCTGTTGTCGGTGATCCTGGCGCCGATTACTGGACTGTACGGCTTCCACTCGAGCTCGTGGAGATGGAACTTTTACGCTGCAGCCATTGCACAGTTCCTTTCATTTCTGGGGCTACTGTTCCTCTACTTCCCACCGGCTCATCCGTGAGTATCACCGAGGGTGCATCGTCATCAATCAACGATAGGGCGCTAACCTTTCGACAGATACGGACTACCGATCAAAAAGGTGCTACCAAAAATCGACTACGTCGGTAAGATCATGACAGCTCCAAAAGCACAGCCTCCCCATTGGAGCCGCTGACACCAGTGTCGTATAGGTGGCGTCTTGTTCGTCGCTGGCGCAGTGCCCACCCTTGTCGGGGTGGTGTACACCACTGTTGTGCCGTCCAACGATGCGCACGTGGTCGCGCCGCTGGTGATTGGGTTTTTCTTCATTGTCTGCTTTGCCCTGTGGGAAACGTTCTCCAAGGCCGAGCATCCGTTGACGCCGAGATACGTCTTCGCGTCCTCCTGGGGTCGCGACTTCACCGCGCCGGCCATCGCTCTGGCCGTGGTCAACATGTTCTACTACTCGGGCAGCATTCTCTGGCCGACGATCATCAACGCCTTCTACACGGACGGCGGCGCCGACTGGCGGTACGGCATTGTCTTGTCCCTGCCACAGGGCCTGGCCATCACCTTTGGCGCCGTCCTGCTGTCCGTCTTCGGCGGCAAGATCAAGAACTGGCAGTGGCAGTTGACCGGCTCGGTGTTCATCATGGTCCTCTTCGGCTCGCTCTTGGCGCTGGTGACGCCCACGAACAAAGGCCTGATGGTGGCGTGCATCTTCCTGTCGCAGTGTGCCTACGGCTGGGCGATTTATCTGTCTATTGCCGTTGCCCAGATGGGCGTCGAGCACAAAGATCTGGGCTTGAGCGGCGGCATCGCTGGCGTCTTCCGATTTGCTGCAGGGTCCAGTATGCCCTCCCTTTACGTACCCCTATCGTGTTCGTGTCACTGACCGATCTATCTGCAGTTGGGGCCGCGGTCTATACCACGATCCTCACCAACGAAACCAACAAGTCGATCGCGAAGCTAGTCCCCGCCGCCGCTGTTGCTGCTGGCCTTCCACAGTCGAAGATCTCTGACCTCCTCAGCGTCGTTGGCACCCCGGCCTTGGCCAAGGACTTCAGCCAAGCCGTAGTCACAGCAGTCGGAGCCGCGGTAGACCAAGCTCATGTGCACGGTATCCGGTAAGTCACCTTGCTCTCCCTGAAGAAGAGAGACAAAAACACAATTCTG